AACTTTTTAGTATGATGGTCTAATCTTGACCTATCGTGGACCTAATGACCAATGAGAGCAGTGGTGTATCCAAAATTTCTAGCTAGGATAACACAAAACAATAAGAAAAGAAAATTAGAATCAAGTTATTATACGTAGTATATATTATCGTTTAATAATCATTAGCCTTTAATTTTAAACATTTATTTTGGTAGATAAATTTTTCTCTTACAAATACGGAATAATTTATATTCTATTTTTCAATATAATAAAATGATCAAATTAAAAACTACGTACTCCATATGTTCAATATGTGGTATCATATACTGTGATTAAAAATAAACACTAGGAAAAAAAGAGAGAGAGAGAGAGAGATTAAGAGACCTGTTTTCTTATATAAACGGTTTCTTTTAGTGGAAAACATAAAGAAAAGGAGAGAACCTAAGAGAGTGGTTGTTAGATAGGCCTCGTTTAATTTAAAAAGAAAGGAGCGATAGTTTGACATTATCTATGGCAGCATCTAAGGGACCGGTTATTATCTCTTTAAGATGTTAGTGGGGGTAGATAAGATAATAAAAAATTTGTAAGAAAAGATAGTGAGCTATTACTTTATTGAAAATTAAAGTGGTGTGAGAGGGAGTGGAGACCATTGGAGGAGTGAAAATGATAAAGTAAGAGTAAGTGAGGACCAATACTGGAACAAATATCTAATATATAATTGTAGAGTAAGTTAACGAGGGAAACCTCAATCCTCAATTCTCATGCACTCTCTTTTTCTTTTTTTTGCACTATCCTCCAAATAACTTCCACTTTTTTTTTTAATTAAAAAAAAAATCTCCAAATGACTTCCACTACTACTATTTTTATTATTTTTCCTGATAACACACATACTATCCATTTTACTCAATACTACAAAAAAAAAAAAAAAAAAAAAAAAAAAAACACACACACACACACAAAATTACCTATTTTAATATATCAACCAATGATTTGGTTTTTAGAAACCCCAAAATTACAAGGAATCTATATTATTATTGCACATTTTTTCCTAACTTTATATATCCCGCATAACACTTGAAAATCAATCTTAAACTATGTGTACTTCATTTTAAAAAAAAAAATAAATAAAATACAACCACCATAAGATCCACTATTTTCCTTTTTTAAAAAAAAACAATTGTTCTTTTATATTTTTATAAATCACTAGATAACCACCTTTTTATTAATTCAATAATTATCAAAATCAAAATAGCACGATTTCTATCTAGCTAGCCACATTGTGTGGCCGACTGACACACACAAAACACAAACCAGGTAATCCCTGCCAGAGTAACTTCTGACTGAGACCACTACCAGATTGAGTAACTCTTGACTGAGTAACCCCCGACTGACCGAATATCCCTTGATTGAACGAGTAACCCCTAATTGACCGAATAACCCCTGAACGAGCAACCACTGACCAACCGAGTAACCCCCAATCGAGTGACCCCTTACCAAGTAACCCTACACCAACTGAGTAACTCCTAAACAAATAGCCCGGCTACACGGTGTGACCAGCCACATATAAAACTTTGTGAAACAAAAAATGTATACATCATGTTTTCTACCCATCCCAATAATTTCGTTTTTTTTTTTTTAAGGAATCCCAACAAATACCAACATTTTACTTTGTGTTGTTTTCCTTCACGTACAATATAATCCGTGCATTAGCACTGGTATGCACATTGATTGATAATTCTAAAAAAAAGTTCAATAACTACCTTATTATTAATCCAATAATCATCAACAAAAAAAAATATACAATACGTTTTCAGTGCAACAAGCCACCAGTGTAGCTGCTTGCAAAAGAACAAAGTAACTCCAATAACACTGACAGAATAACCCTTATAATACTAACGGGGTTACCTCTATAACACTTAATGGATAATCCCTGTAAAACTAATAAAATAACTCCTATAATAGTTGCCAGCCACATATAAGAGTTAGTTACCATATAAAATTTAACTTCCCGTATTTGAAATATAATTTTTGTTATTAGATTTTTTGTAATATCATTGTGTAATATATATATCCCGTGCATTGCACGGGTACACTCTAGTATTATTAAATTATAAAGGTTTTCAAATAAAGAATTCTAGCTTTTTTAAAAAAAAAATAGAGGGAGAATTTTTTTTTTTTTTTTAACAAGTGCTATCCGTTGTTCCTTCGTAAATCTGTCTCTGAATGAGTGGTTAAGAGCACTCCCAATGGTGATAAAAAAATATGCTCATGGGCATTTTGAGTGGGCAAAAAATATGTTCATGCATTACAATGGTGATCAAATGAAGAAATGCAAAAATATGCTCATGAGCATTTCTAAAAATGCCCAAGACTTTGGCAAATTTGAGGATGAATAATGCTCTGGTGGGCCCCACAATTTGCAATGGTTATATTTTTTGTAATGCAAATTCTGAAATAAATTTTTTTTTTTAAAAAATTAAAATTACCAACGGTCATAAAATTTAATTCTCTATAAATAGACATGCATTTTGGTATATTTTGGTATAATTTCAGAAATACCATAAATCCTCCATATTCTTTATTTAAACGATAAAAACGACACAAATAAAAAAAAATAAGTTACATAAATTTAGACTAGTTTTTATTTATTTGGAGTAATATTGTTAAAATATAAATGAAATTAATAAATAAAAAAGTGTTGTGTAGGAGAGAGAAAGTAATGGTGGAGTATTGAAAAAGTAAGAGAGAGAGAGTAGTGGGCAATCATTTTTTTTGCTCACCATTGGAAGATAAATTGTGAAAAAAATTTGCCCATGGACAAAACAGATTTGTTGAGAGAGAAAGTGGGTAGAGAGATAGTGGGTGAGCATTTTTTTTGCTTACCATTGAGAGTGATCTAAATGTGAATTTTGTAACAGTGCACTACCTCAAGTGAGAAAATAATTTTTGGTAACAACTTATTACATAGGCTACTAATATTCCCTTTTTATTGTCAATTTTCATAATTCAAATAGCATGAGTAGTATAAATATGACTAATCTTAACTTCAAAATACAACCTTAAAGCCTAAAAACAAATCAAACAAAATTGAAATTGATATTAAACAAATTTATATCCTTAGTGTTTAACATTTAAATGACGAGAGATTGTTATTCTCATTCGAGTGCATGGTGCACCCAAGGGTATTTGTTTGCTCATCTGATGATAAAATGAGCAATTCGAAATGCGCAAATAATACCCTTTGATGCATTGTACACCCAAGTGTATGTAACAAGTTCTACTAAAGGACACATCTAACGAAATCTTTCAAAGCAAGTAAAAAACCCTAGCCTCCTCTCTCTCTTCTCTCTCCTAAACTCTAGCCTCCTTTGTTAATTTCGAAGGGACTTCCATCGGATTTCACCGGTGGAAAGCCCCAACCTTTGTTTCTAAGTTTTTTTTTTCTTGTTTTTTTGGTTATAATAATGTCTCCCTCGGAAGAAAGGGTTTATTTCCTTCGAAAGATAAGGTTTTTCGATCTCCTTCGAAAGACAAGGTTTTTCGAACTCTTTCGAAAGACAAGGTTTTTCGAATTCCTTTGAAAAATAAGGAGTTATTTGCGTTTAATTTGGTCTCCAGTTGTGCGGGGCTACGATTGATTATTGCTCGGATTCGGGTTACAAAATCAGCACAAGAATTTTCTTTTTCACAAAATTATGAAGCGGCGACGGATCCACTCAAAAAGTTGTATAAGACAACGAATCGAGAATGTGTCGAATTGTTATATTTATGTACTTGGATTCTTAGCCCTTCCGCGATCAATTCTTGTTTGATTTTGTTAAATCTGTTTTCATTATCGTTGATTGTCAATTGTAGATGTCGTATGACTTTAATTAATGACTAGTTTTGTGCCGGGGCGATGCCCAGATAGTTGATAAAATTTTAAGATAACATTTTCACTTGAATGTTAAATATGGTCAAATAATTCGTTCTGATAATGTAGGATATTTAGACATACGATATCATATGGAGTGTACTTTTTGCAGTTTTATTTGTAAATAGATATCTATGTTATTATTGATTTGAAATTATTTTTATTGAACTTAAATTATTCTCACTAAACTGAAAGTATTTTTACTAAACTAAAATTATTTTTACTAATTAAAACTTATTTTTACTTATTCTCTAATATTATTTTTAAATAAATTAAATAACAATGCATTTTGTATGCGGCTAGTCACACCATCTAGCCAAACGAAGTAACCCCTATAAAACTAGTCGAGTAATCCCTGTGATACTAACTGAGCAACCTCTAACACTGACTAAGTTACTCCTATCATAACACTGATTGAGTAACTTCTATAACACTGACCAAGTAACTCCTATAGCATTAACGAAGTAACTCTTGTAATAGTTGGTGACACAGTTTGGCCAGCTACGTATAAAAGTTTGTGATTAAATATATTATAAATGGATCTTATTTTAAAGAATTTTTTAAAACGAATTTTATGATGGAAATAGAATTGAATTATAGAATATATTTATTAAAAGTTATGATTAATTTTGTATATATGAAACTATCGATAATAAAACTCTATACAACAATTTTATCTTAAAAAGTCTATCCAAAAATCGTTTACTTAGCATCATATGTGTCACAATAATACCTATTTATCGCCTACGTGACACGACACTTGGCGAAAAACTGGAATGCCAAAAATCTATCAATCTAATATAACGTGGCATCTAATAATCTAATCACAATAATACCTATTTGTCGCCTACATGACGCGACACTCCTAAAAAAACTGGAATGCTAAGTGTCGCTATCTCGTGGCCTGGTTGCGAGACCAGCTTTATTTATTAGTGATATAATATATAGAAAAAAAAGGACGCATCTAACCTGCAATGATAATCGAATTTTAAATGCCTCTGTATTTAGGAACAGAGCGAGTAAACCACTAAACTAGTAGGATGAGGTGGACAAAACATAAGGGTGCCATCTAAATTCTAAACCCACACCCAAATGTCCAAAACCAACAACTTCTTCATAGTCTAACACCACTTGTACCTCCCCCTTATAATCCACCCCAGCAGCCAGCATCATCTTTCTCCTCCACTATCTCTCCTCTTTCCAATTTCCAACCGAAGCTCCTCGAAAAAAAGCTTCGAGAAAAATGGCGCTTCGAACTCTGATGACCAGGAAAACCCTAGCTTCTGCATCTTCAAACCAAGGTCTTCTTCATCAATGTCGATCGTTGCAGACTTTCTCTCTCCCTGACCTTCCGTACGACTATGGCGCTCTTGAGCCTGCCATTAGCGCCGAAATCATGCAGCTTCACCATCAGAAGCATCACCAGACTTACATCACTAACTATAACAAAGCTCTTGAGCAGCTCGATGATGCTATTGCTAAAGGCGATGCTTCTAGTGTTGTTAAGCTTCAAAGCGCCATTAAATTCAATGGCGGAGGTTCGATTCTCTTTCTCTCTATCTCCTTTTTTACTTGAATTTGTTTTGTGGTTTGATTTTTCATTTTTTGAGCTCGGATTCTTGATTTTTCTGGATTTATTGCCTAGAAGTTTTCATCAATTTGACTTTATGAACAACGATGAAATGTTGATGATTTGTTTATGATTGCCTTACCTTTCGATTTCGATTGTAGTAATTGTTTGAGAGGATCAGACTCTTAAATGCATCTTGTTGTTTGTGATAACATCTAATGAATGGATGATATTGTTTTAATTAATCAGATTGTAAATTGGAGTCATTGGTGATGCTATATGAGTAACCAATTTTAATTTCCTTCAACTGATTAGAGTCATCTTTCACTGTGAGATTTGTACACCACTCATCGTATTTCGAATTCTTCAGTTGTGTTTTTGTGAATTAATAGCATTACATTTCTCGTGATAATGTTTTTATTCATCTGATTGTAAATTGGAGTTATAGGTAATGGCAAATGCTATATAGTGGACAGTTTTGAATTCCTTCAATCGATTAGAGTCATATTTTGCTGTGAAATTCGTACAGCTCATATCGTATTTCAAAGTCTTAAGTTATATGGTTGTGAATTAAAAAGCTTGGAGGTGAAGTATAGGTGGCCTTGAATTATGTGGTTGGGGAATATTGGAATTGACTTCTTTAGGTTGCAAAAGTCAAGGGAAAGGGGAAGGGTATTAGCAATACTTAGTACTTTGGTAGATATGAGAGTTTTTCTCAATGCCAATTCTCTGTGAGTTGTAAAAGGTTTCGTCAAATTTGTTGAGTGTTAAGAGGTTAAAAAGGATCAAAGAGGATGCATCTACGGAGTGTGAGGAGCAAGACAGACAATTACTAGCCGTGTCTAGTGTTTTCTGAAGCTGTCTTGTTGCCATTATACTTGCAGATGGCTGTCTTCCAAGAATCCTAACTGGTTCCGTACTATGCTTCCTGTTGGAATTTGAATATGTGATTGATTTTATGCATTGTCTCCTAAATTGTCTTTTGGCATTATATGTGTAATTATGTTATGATGTTTCAATGTTTTCCTAGATTCCTACAGATCCTACCTTTTTAATCAGTGTTTTATTCATACCTTTGAGTCAATTTTGGACAAATTTGATGGCAGGTCATGTGAATCACTCAATTTTCTGGAAGAATCTTGCTCCAATTAGTGTAAGTGTCAATATCGAGATATTTAGTTATCTAGTTTGTGTGATTAAATTCAATAGATGATGTAACTGATATCATGACATTGTTGCAGGAAGGAGGTGGTGAGCCTCCAAAAGCTTCACTGGGTTGGGCAATTGATTCAAACTTTGGCTCTCTGGAAGCTCTTATCCAGAAAATGAATGCGGAAGGAGCTGCCTTACAAGGTTCTGGATGGGTGGTAAGTTTCAGTCTCAGAAATCCTTTAGTTAACCTTTCTACTTTCACCCCCTTTTAACTGTGTGATAATCTGAATTCTTTGGAGCAGTGGCTTGGACTTGACACACAATCGAAGAAGCTTCTTGTTGAAACCACTCCAAATCAGGTGAATGCCCAGATTGTTTTCTTTTTATTCATAGGAGCAAAGCTTGAAATTTTCTGTGTTTCTAACGTGATGTTCTTAGAAGGAAATTCTTTCGTGCTCGAATTAGTATCTCCTTTCCTTTTGCATTTGTTGGGTTTTTTCTAGTCTATGCAGTTGTGTTGTTTTATGAAAGCTATTATTTTGTGTCAGGACCCTCTGGTAACTAAAGGACCAAGTTTGGTTCCTATACTTGGTATAGACGTATGGGAGCATGCGTACTACCTGCAGGTAATAATTCAAAGTTCTTTTTTATTTGTTAAATAATATGAGCATTTTTGTCTGTAATGTTTGACTGTTGCTTATATGTGGTCAGAAGCTTCATTATTTGGCGGTTTGGCCTTCTTAGTACCTGCAGATTTTTTCCTAACATGTTCCTCCTCTTGGTTTACTTTATATATTGATAGAGCAAGCAGAAAGATGTTGTACATTCACCTTATATTGTTATTAATAACCAGATTGCGTATTGTATTTTCTTTTTTATGGTAAGCGAAAAAGATCAATACTGATAATGGGTCATGACTGGCCTTTCTTTGCAGTCAATCTCTATTCAGCCTTGTCAATGTTCCTATCCATTGGCTGAATTAGGGCACATTGGCACTTAGTTGTTTCTAATTTGTCTTTTAAAGCTTGCAGACGAGAAACCTCCAAACTCTACTATATACTATATGCAGCAATAACTGCTTACATTTTGCTTTCCTTTATCTTGGTGATTCTAGGCATTTCTTCAGTAGCTTGTCTGTTTGTGATCATGAAACAATTGCTTTTACTAGGAATTATAGCTCTGATCAGGGGTGGACTGAGAGAAGCAGTTTGAACTTTTAACTGAGTGGATTTGGGGGGGGGTGGGGGCGGTAGATTGGTATATGCAGCTGAGTGGGTTGATGTGTAGGAATAAGCTGTATCCATATAGGTGTAATAAAAACATTGGCTTCACAAAATCACCTTTGGATCATCATATTGATGAAGTATAATGGGAAGATAACTGGTTATGGGGATTGGGGATTGATGCCTCTGAGGAAACAGCCTATCTAATAGTCCTCTATTAAATAGGGGGTGAGACTGCATCTAGACCTATTTAAACCTTACTTCAGAAGGGTTACTATTGGCATTGAAGAATGTAGGGATTTGCCACCTAGATGGGTCCTTGTATGGTTATGGAATGAATGTATATCCTGTTTTGATAGATAAAGCCGAGAGCTAGTAAACCTCTTGAAGTTGACATGACAGAATGGCCTTAGAAACCGGTTGCACAGCATAAAATATATGGCAGTATCATTTTTAAAAAGTGCCAGCATAAGTGGGTTACAAGCTATAGGACATCGGGTATTTGATCCTTTGAGGCAGATCTTGAAGCAAGTATTGAGTGTCTGCGAGGTGGATTGCATATTAATCTGAGCTATCTACCCTAAGATTCCACATCCTCTCAAGTACGCTGAAAACAGAGCATATCAACATCCAACTGAATTAGGTGAAGAACTAAAGTCGTTTTATAACATAGACAACAAAGAGATTCATCTCTAACCCTCCATGCTCCTCAAAAGGGTCATTCAATGCCCCAAGTACCTTTGCCATTAAGAAGCCCCTTTATATTCCACATATTACTTCTGAGCTCAACTCTATAACCTGATACACTATTGAACATAAAATCTTCTTCAAAAATTGCTCACCCGCATGATTCTGATTTAATTTCAATTTCTGATACATCTCATTGCTTTTGATCCTGACAATAACAAAGATAGATAAGAAGGGGAAGGGGAAGGGGAAGGGGGGAGGGGGGATGGGGGAGCAGAGAGGAACTTTGAGGAGAGAGTTGTAGACTTGTAGTTTGAACCTTCAAACTTCTGAAAATTATATAGCCCTTAATTTGTTCCCCTCTTCACCGAGCAAGGTCAAAGCCAAATACTAACCAGATCTTTTACTCTATATCTCTCATGCTTTCCTCTATTTGATCCTCTGTCTATAACCGGAATGGGGCAGACTTGCGGAGAGGAAGAACCCACCACTCATTATGTTTTCCCCTGCTCCAAGGCTGAAACAGGACCTTGCCTTCTTGTCTGAATCGATGACGTAGTAGCCAAACTGACTTCAAATGAGTAGAGGATCTATTTTTCCTTTTTGTTTTTTTTTGTTTTTTTTTTTTTTGGGGGGGGGGGGAGGGTGTGGGGTGTGGACTAACTTATTGATGGAAAACCATACAAGATACAATGTCTACCAAAGATATCAATTTCACACCAATAGCACAAGTATAAGAGAACAAAATAAAATCCTTTTTTCTAAAAAGACAATCTTGCTGTTTCTAATTTCTAACTTAATTTGCAAATATTTGCTTATGACTTTATGCTGTCCTCTGTGTTCCATGCATGTTATTTTCCTGTTCATGCATATATGAACATAAGTTAGCCTTTTGTGTATCTCATTTATAATATGGTTATTGGTTCTGGCTTTTGTTGACATTTCTGCTGTTTTTCTCTCTTGCAGTACAAGAATGTGAGACCTGATTATCTGAAGAACATCTGGAAGATTATGAACTGGAAACATGCAAGCGAGGTGTATGAAAAAGAATGCCCCAGCCACTAAGCTGTTACATACCATCATTTGGCGGAGGAATAAATATAATGCTATAGAAATAGAGGAAAGCCATGTTGTGGAGGTCGGCTTTGCTGTCTCATCCACAAACAGGCTTACTTTCCACTCTAGGTTCTCATATTCCCGTTTTAGCATTCTGTGATTTTGACAGATTAATAAACTGTCTTAACTACTGACACTCACTGAGGTTTTTTATGTAGATTGTGTGCAGATCTTCTGTTCCTATTTATGTTATTTTTCCTTCCAAGTTCTGTTAGTCAGTACACCATAGTATTTGGTAATGTGATATCGGGTGAGACACCCATTCTTGCTTCTTCCAAAGTTCCAAGAGTAGCTCTGTACAGCACCCAAGCTTAATAATCATCTTGCTTGTATAGGAAAAGCTTTTGTCATGCTATCCTACAATTTCTGTTATGTCATGCTTTAAGTTCGGAGAACAGCAAACATGTCATGTCTTCTGTCTTCCCTTGTTCCCATCAGAACGTCAATACGCTATTGTAGTATTGTGGACAAGTGCAGGCGCATAGACTGCATGGTTTATGTCCTTAGCTCGTTCCTGAGAGTTTGCTAAACTTGAACACGATATTCAAGATTAGCAATATGTCCATGAGCTGAATACAGTCTTGGATTTTAGGCAGTGACTTGTAAGGTGATTTTGAGCGTCATGTGTCTTATTACTCAGGTACTTTCTTTGCTGTTTTATTGGCATGTATTCCCAAGTGCTGGTTGATGTCGCAGTGGCCACCAGCCTGTGGTTCCTCATTCCCCTTGCTAGTTACTGTAAGAGGTGGTTTTCAATTATAAGAAATTCTTTAAATCATAAAATGTGTATTATTGTTCGTAAGAATAAAGTTGGTATAATTATCATAAAAAGAATACGGCTAAGCATAAAAAGAACTACTCATAAAAGAAACTAATCCATTTCTTATTAATTGCAAATTTACAATAGTAAGGTGTGTTACAAAGTATAAGGAAAATTATGAGATAGGGATTGATCAATTGAACTATTGCAATTAAATGTAATTATAAGACAATCGTCAAGCTCAATTTTGACGTTTGAGTTCTCAACAATAAATGGCAGGATCAAGGACAACAATGGAGCTTGTCAGAGGCACTGAGGCACATACTTTCAACCTCTGACACACCATGTTTTCATAACAGATGTTTAAGCGCACACAAATACATTCTTCTAGTGCTCGAGAAGGGGGGAGGGGGTAAAAAGACATCTAGATTGAAGGCGACGACATCTTAGTCATCAAATCAGTTTAAGGCAACTGGTCTATTATGTAGAGGATCGAGCATATATCATTATAAATAATCAAAATCTTCTCAACAATTTTGAAAGTTCTAAATATTGACCGAGATGCAAATCGAATAGCAAACTAGATTGTTAATATTGGTCATCTAATCAATAATTACTCCTTAAGTGTCTACATAAGTCCATCATTTTGGGGAATGACACATATGTCAATGCACAACTTTAATCATTACTATCTTTAATTTTTGTATTAATTTAACTTATAAAAACTTGATATCATGAAAAATTACATTTTGGCTAATCCAACTAAGTTTTCATAATAACATTTGGTGATCCTGAAACGGAAACTAACTTATCCGGGAATACTTGGGAAGCATCCCTGTGTCATCTAAATCGTATTCTTTCTCGTTGATTAGACTGCCTTTGTCCTATTGAAAGTTGAGATGCTCCTTGACATTATCCATCTTTGACAAATATGAAGTTCAACTGCATGAGATCGTGAAAAAACAAATGTTATCATTCTTGTGAGACTACGGTAGTTCTCCGTAATAGCCAGTATACAAAAGTTTGTTTTTTGAAAAATGATAATATGAATAATGATACCCTAACAATTGTTTAATTAGTTGCGATGTTTTAAAGTAATAAAAATGTGATCTTTAAACCAAAAATTATAGTTTGATTAATTACACTTTCGATTTAATATTTCCTATTTTCAAGTTTGGATTCAATTTTTTTAGATTCTTTTATACAATCCTTTATAAGGCCCGGTCACTTCACCTTCTTTTTACTAAACTTAAATTATTTTAACTGAATTGAAATTATTTTTGTTGAATTTAAATTATTTTTACTGAATTGAAATTAATTTTACTTTAATGAACAAAAATTATTGTTATTGAAATGAACTTATTTTTACTAAACTAAAAATATATTTAGTGAACTAAAATTATTTTTCCTGAATACTACAAAATATTTTTTAAAGGTAAAGTAAACAGGTCTTAATAATAGATGTTTTGTTTTAAACTTTTAGAGGGAAGGCTATCAATTTAGAGACATCTCAATATCTCATTCAAAAACTTTTGTATACATCTGTTTTTTTAAAAAATAAAATAAAATAAAATTGTATACATCCGATGTATATATCGAGATAACTTTTAGACATATCAGGGTGTAACTTAGTAACTTTTGATCATTTTTAAGTTACTTCATAGCGCATGTACAATGTACAATATTTTACGGTACATCGTATTATTTTTTATTTTTATTTTTTTTCACAATCTTAGACTAGGGAATGCGAGGGTAAGTGAGTGTCCAATATAAAACCCTCACACCTTTCATCACTTTAGAAACCCTAATTATACTGAGTGAGCGCAGCTGCAGCCGGAGGAGAGAGAATCGTCTTCTACCTTCAACAATGGTGAATTTCTCCATCTCTCTCTCTTCATCTTCTTCCTTAATCTGAAACTCTTTTTGTTAATTTCTTCTGTATTTTAATGGCAGACTTTCAAGCGAAGGAATGGAGGTCGCAACAAGCACGGCCGTGGCCATGTCAACTTCATTCGCTGCTCCAACTGCGGCAAATGCTGCCCTAAGGTCTTCTTTCTCTCTCCTCGATTTTGATTATTTTCTTCGATTTTTCTTGTTTTGTTTATGAATCTGTGAATATATGAAATGGCGATTTTTGAAATTTGGTATGAATTTGTACGTCTGTTTATATTTCTGGATTTGTTGTTTGATAATATGAATTTGCAGATGATCGTAATCTCTTTTGTATGTTTGTTAACATAATCAAGGTGTGATTTTTCTTGATGAATCGAAGATAATGTTCAAATGAGTTTTGATAGTTTGATATACCGATGATTATATAAATTATGAAATAAGTATGCTTGCAATTTGGTTAATTTGCACTAATGTGAGGGCTAGTGTATTTGAGATTAGTGGTAGACAAAGCAAATGATAGTGTCGTTTTTTGAGTGTTTAGGTGTTAATGTTTTGTTTTTTGGATTTTGGTTGTGTGAAGGACAAGGCCATCAAGAGATTTATTGTGAGGAACATTGTTGAACAAGCTGCCGTTCGTGATGTTCAAGAAGCTTGTGTCTATGATGGTAACTCCCCCGTTCTGTGTATTCTGTAATGTGACTGTCGAGTTTTTATGTGAAGTTGAGTTGTCTTTGCTAACCTCTTGTGGATTTGTGTGTAATTTTGAAGGGTACACACTCCCAAAGCTGTACACCAAGATGCAGTATTGTGTTTCTTGTGCTATCCACTCCCATGTTGTGAGGGTGCGATCTCGCACTGACAGGAGGAAACGTGACCCACCACAGCGTTACACTAGACGCAAGGTACCCATTTCATTTGCTGATTGGTATATTTATTTGGTTGCTTATTGTGTGTACTGCATGGCTATCTAAATGCTACTCTTGACTTTTGGGTTTGTTGGTGATGGTTGTACGTAATTATTCCTGCATTGAGCTGATTAGAAGTTTAGAACAGCGAAAATGTGAGAGTGGAAATGACTTTAGGTACTCATTTTGCATGCATTTCTCTGATCAACTCAGCTCTGAATTTTGTACTAAGATGATCCTTATAGCTATGCTTGCACTATTATGTAGAGACTAGAGAGTGTCACAGATTCATGTGTTTGGTGGCTTGCTAAGCGGTATATGTGGGGAAAACTGCATCAAACCATATGTTCTGTAAAAAACTCCCGCAAATTGTGTCATTTTGACACTTAAAATTCTTAACATTTTCTCTATTGGTCCCTTGTTATATATGCACTTAGTTCATTGGCAATGGAGCCTTTGAAATTGCTTCTTTGTCATGTTAACAATTTAATCTCACTATGTTAAGGACTTGTGACCTTTTCCTTACGACCCAATCTTAATGGGATGCTTAACCATCATCTATGACTTGCAACTTGCTATCAACGCCTCATAGTAGAAGAGAGTCAAGTAGGCATGTTAGTGGTAGACAAAATTGATTATTACTTAGCCCAATTTGCAAGGAAAAGAGTTTATTGAAACCAAAATAGTGAAGATTAAAGCATGAATTTCATATTGTGCACATGATCTGTTATTGCCCGAATTTTTTTGATGATTGCAACTAAAAGTATCGTTTAAATCTGTGTTCCACCTTTAGAAGACCAGCAATATAAGTTTTATTTTGGGTGGGATGTACTGGATTAGGTTGGGGTAAAACAACTTAGGGAAGGCTCCATTTAAGCCCTCAGGTATGACACTAGCTTCCATGCATTTCCGTTGTGAATTTAGTGGCTTTTAATTCTTTAAAGCATCTCTGCTTGGGGTGGAGATACTAGTGACTTTTTTACAGGCTAAAAATTCCCAATAGATGCAAACCTTTTCTATTCATGTGTCTGAATGTACCCTTTCTATTGTATAACAGGGTGGACATTGTAGACTAGCTGGCTAGGTGTATGAATAATTAGTCTTCTTATATTGAGATACTCCTCATTACTCAGTCTGTGGTGCCCCATGTTTGGTTTCATCAGAGATTGCCAATATATGCTGAAGTCGTGAGGACTAAACGTCGGTGTATGAATATTTAGTCTTCATATATTGAGATGCTCCTTATTACTCAGTCTGTGGCTCAATGCCCCATGTTTGGTTTCATCAGAGATTGCCAATATATGCTGAAGTCTTGAGGACTAAACGTCAGTTTGGTACATGGGAAATTACAAATATATTTTGGAAAGTCATCTTTTCTATATGATAGAAGAGGTGAAACTTGTGTTTTATGTGCTGTCAACCAAATTGTTATGTAATCTTCCTTAATCTGTCTACTGTAGATTGGTAGAGGCATTTTGTGTGTTTGACATTCTGCCATTTAGTTGAAGCCAATATCAGAGATTAATTTTGTGTAGAATTAAATTGATTGATATGTGACCATGTCATCTTTTTCCAGTAAAGTTGGTTTATTGTCTAAGTGTTTGGTTATGGTTGTGGCTTTACAGGAGGATACACCAAGGCCTGGTGCTGCTCCAGGGGCTCGCCCTGCTGCTGCTGCAGGAGGAGCTCGTCCATAGAAGACAAGTCATGTTCATCTGAAGCTTTATGCCTCCAAGTTTATCCCATAGATTTTGAGAACTTTAGCTCTAAGTTTTGGAACAGAATTTTTGTTATCTTAACTATATGCTTGCATTGTCTTTATTTAGCTGTCAATGAGGAATGATTGTTACTCAAATTTTAATGCCTCTACTTGTTTCATAAGTGGTTGTTTTCAGAGTACTTAATCTGTGATCTATTTTCAAAGTGTTTTGTTGCCTGTGGATCATTCCGGGAGTGGTTCTACAGTTAATTAACGACAATTTGAATTTGCCTATGCTTATATATGCTGAGGTTTATTCAGCAGTACACCTGCTTGACAACAGTTGCATATTCTCTACTCTAAAAGCTTTATATAGTCCTTTCTAACTTTGAGGCAGTAAATAATTTATGCATCAAAAGGACAACAGGACGACAATTGCATATTTTTTCAATCTGATGAGCTATTCTGCTTTTACCAAGGGGTTTGTGTACTCTTTTAACATCTTGTACATTGACAGTGACAGTGTTAGTCATGTTAGCCAAGATATGAGTAAAACAGAAATAAGAAACTCTGTTAATATGATGCAAGCGGTCAAGTTAAAATGACACTTTAGAGGTAGTATTTGCTTAGGCGAAATGGACCATGAACATTTCACAATGCCAAGCTTCTATGGACAGCTCAAAGCCTATTCTGAACTCAAAGAATACAGTGAATGTAGGTACAAGATTAACTAGAATTACAAGCTAAATTAAATAAGAATCACTTCCACCAAAGACAGACCAATTGTTCATATTACCAACAAAATTTACCACAATTATGAATCCAATGAGTTATACTTGGTTGTATCTGGCTGTAGCACCACCAAAATATTTGTTATTATCAATTCAAATGTAGGTGGGACACTGAGGTTTTATGCATAGGTGAAATTTTCTATCTGGTGCTTAAGCCTTAAAAATATTTTTTTAAGACAAAATTTGCTGTCTGTCAGTTCAAGTACATGTACATTTACAAGGACAACTAAACATCCGAACAATGGAGCTGAAACTGTCACCTTCTCGTGCATTCCCTTGTACCTACTGAAGGTAAAGAGTTTGTACTTAAAGTCAGTTCTGTGTGAGTCCTCAGTTAATCCAATCCCTCTTCTGTTTTATGCCACAACTGGATCAGAATTGTCTGCCTTTTGCACTGGTGTCCGGCTGTCCGCTGAATCAAGATGTGTTGCCTGAGATTTGCCAAGCTACATCATCTTGCTTTTCTTCTTGTTGGAACTCCCAACTGCACGTCTTATTATGGACCAATAACTTGTAAGTTTAACTCCGGTCTGCTTCATGCTTGGGTTGTAGTTGTCGAATTGTTAAGGTCCTTTGCAATACTAATGCAAGTAGTCATTGGACAATTTGTCTTGATCGCGTTTGATACAATATGGGATCTGCTAGCAGCATAACCCTCCTGCAAAAGAATACACCATACTTCCAAGACATCAGATTTGTCATGTAGAACAAGTTTGTTGATGCTTAATTTTGCATATGAAGTCAAATTTAATGCAGCTAAAGCCAAATGCATCAAATATTTTACTAAGATGGCAACTTCTGTTGGTTCACAGGAGGCACAAAAGCCATCATACTGAGGAACCAGGCCGGGAATATCATTTACTTCAGGTTCAAGTCTATAATACTAAGTTAAAATCTCACTGATACAAAGACTTTCTGTCATTAACTCATTATAGTAAAGTATAAGCGGCATATCAGCAAGTATACCTTCTGCAGGGTGCTTATCAAACTTCTGAGGGACGGAGAATTTACTTTTGCACGTTTAGCTATCTGGCAGGTAATATACAAAACTAGAGAAGTTAGTAAGCAGAGTTACAAATAAATGATTCAAAGTGAAGAGTAGTCACATTGCAAATATGTCAGGAGAAATTTGAATACCGTACCTGATCTATTTTGATATAACCTGATGGTAATTTTGGATCGCTTTCACCAATCATCAGGTTAATGACTTTCTCCAACTCGAGGCCCATGCCATTACCTATCCACCCCCATTGTCGAGCCAGATCTAATAACTCTGCAAGGTAGGCACCATCATGGAGTGGTCCAGTCCAAAGGGGCCCTGAGACAACAAGTGAACCACCAGAAGGCGGCTGACAGCAGACGAGAAATTTATATTAATCAACTATTGTGGTTCACCTTTCATGGCAGTGCAGACGGAGAAGTAATTTTCTTTTCGTGTTCCTCGTGTACATGCCATAATACACTTGGGCAGTGTGTGAATTTCACATGTCCTATGGGCATATGTATGTACATTACCTGAGTGTGGTAGAGGCGTTGCTCGCATTGGGCATGAAACTAGAATAAGTACAGCACAAATGTACAATGTTCTTTTTTTTTTTTTTTTGAAAATTCAATCCTATGAGAGGGTGTATTCAAAACTTTAATGAAAAAGGCCCTAAAGACAGGGGATGCATGTTATGTGCCTCTATGTATGTCACATGCCAGCACATAATATATGTGAATATTGGCACATGTAAGTCACGCGCTATGAAGAATTCAGTAGGCGTGTAGATTTTGTTTAGGCCCTTAGGCTTGTAGAGTAGGTTTGAGGGTTTCACTTACATTCAGGGTCGAGTGGGATAATAATATCCAACAAACCGTCTGATTCATAAATTATATCCAACAAATTGTCTGATTAATAATTAATTGATTGGTACAAGTAAGTTGATACGGTTTAATTAACACTCTTTCTAACTCAAAATAATAGGCTATGTATGATTTTAGATCAAATCTGGTCAGTTTAGATCATTACTTTCTGCCATTAAATTACAAATCAAAACAATGGTCTAGAAAGCTGCTCATCAGTAGCCAGATAAGCAATGGGGTCAATATGGGACTGATTACAGGAACACGTGAAAAGCGAGGAACAAAGAACACTGCTTTTAACAACATATCAATCTATTTAAGTAGGAAAATGCAAAATTATAACAAGCAAAATCTGGAGTATCAATCAAGTTTAAGTAAGCACCATAAACATCAGTATCAATTGTACAAAGCAATAATGGACCATTTCATCAATACTTCTAAAATGCAGAGGACCATAAATAATACAGTACTTTGTATTCCATATTTCTATAATAATTACAACAATAATAATAATATTATATTGTTTTGACATATTGGTCTCTTCATACAAATATTATAATTTGTGATCATACAAAATGTGCAATTCAGTGTATTCAGATAAGCATATCGGTTTTTAGCAGCTTTATTCTTTGGCTAATTAAATGATTCGATGAGAAATCCATACCTTAGTGCTGCAGTTGGAGCAACAGATCTTTCCAAGTTCTTGCCAGGTAAATGTCTGAGAATTTCCACAATCACGACAGTAGCTTATGAATCCATAATGTCTGCCATCAGAAGTTAAGCCACCAAATTAGCTCTCTAGAATATGAAATTAAATGGTCCATAGCATAAGCTAATAGTATCACAGTTCCAACGAGTATCACCTCATGTCAATTAGCCTCCCACGGCTAACTCGTAACATAACTCGAAACACAGGTCCATGGTAAGAGTAGTATGAAAAGAGAGGAGTGACATGGTATCCCATCACACAAGCTTCACGAACTGCACCTCCTACTAGCATTCTTAAGCCAATCTCGTTTGGATAAGGCATTGGCCTAATATAAGCTCCATAAGAAGCTAGAGAACTAACAAGAAAAACAACTTATTAGGTTCACATAAGAGATACCAAGTTCATTTTACAATTTATCATATTCGGATAAGGTGTTATTACCCCACTCTTCGAGATTTTACTTCAAGACACACAAAGCCACAAACTCTGTTTAGCTGAATGAATATATGTAATCATCAAATTGATCATGTTTATATGATATAGAATTATAGAGAGTAGAAAAAAGCTCCAACTCATATGAAGCTATAGATTTACTATGTATCCCTCAATTTAAACTTAATTGTCGCATTAACATGATTCTTCAGAATTATAAGATCCATAATGCAGAGACAAATAATCAAAACACAAAATAATAAGTTTTTCTTGTATTACTCTTGTCCTCAGATAGCTAGCCATTTGTCAAATTAACACATTCTTTAGTAAACTTTTAATTTACACTTACAACGCAAAATACTAGAGCTATAACTACTATTAGCCCAACTACTCATACATGTTCAAGCAATTAATTATAACATCTGTTAAAACATGTCCAAATCTTCTTTTCTTTTCTTAATTTTTTAACTATTAAGATGTGGAAAATAGACTGGGTGAGGCCTAAGAGATGAAAGAGACATAAACATGATCATTCACGTGAAAATATAGAAGATGACAAATTTAGCAAAATGCCCTTTTCACTATTTATTAATTCCCTTTTACAAAATATATTACATATCTTAAAATTTGAATAGTCCAGCATAAGCTGTTCGAGTACTCCGTATCATTCATTTATTGTTTGCTTTCTTACTCACCTTTGGTATTATTTTCTATCCACTTCCAAAATGTGTATCCGCAATCAATAATCATTCTTGTTTCTAATAAATTAAATAAAATATTGATTTTGATTTACAAAAAGATCCCGATATCTATTTACGCTATATATATATCTAGTTGCTTCAAATTACATACAATTCATTCCATTACAAAGTTGAATTTTACGTGATTATAAATGACTAAGCTTATTGTATACTACCTCCGTTTTTTTAGTTGATATGTTTTGACTTTGTGCACTATTCACATAACCTACTTTGACTTCAGTTTGTGATTTAGTGTTTGATAAATACACAGTCAAGTGCGATCTTGTTAGATTTATCTCAATGTCTACTTTCCAAACATCAAAATTTCATAATTTTTGCTAATACATAACTAAAAATATTTACATTTAAAAGTATGTATTGGCAAACGTGTCTAAATGAAATGTGTCAACTAATAAAAAACAGGGGAAGTATATGCAATTTCGCCTAACATAGTTATTTAGAAGAATTCATCAAGTTCATGCATAATTCTAGCAATCTGTCACCTTCATACTTAAATGTCCAATTAAACATCATTAAAAGAATCTAACCTTCAACATATCCTACTCTAGTGACTTCTACTACTTCTCAAGAGGCAAAATCTTGGAATATTACACAAGGGAAGGGGGCCTAGGATTGACTCTCCAATGTACTATCCAAACTTCAGAAAATTTAATTATGTTAGTACACATCTTCACAAGATCATGACCCACAAATTTTTGGCCTATGAGCTCTCCTTGATAGCTAGCTTACCTCCACCCTCATCCAGTTAATCATACGAGATTTGATCTCAGTTTCGACTTAAACTTTAACCAGCTAAACTAATCAACAGTGTTACATCCAAACACGAATCAATGTCAATAGTAAATAGTTTGTTTTTCAAAAAGGTAATGCATACAAAATAGCACTAGTCAAAAACATTTAAATGACCAAATGCGCTAAAATCCAAATGGGTATACGACAATCATGCATATAAATATATAATTGATATAAAAACATAAGTACCATTTTCACAAACACTTGGTGTGCATTACACACACATTTTAAACACAACCAAATAACAAAATTTCAATATTTGAAGATATTAAAAATAGGTGTACTCACTTATGGGGACGATGTCCTCCAGCCGAGTAGCCATCAGTTGAGGTAACATAAACCAAACCATCCATTTTTATAGCATTAAAAGCCGATCTCAAGAAGCTTGAATCACTACCAAATGAGTCAACATCAATGAAATCGAAAAAATCCCTTTGTAGATAACACTCACTCATTACTCTATTAGCATCTAAATGGGTAATTACCCATTTCTTTTTACCCTCTAAATTCTTCGGAATTTGAGACAAATTATCCATTATCAATCCCCTGTTTTCCTCATTTGCATCATTAACTAACACAAAATCGGCCCCCGATTCGGCTAAGTACCGAAGCGACCGCACCCCACAGCCACACATTGCATCGAGAACCCGTAATTCGGGGTTCGAACGCTTGTAGTGGGCGGCAGAAAGGACCCCGAGGTCCCGGCCTATGAAGCTCTCGTGTCGAAAGAAGGAATCACCCACTTGAAATTGGAGACCCCTTTCGGTTTCGTAATCGGTGGATTGAATCGATGAATGACATTTGGGGATAAAAGAGGGTGGAATTTGGGGTTTTGGAAGATTGAAGATAAAGGGTGAAAATGAAAAAGTTTGCATTTTTGGAGATAACGAATTTTTGAGAAATTTTGGCGGGAGATTATATAAATATTTGTGTTTTTAAGAAATTGGTTTGGTAGTTGAATATATTTTCTGGGTTTTGTTTTTTGGAATTTTTGGAGGTGGTTTGGTTTGTTGGTTGGATAATTGTGAAACTTGGAAGCACACATTTTTGAGACATGGCTACAAACAAAAACAGGTAAGTGTATCCATTTACAAAAAAAAAAATAAATAATAAAATAAAAAATAAAAAATAAAAAAAAAATCCTATTGTTTTATTTTATATTTTTACTTTATAAAAAATGTAATGTAATTTTTAACATGAGTACAAAAAAAAAAGTTATGGAAAAAAATATAAATGAGATACTATAAAAAAATACTTTGGAATAAATTATCCAATTATGCCAATGCAATGATTTCAAAATTTTCAATTTTAAAATTTTTGAGAAGATTTTTCCTTGTTCCTTACCTTCTTTATGGATTTCTAGTAAGGTTTTATTTATTATTTTTTTAAAAAAACTTTACATATCAAAAGTTTTAAAAAATGTGACAAAATTTATATATGAGAGATACTATGTATTCTGTAATACTTTGGTATAAACAACCGAATTTTGCCATTGTTAATTTGTTATAATTTCAGACTTTTTAGTTTTTAAATTTTTTGAAAAGATCTTTCCTTACCTTCATCGTGAATTGCCTACTAAAGTTTTTATTGTGAATATTTTTCTAACATGTTATAAATATTTGTTTTAGCTATGCTAATTTTACAACATATTACAATGTTACTTTTTTTTTTGAAAATATATAATCTAAATATATTCTTTAACATATTGAAAATAATTACTCCCTTCACTTGTTTGGAATCTATTTGATAAGATTGACAAAAAGAAGTCAAAGTAAGATAAATAGAAAGTGACAGAGATTGTACTATTTTCCTAATTTTCATTTAAAATGAGATTACTAATTCCAACTGATGGTTATGTTTTATTTAAAAAAAAAAATGTATGGTAAGTTTATTTATTATTGAAAAAAATCAAGTTAATGAATCTGGATTCCTAGGTTTATATGTATGATTAACTTTAATTTTGAAGTGTGCAACCTGCTTCTTATTAGATTCTTCCTTTTACTTTAACTTTAGACATAAAAACTAAATTGTGACGAAGCTTCAACATTCTTACAATTCAATTGTTACTTTCGTCCATATGTCATTTTGAATTTTAAACAATTCAACCATCAACACAATTATTTTATTTTTGACGAAATCTGTTAACATAATTTATAGATTACGTAGTTATACAACTCAAACTGTCTATATAGGTGCAAATGATAATGTTAATGAAATATTACCTTGAGGGGGTGTTTGTTTTGTGAAGATTGAAATTTTGAGATTGGGAATTGGGGAGGTGGGAATTTAGATTTTTATGTTGGCTTTGTCGGATGGAGAATTTAAAATGGTATTGGGAATAGAATGGGCCTATTCCCATGGTTCTATTACTAAGGGGGTGGGATGGAGAACGGAAATACCAAATTTTCATTAATGACAACATGCAAAAGGAAAGAAAATTAGTAAGAGCAATAATGTAATCTTAGAATTTATTCCGAATTAAATCTCATTACAAAGCAGATAAGGGATTGTTGATATTTTTTTAATTATAAATTTTCCATTCCAATATCATCCTCTAATCCTCAAATTCTAATTCTCGTATATTAGATGCTTTGAAAAGTTGAGAGACATTATATTAATTTAAGTTTGTACAAAAGAAGGATAATTAATCTTGATATTGTAAAACAAGCAAGCTTTAGTTTATAACCTTGATAAACAAATTATGTTTATCAAATGACAATTTCGTAAATAAGTTGCATTGAAAATTGTGTTTTTTGATTAAAAATATATATTTTTACTGTTTGTGGGCCACTATGACAAGTTGACAGATTTTTGGAATTAACACCGTTAACTCACCGTTTGCTACTATTCATCTTCTTCTTCCTCCCACCTTCTTCTTCTTCATGTTCATCTTCTTCCTCTTGTTCATATTTTTTCTTCCCACCCACCTTAATCTTCTTCCTCCAATCTCTGCTCACTTTCACCTCCTTTTCCAAGTCTGTTTGACACCATAGCCGGTGAAATTAAACGAAAACCCTATTAACAAAAGGAGAAATTAATGACATGGTTAACCCTAAAGGGTAGTTGAGTTTTCCTTCCTCCATTAAATTCGACTTCGTACCACAATTTCCGGCGACCCAAATAACAAAGTGAAAATAACGAACATCGTTAACCCTTGAGGATAGGCAGTGGCGGAGCCAGGATTTATAATTCGGGGGGACAAATTTTGGAGGTTAAAGTTTCGGCAAAAATCTCAAGAAAAAAATTGATAACCTAAATTGTTTAATATTTATTTGAAATCACATATGCCAATTATTTCTATATGGAAAAAGAGGGGTAAAAAAGTTTTATTGTATATTAAGAAAATTATCCAACAAAAATGAATAAATTTATATTTGTAAATCCTGTTATGTAATCACATAATTGATAAATAAAAAGTCAAATAATTATCGTTAAAACAAATTGATGGTAGATATGAAGGGCCAGGGTTTGAGTTACATTCGAAAAAATAAACTCAACTTTTTCAAATCAATCACATTATTAATATGTATTTCGTTAAAACACAGTTACAAACAATTAATTAATAGTAATCTATTTATTAGAAATGTAAAAAAAAAATTGAGTTTAAGCACACTTAGTTAAAGCGATAATTAAAAACAAGAAGTAGGAAATAAGAAATAACATTAAAAATCCTAAAACAAGAAATAGGAAATAAAAAATCAAATTAAAAAGGTTGTTGAAAATTAGAGTATGTAATAAAAAAAACAAGAAGTAGGGGAAAAAAAAAACAAAAAAGCTGAAAAACAGTAGAGTAGGGAATCGAACCTAGGACCAAAACACAGCCTTACTAAGGACTCAACCACCAAACCATATTCAATATTGTGATATCTACTGTAAGTATATGTTATTTATAGCCTTTTACTGTATTTTCTTGATTTTTTTTTTTTTTAAAAAAAACTTTTTTTCCGAAAATGGGGGGACAACTGTCCCCCCTTGTTCTAATGTGGCTCCGCCACTGAGGATAGGTAAGTTTTTCTTCCTCCATAGATGTCACTTATTCGAGTCATAGTGAGAAGAGGTATTTTCTACCATTGAAATTGAAGGTTGAAGGAGGAGAGAGAAAACAACAAAAGGTTAAAGGAGGAGAGAGAAAATCAAAAAATACCAAAAGGTTGAAGGAGGAGAGAGAAAATCAGAAAATACCAAAAGGTTCAAGGAGGAGAGTGAAAACAACAGTTAACCAAAAGTTAGATATAATTTACATATACACCCTTTGATAAACAATTTTTGTTTATCAAGGTTATGAACTTGTATTTTCTCATTGTAATTTGTAAAACCAGGAGTCATGGACATTATAAAATAATGTTATTTGACAAATTAATGTTGCGCTATTTAATGGCCTTGTTGCTCCAATTGCTACTTTACATTATATAATCTATTAACCTATACTAAAAGCAAATCCTTCCATGACACTTGTCATTACCTTCTAAAAAAATTTCTCGCCTTTTTCACTTCTCTCTTTTTTTTTTTGCAAAATCTTTAAATAAACTAGTTATACCTTATGATATTTTCTTTCCAGTTTGACAATCATGTTCCATATATACCCATATGAAATATTTTCGAACATCTTTTATATAATTTATATTTTGTAATATTATTGTCAAAAATATTTAACAAGCACGGGATTTTAACCTAGTTTTTAATAATTTTAAAAACTCTATACATTTCAACTTATTGATTGTGTTTGTGTTATATCATTTTGAGTAATAGTAAATTGTTCTATATCCTTTATACGAAGTAGTAATTATCAAATGTCTTTTGTTTATTGTACAAAGATGTAGAATAATTATTGAATATATATTTGACGAATAAGGTATTATTCTATTTCATATGGAAGGTAAAAACACAAGTGACCAAAACTACATCATTGATTTTTTTTTTTTAAACAATACTAATATTAAACAATACTAATATTGTCTTGCAATAAAAGTTATATTAGTATCATTAAAACATATGAAAAAGAATTAGTGCAATCAAATAATCACCCAACTCAAAATTAATACTTGTATACATTATATTAGTGAAGTAAAAGTCATAATTAATTACATAATTAAGGTGGTATGTGAGTATGTCAACTACATTAGTTTTCATTGGTTTCAAGTTCAAATCCTACTAAAAACACCTTTTTATATTCTAATAAACTAGTGTTGGCCCAAGCGATGCTCTGGGATGCTAGTTTGTACTTGTTTAGTTTGCTAATCATGTTCGGTTGTGTTTTTCTTAGTGTTTTGATAATCATCTTGAAATTTCATGACTTGAAAAAAGATTTATAAACACTAATTATCTTATCCAAGCTAATTATAATTTTGTTTGATAGAAAAACACGATAAATGAATATATAGCTAAGATGGTAAGACTTAGCTAGTAACTTAATATTTGTTGGTCTCGAGTTCAAGTCTTGCTATAAGAATTTTTAGTTGTCAAATCTAATATATGGTGTGGAGGTGACATGTCATCTTAGTGTTTAAAAGTGTAACACGTGACACATATTGCTGACATGTCATGTTTATAGTGCTTAAAAAAAGGTAATATGTAGCACATATTTTGTTTTAGTTTGATAATGTGGCCCATATGTTTATATATAAAGAGGTTCCACACTCCCATGTGGCACATATACTCTATTAAGAACGAATTTTAGTAAATGAAGAACGTTTTGTGTAAATTAGTTTAGATATTTTTTTAGGGTACACAAAATGTAATTTGAATAGCTTCCCCATATACTTCAACTTTTTTGCATATTCCTCCCTCATTGTTTTTGTTGCTCTTCTCTCACTTCAAGCAAAAAGTCTCAATATTTTACAAATTTGCTTTGTCAAAATTCAACATTTGGTACCTTAGATCTCCTATTCTTATCTAACCTACAGGTAAATTTATCAAGTGCTACCTTTTGTATAATTCATTTTGCCATTCCTTTTCATTTTTTTGATTAAATCCTATGAAACCATTTATATTAATAATGATAATATTAGTTGGATTCCGATGTTACATTTATGGTTTAATATGTGATATACTGAAATTGTTGATGTTAAATCCCAATGCGTCCTTACTTCTTTAACTTGAAACCTTAGTGATAAAAATCAAGCCTTTTTGAGCAACCACAGTCTAACTAAAAGTAGTAAACTCAATTTATATGGTTTGAAATTGTAATAGTTAATTACTTTGGAGATATATTTCAAATTAGATTATAACTTACAATGTGTATTTCTGAAATCTAAATAAATCAATAACATTCCCTCACATATATCATAAACATTGTTTTTTTGAAGACTTGAATTGAATTGTTGAGGCTTAATTTTTTTGGGCGGTTGCTGGTAGCAAGCAAAATTTTCGCCGGTATAACATATATTTGCTGATTTTGATGACTAATGCAATGGCTACGACCGACCAAACATGTGAATAGAAATTAACACATCATTATTACATCACACATGTCAATCTTGTGAACCAAATGCCTATATTAATTATGGTGGTTTCTAGGAAATTTGCAGATTTTCCGCTGATGCAACGTATCTCGTCAACGTTGTTGACTAATTTAATGACTATGAGCAACCAAGCTCGTGAGTGGAAAGTAACACGTCATTACAATATCACAAATGCTAATATTTTGAATCAAGGACCTTTATTACTATTGATGGTTACCGGTAAACCTGCAGAATTTCCGCTAATTCAACGTTTCTTGTATACCACTATTAATGAGTATGCAATGACTATGTGCTACCGAACACGTGTATAGAAACCGTAGGACAATTTAGTGACCATGTGCTTAATCGAACATGTGTACAGAAGATTAGAAGTAGTAGCAGACCGTTCCGCACCCTATTATGTCAATATTTATAAACCAAATACCAATACCAAATACCTTATTATTAATCAAATTCTAGATTAGAAGAAAAAAAAATTGGGGGAGAGAGAAACCTAGACACCTAGTGCATACCACCTCTAAACCCAACAACATAGATTAGAGAAGAACCCTTCAATATTCTTGCCTAAATTCTTTTCTCTTTTCCATTGTTTTTCATTAAGGCAGTTGGGTTTTGTTTCCTGTTTGATACTATGGGTATTAAAATGGAAACTACATCTAATTATGGAAGATTTCAGCGTTTCTTTGGAATTCATCATACTCAATTGCTCTTTCTGGGCCAATATCTTTCCAAAATATAGCTAATTAAAGAATCTGCTACCCGATTTACATGATCTTGAGGGATAAAAATTTTGTATTTTTATTTTCTTCCCTAGTTTTAAAAAATCAAAAATCCCATTTATTAAACATGATACACTGTTTCCCATGCTTTTCTGATTTCATAATCATCATAATTATAATTTGTATTAATTGTTATTATTTATATTATGATGATGGGTTTCATATTTTATGGGATGTCTCCATTTTTGGTGGTGTGTTCTTTGAAGAGATGCTGAAGGAGCAATTTCCTTATTACTCAATTACAAGGATAAGGGCACCTCCAAATGTGGAAGTTTTTCATTCTCTGGACTTTCACCACTGCAAAGACTTAGGGTTTTCTATGGGTAATCACCAATTTCTTTCTATTTTTATTAATTTTTTTGATGTACTTACATGCCTAATTATGATTATTGTTTATTTTTTTTTTGAAATACCCATATGATTGATTATGATTATTGTTAATTTTTTGAAGTACCCACATTGCAAATTATGATTTTTGTCTAATTTTTCTGAAAAGTTTGATTTTTATGACAATTTATTTATGTATTTATTATTTTTATTAGAGTGGGATTTTGATATTTTGTTTGTGTGTACTCTGTTTCAGCAACATAAAGTGAGAGAATTGTTGAGGCTTGGGCATCAGAATCTCTAGCATTGCCTTTCAGTTGCTCCATTATACTGTAGTAACCAATGTCTAACTCCTGGTTAGTATCACCCCTTATACTGTATGTTGTTATTTGTTATACTGTCTCAATTCTGGTTATTGTTTTGTTGTTTGCAATTTTTAGCATGCTGTGTTATCTTCTGTTTTGTTCTGTTCTGGTTATTGTGTTCTGTTTTTGGCCATTGTGCTCGGGTGTGTTTCAAGTTGATTTAAGGACTTTCATCGTGGTCAGACTTCGTTAAATCAATTTATTTAGTGTGTGTGTGTGTATAGTGCTGTATGTCTTCACTGTTGAGTGAGACCAGTATTAACTTTGAGAACTGCACTTTGATTCGTGCGAATTGGTGCATAGTGTAAAATTGTACAAGCTAGGACTACTCTAACAGGAGTAGGTTGTGAATTATTTTTCCTGCTTTCCAGCTTCCAGGCAATACCGAGTTAGACTTCTTGATATTTGATCATGTAATGCCTGTTTGTCTGATTATTCTAAATTCTAATAAGAGAATGCATATAATTTTATCCTAGGACTATTAAGAAACTTGGAAGCTATTGCAATAATAATGGGATTTCAGATTTGGTGAACTTTGGAATAATGTATCATTATGGAACAAACTGATATAAACGATTCTTATGTGTTACCTTGGTGTTGTAAGAAAATCCTTTTATCTCAGCTTGCTTTTCTTCCCTTGTGTATAGCTTCTTAGGGCTTTGATTTGTCAGAAAAATTCATGAAAAAGGCATAGAGACTAAGTTGGTGACTCCTGTAATGTGTACCTTTGTTTATTTTCATAGAAGGGATGCTTTGTCTGACTGCTATTCACACTAGTCTTTGATAGGTGGTCAGCTGTTTGTAGATTTTAGTCACAAAAGATTAACATGTCTGTAGATTTTCTTGTACTTCTGTTTTTAATCTTCTGGGATGCACAAGAAGAAAGCTAACAAGTATAATTTGTTGGCTAAAATGATCCTACTTTGATAAACATTTCTACAGTATCCTAGTGTAATAAATTTTCATGCTCAGCTCCTTGTGCCCAAATTTTGCTGGAATACCCATGCTGTGTTCAAAAGGGTTTTAGTAGTCGTTCCTAATGATATACTCTGCCATGAACATTGTAATGATCATCCTGGTAAAAAAAAAAAAAAAAAAAAAACCATTCCTCTAAATATAAAGAGTAGAGAGGTTATTGCTATTCTCTCCGCTCTACAATTTCTCCTACTACACGAAGTTCACTGTGCAATTTTCTTATTCTTGCTCGAAAACAAAGAAGGTTGGAGAGTGGGGCATGTTGCATATTTAAAGTATGCTATTTTATCCAGACCTTTCAAGTCACAATTTAAAGTCAAGGTAGATGATGGGTGGTATTGTTGTTCTTTTAATTGAGTTTTTAATAAGCTGAGGACTTAGAATATATATTTTGGAATATTTTTAATAGGATTTTTTGGAATAGTAGTTTATGTTTATGTAGTCTCCTTGTTGCTTAGACATCCTTTTGTTATGTAGCTGTTAATATCTGAAAGGTGAAAAGGTTCTTCTTATGAAGAGCACACTGTGAGTATATCCCTAATATAATATACAATAGTTTAGAGGTAGATATTTTACTCATATAAGTTATCATGTATGATTGCATCAACCAATCAAGAATAGTCATGTGGGGTTCAGACAAATCTATGCCCTAATCTATACTGGCATTTTCCATCCAAGTGCATCGACGCCCCATTATAGTGATAAAGAATAGTCTATGACGCCTTGGCTGGCCTCAGATTTAGTGGTCATTATTGGATGTCATTTAGTTAAAGACAATTGAATCAACATAAATTTTTAGATATCATATTCTTGAGGTGTTTGGTATTGAGATTGATAATGTTTAAAGATTTCTTGCTTAGCAATGTTAAGATAGGATGAACCGATGAATTGCTACAGAGTACATATTTCTAGTAATAGTTACTAAAAGTATGGTGTGACTTGTTAGGGTTATGTACCTGTGAATGAACTTTTATTGAGCTGTAGGACATCTACGTAGTCGTAGTATTGGCTCATAGTCAATAGTTTTTTTTTTTTTTTTTTTTTTTTTTTTTTTTTTTCAAAGTATTAGTAGTTAACAAAAAATGTAAGTGGTACTTTAAATATAAAGGCAAATTCTATAATAATCAATCTAATATCTTATTATAACTTAACACTACCTTTTGCACTTATATGAGAATTTTGTATTGATTGATCTATGGAATGTTATTAGTCGTGAAGAATGGGATTTTTTTGCGGAAGCATGTCTAAAATTCTCGCTTCTATTATCTCTCTTAATAATTTGATTATTTTGATTCACCTTCTTGCTTAAGTGTAGGTTGTGGGTTGTGTTAAAAGTTAAGATTAGGGATCGATATTTTATTTCTCTTTGAAATTTTCATTCCATACTATACTAATGCCTTTGTTTCACATTATGTACAACAATTGAGTACTTTTTGTAAGATATAAAAAATTCAATTGTTGCACATGGTGTGAAACGGAGGTTGTATTTGAATGGGAAAAAAAAAAAAAGAATGTACTACCTCCATTTCTAAAAGTTCGACTCACTTACTATTTATGTGGTCAAAATAAAATAGCTTTGACCACATTTTATGAGCTATACAATAGAAATAAATTAGCATCTGAGTTCTTATTAGATTCCCCTTATTATAAATAATCCAACTATCAACTTTTTACAATTTTCACTTATACACAATCGGAGTTATTCATGGTCAAAGATGTTCATTGGAGATTGCGCAATTGCAAAGTGAGTCGAACTTTCAGGAATGGAGGGAGCATATCAAATGCTTTTAAATGGATGAGCTGGTGATTGGTGACTTAAATGTTCATCCTCTTAAAACGATAGAGTTAGCTAGTGTTCTCTTTGCATTGGTTTCAATAATTTTATATTATTGACCCTGATTTTATGTTATCTTATGTGAACTTATGAGTCCTTATTTTTATCTTATTTGAATTTATTATTGGGCCTTATTACACCTTATTGGAACTTATTAGCCTAATCTTATTTGAACTTACCGGCCCTTGCTAGCTTTTATAAGCCCTTATTTATCTTCTATGAACTAATATGAACTTATTAGCCCTTATCTTATTTTGTCGTATATGTAATTCTGAATGTATAGGAAATTTGAGTCCATTGGTAATATTTTCGTTATCTGCATCACCTATGTTATACTAGTGATATTAGTTATATATGACATTGCTTTTAGTAATCATTTCAACATGTGCACTATGTTAGATAAGATCTTTGTGAACTCTGTTCTGATGTTCACAACTTAAGGCAATGTATGCAATGAAAAGAAGTATATATGATAGTGTCACAATTCAATTATGTATCATGGGGTATTCTTACATATATATTGGAATGAACTGACGTTTTTATATAGTAATTTAGTGAAGCTTTTGTTGTTCTTACATAGAGTAAAGAAGAGTACCGTATGAGGTTGAGGACACCAATAGTGAAGATTAAATGTTTGGGTGCATCATAAAAAAATTGTGAGATAGTGTATAGTATGGCATTTAACAGTTCATATTTTAAATAATATATTGAAAATTTTCTTGATACTTTCATGTTGGAAACTCATAGGTGTGTCAGCTGTGCCTTTGATACCAGTTTGTGCTAAAGAACTTTGATGTACTTGGGATGTATCTTAAATTTGGTGTCTTAACTATTTGCCTAACCAATTATTTTTTTTTTCCTTTTTCCCTTGTAAAAGTTCATGGTATTGAAAATTAGTCTGAGTCAGCAACATTAATGGCCTTTTAAGTTTTAACTAAAAATCTGAAATCATATATGGAAATAATCCCACCTGGCCACCATCAAAAGGTGAGGATCATGCTACATGCCTAATTTTGGGGTATGGGGAGGTCTTGATGTACACTGCTTTGGCTGAAAGGTTGTTTTGGGGTTTGTTGTGGAAAAAGTAAGTGAATTTGAATATGACGTCTATTATTGTAAGCATTAATGTAGCAGCGTATCCTAATAGATGCAGCTTTATGTATCTATGGGCTGATTAAGCTTGTAAGTAATTTTTTTATTTTTTTGTTTTTTTTTCAATACAAACAAGATTGCATTTATGAAAATAACTGTATGGAGCAAGAGTATTGAATGGATTTTGAAGGTAATTTGTATTCCGTTGCTTAATTTTTGATTTACATGAATCATGCAACCTACCATTAAAGTTTTGTCTTTTGTGTCAGTTTTCACACTTCATTATGGAGTTACCTTCCTTTCCGTAAGATTACAAATTTTTTTTTGGAAAAGGTGAAACTGTTGACTCTTATGTTCTGCATTTGGTTTGACCTCCTGACTCCATCATGACCGTTCAGTGAGACTACATCAATTTTGATTTTCCTGATTTCTTTCCGCATCTTTTCTTTACCCATTTCCCGTATATTCACAATTTTTACCATGTGTCACTTAAGTAGACAATTTACGGATGTCTCCCGGAGTCAAATGCTTTTTTTACTTCTTTTCAAATTCTGTTTTGCTCTCTTTTTAATTTTTTAGGAGGTTATCTCTCAGATTTTCAAATCTTAGAGTAGAGATCTAATCAATAGTTTTAACGTTGAGAGAAAAGGGGAAGGGATGGGGATATCTTAAATTAAAAACAGAGCTTTGGAACTCATTTCACCATTCTAGACAAAAATCACCAGAGTTCCTTCTAAGGTTAAGCTATTAAATTTCATTTGCAATTTTGCGTTTCTAATTTAAATTAGAGTGCTGATTACTGCTTTAGTTGTTATCTCCCATCCATTTCTTATGTATTTAGCGATTCTCAGTATTATTTTTTATTTGCTTTTCTGTACATTAGCTATGCATTTGATTTCTGGTGATTTTATGTTTGATAATTTTTTGATTTTTTTTTAGGGATAAAGTTTGCAGTTTTCTGGAGACGATGGATATCCAAAATTTACGCTCACCTCATCCATCTTCATTCTCATCTTCATTAAGCTCTAACTGCGACGTGAATCCTTTGCCAATTGATGTTAGAAGATGGGAGGTGGGTGACAGGACGGCTCAGCAGATTTTGTCCGTTATCCAGCCTAATGCTGAATCTGAGAATAGGAGGAAAGAGATCATTGAATATCTTCAGAGGCTTATTGAAGATGTTTTTGAAATAAAGGTGAGAACTTCATTTCTATCTCCATTTCATATTTATGTTTGTATAATTGTATGTATATCTAGTATCTATTTATTTGTCAACTTTTAAATATAAAACCCTTTTGTTCCTTGAACCCTGTTCTGTTTTGTGGGTTGGCATGGACAATTTTCTACTCTCTCTTGGCTTATTGTTCATTTGATACTCTTAGTCACTTCATAGTTGAGAGGTTATGAAGTTAGTAGTGGATTATTTAAATTTTAATGTCAGGGTTATTTTTTGGAATAATGCCCTCTTTTAGAGCCCTCCCAACGGTAAGGATTTTCTTCTCACGAAGTAAAATTTTGGGAAGAATTGTATCCCCATGGTGAATAATCACTAAAAAAATTCACAAAGATTTGTAAAAAAGTTCATGTTGTGAACTTTCTCACCAAAAAATCACACGGGTCCCACATCTGTCAATTCTGATTTTTATGTTGTATAAGAGAGAGAAATGTGGGGTATGGGGAAAAATAGGAGAGCAGATTGGTGAAGGTTTTTTTGTTTACTTCATTAGTGGGTTTAAAAAAAAAATTCCTCACCAAAAATCTGGTTAGTATGTTCATGGTTAATTAAAAGATGGTGAAACTTGGGATTATTATTAATTTAATCTTATTAACGATGTGTCATAATTATATATGTACTTTTGTTTATTTTATCTTAGTATTAACTTTTATTATTATACCCAATTCATGTTTTATGAATTGTATTGATTTCTTTTGCTAAAGTTTTCTCAAACCTTTATGTTTTTAACTCACATGTTTTTACCACTCGTTTAAAACTTTCTTCAATTTTAGTCTTGGTTCTCTTTGAAAACTCACTTAATATTTAGGATGCTATTTCTTTTTCTCATTTTACACACCTTTTTTTGAAACTTCCCTTTCAATCAATTATCTTGTTATGTCCCATTTTCTATATCGGACGATTCCTTATGATGTTTCATGTTAGCTGACCCCAAATCATTTTGGTAATAAGGTTTTGTTGTTGTTGTTACTCCCTCCGTGTTTAAATAATGAAACGTTTCCTTTTTTTGGCCGTGTTTAAATAAATGGAACATTTCCTTTTTTAGTAACCTCTCTCTATTTTTTAATATAATATTCTCTTTTTTTTTTTTTTTTTTAATAATGTTCTACTAACTAGTAGTCCCCACAAACCCCTTATATTCTTCTTTCTCCTCAAACTTATACCCCAGTACCTAATATTTTAATAAATTCAACTAACCTTCCTAAAACTCCGTGAAAGTCAAAACGTGTCATTTATTTAAACACGGAGGGAGTATTATTGTTATTCTTCCTCATATTTTAGATACAACACTTCTATTTTCACGCTTGCCAATGCATAACTTCAACCATTGATATTTGTAAGTACTAGTAAGTAAAATTTATACTTCGTAGAAGGCTATATTTTGTCAGCATAAATTGAGATGAATCTAACAACTTCCACATGGCTATGTTTTCTCTTAATTATAAATCATCACAAATAGTCAAAGTTAGTCTATATATAGTGTAAATTTTGTAAAAATGCAAAACTTAGCATGATTTGTTATAATTGTGTCCCGAGTAGAAGTCCCATTTATCCAAAAACATTGCCCCTTTATAAAAGTCTCATACCTTTTTCTATTGCTATATTCACTTTTAAGCAACCATACCCCACTATCTTATTTATTTATTTTTTATCCACTTTAATCAATTAAACCCCACTATCTTGCTCTTTTTTTTTTTATTTTTTTTTATTTATTTTTTTATTTTATATATTTATATTTTAATATTATTATCCACCTTTAATCAACCAAACCCTAAGTCCTCAATGTCTTGTTTTTTGTGTTCACCTTCCTAAAAACTTGTGCAAAAGGCAAGTAGGACTTTTATTGGGGACGGAGGGAGTATTTGCCTTTTCTCTTCCCAAATGTGGCTTTTTCTTTTTTCATAGCCTTAAAAATTGTTTAATCAAATGAAACTTGCTGAATGTGCTTTGTTTTGAATTTCCAGGTTTTCCCTTTTGGATCCGTTCCTCTTAAGACCTACCTTCCACATGGAGACATCGACTTGACTGTAGTTAGTTATTCCAATACTGGCCAAGATTTAGCTGCAGAGATCTGCCATCTCCTAGAAAATGAAGAGAAGAGAAACACTAGTTTTCAAGTTAAGGATGTGCTTTGTGTCCCTGCGCAGGTTTGTCTCTAGCCTTGCCTTTTGTTAATTTACATTTCACTAAAGATGTAATAAAAGGTCTACTATGCTCTTTGTTTTCGTACTTGTAAGCCCTCATAACAAAATGGTAATTGGTAATCTTTACCCTCTTTTTTCATTTTTATATGGACTAGATTTGGGGGATGGAAGCTTTGGGGTAAATATATGTGATGTTTATATAAGAGGATTATTAAAGCAAAATTTATGGTCTTGCTACAAGATAAAATACCTAGTATGGATCTTATCAAAGGTATAATTAGGGATAATGAGATATATTTGCATCCTAATCCTTGCACTTTTAATGAAAGACCTTGCACTTAGCCAACAGTGACCTTTATTGCCCAAGTCACCACTGAGGTTGTTTATATTAAACTTTGCATTATTTTTTAGCGTTTAGTTATTGTAATTTTTTATTTGATAAATGATGTGATATGGTGAGAGTTAAGTGATGGTAAAAATGACAATTTTTTTCATCATTTAGTTTTTGGGTTATTTATATATTTTGTTTTCTTTTTAAAATAAAATTAAATGTTAAGAGTTTTTTTTTTTTTTTTTTTTTTTTTTTTTTTTTTTTTTTTTTTTACCTTCAGAGAAACCTATAGGTTTTTTTTTTTTTTTTTTTTTAATTTATTTATTTTTTAATAATTAACAAAGGATCTTATTATGAAGGCACTAAGGTGGTTATAAATATAATGTAAAAAAGGTTTATGCTTTCAAGTTGTTAAGTAAGATATCTACAAAATTAGTAACAGTTAAGTGACAGCTAAAATGACTTTATACAGAAGGAGGGCTAAGGATAAGAAAACTCACTCCCTAATTTGTCTACAAAATCTAGAATAGTCAAGTGGCACTTACAAGCTATAACTTGACTCTAGCTAAACAAAATCACCACAAATTGGAACTTGAGAAAGGAGGCAATACATATGCTAACTTTTCTTCATCATGTGATAAAAAAATGGCTTTCAATTACCTCCTATAAATAGGGGTGAGAAATCAACAATAAAATAGATGCCTTTTGTTTATAAAAATCTGAAATTTGTGAGTTAGTTCGATTGAACTGATTTTATTTCTAATTGTTGCTTTTCTTCTTGTTTTAGTTGAAAAGATCAAACTTCCTTGAATTAGGTTTATCCCTAATTGCTAGTGTCATTTATTTCGTTCAAAATTTCCATAACCTCTAAAAGCGCGGTTTAATCCATATCAGGTGTGGAGTAAGAAAAGTTGTTTTTAATAACGTTGGGTTGTCAAAGTCTGTTGGTTCTTATTCTTTCCACAAAATTCATTTTGTCTTCAATGCTCTCTTTCTTATAGACTCTCTCTCTTTTTGGATAAGTGAACTTATTTGATAGAGATCTCGAGGGTGTTAGGTACAATAAGTTAAACTTTCGATCTCAATAAGGCATTTAGAGTAACAAGAGAGTAAAAAATTTCCTCATATTTATGAATTGCTCCTAGTCTTATGTATGAAGTCTCAAAATAATTTCCTCATAAATATTATGTCTCATAGACCATATTTTGTAAGATCCACATAGACCAGTATGTTTTTAAAAATTGTCTAATCTTTTTTTTTTTTTTTTTTTTTTTTTTTTTTTTTTTTTTTTTTTTTACGTGCACCATAGAAAAATGGGGAGCCAACATTTGTACTTCCTACTTTCTAATCTAAATTTTTTTAAACCCTTCTTCTCGATTGAATCCTTGTATAGGCTATAAGTCCTTTAAGCCAAAGAAAGTATTGTTAGGTCACAAAGTAGAGTTATATTGCCTTTTCTTATAGGCTTTTTGGCCTAACATGTCTTCTTTGCTCGTTTCCTTTTTGCCCATTCTCATTTCTCCCTTTACTTCTTTTCCTTTGTGTTCTCCCAACTTACCAGGGTAATGATGAAACTTTTAATAACTAATGAGTGGAAGGTATTGTTGCCGACGCAGTGTGAATTTTTTCAAAAAATTTCTCGATTCACATGTTTAAAATTTAAGATGTATTCTTTTTTCAGCGTAATGTTACTAAAGCTTTATGACTATTATGAGTGATTTATATATTGGTGAATTGAGCATTTTTATACAAACTTCTAGACCTTACAATAAACTTTTTTCCCAAATATCCACCCTCCAAATTTTCCAATTTAATGCCATCTCAAATCTCAAAATCCCTTCGCGCTTGCAATATTGGTCCAATGTCCAAAATTTACTTAAGCCCTCTTATACCTTAAATTTTTTAGAACATTATCCAAATCAAGACCCCTTCCTATATTCCACTTGCAAAAGCTCTTATGGAGGTAAGGAGACTAGTTGTAATACACAAGCAAGAGAAAGGGCTATGTTTTGTGCAATAACAACGCACTAGCGGATGTTACTAGATGGAGTTGAGCATATTGCTTATAGGAGAAAAGGACAAGGAGAGCAATAAACATCTGGTAACTCTCAGCCTACTTAAAATCATTATTGATATTGTCAAATCCCAAAATCATAAACTAGTGGGAACTTGGACACTTGGATATGGGGTTGTGGTTAAAATGTGGGTAATCCATAATTATCACTTGTAGAAACATAGGATTTTGCTTCCACTAAGGGATTTGGAACTTTTCTTGGAAGCGGAGAAGTAAAAATAAGGTGACTATAAGTATTTTCAAATTTGTGATATTTTCGTCCTATTTAACTCAAGATCCTTGAATAGTGATGGTTAGACCAATTGGGCACAATCATTACAAATAGGAAGCACCAATCGATTATGTTTATGGTTGGAGGTGAGATGGTTGATTGGCTATGTTCTTAAGGTTGAAAGAGTCATTAAAGGTGATGTTAAAACCATGGAAAAGGAGGTGAATTATGAGTCGCAATTAAAGGAGGAAGGGTGTCCCATGAGGAATTGTAGGTTATAATGCCACGAAAATTTTGGTGTCAATCATCCAACCGTACTATTTCACATGCTAATTGGCCTACCTATAGGACATTGTTCTAAAACAAGGAAGCTACCCAAGACTTATCATTTAATGCAAAAAAGATGAGATAGAAAGTTCATATAGGATATGATTGTGGTCGAGACCTTTCTCAAGTCCCTTTTTCAAGCTCGATTTTATTGGTGAAGATGTCATGGTGCCCTTAACCAAGAGATTGTGTTGGAATTGTATCTTTATCTTCATGGGTCCAAGGATTCTTCAAATCAAACCTTAAATTGTGTATTATCAAATGCTAATTCATGAGGAAAACTTTAACAAGGTGAAGGAGAGTGTCATTATAGATGCTTTCTAAACCTCTGAACCCCTATATTACGGGTAGAACTCAACCATTCTAAGAGGGGCAAATTGGTGATCCATGAGCAATTGTTGTTTACACTGCCACAATTTGTGGTATCTACCATCCAATCTTACACACTAGCTTTTCACATGCACATTGGTTTGGGATGGAACAAGGAAGCAACCCATTGAGCATAATACTTTATCATAATCCTCATTGGCCTACTTATATCACATTGGTTTGAGATGGTTTTTGTACACACAAATGTCATTATGGATTCTTAGTATGCTCTTGAGTTTGAAGAATTTCCCTTGTCAGTCGCTTACAAAGGATGATTTCACCTTTACATACAATATTTGTACTAGAATTGTTTGATGATGTATTAGTTACTCCCTCTGTCCCTATTTTTTTTTCTTTTGCCCCATTTGACTTTTCACGGTCTCCAAGACGCGTCTTAAAACATATATAACTCCATTTTTTATGCGTAAAAATTGTAAAAACTTGATATTAATAAAATATATAATGAGACGAATCCAACAAGACTCTACTTGACTATATTATCTCTTATAGATTAATGAGAATTTACGGTCAAAGTTTTTGAAGTTTGACCTAATTATTTGCTATGGGGCAAAAAAATAGGGATATAGGGAGTACAATATAATAAGTTGAAACATTTAGGCATTGACAATATTGTTGGAGACTTTGGCAAAGCCTTAGTGATGACAAAAAAGCGTAGTTTGAGCTTTTAATTTCAGAATGTATTGTGTTAATGATTTGGAGAAGGTTAGAGTAATGAGCCTAATGGCTAACTGGCCTTTATCTATATCATAACCCTTTGTGACTTTAGTGGTTTGCTTGGGATCACTAGGTATCACAGAAATTCCATTGTAAATTATGCTAAAATTGTTCTTTCATTAACAAAGTATTACATAAACAAAAACGTTTTAATTGGTCCAAAGAGGCTAACAAGGCCTTAAGAGCACTGGCGGAGCCAATTAAGTGACATGGGGGGACAACTGTCCCCCCAATTTAAAAAAAAAAATAAAAAATAAAATTGCATTATTTGGTAAGAATGACAAGAACACTGCAAAACTAACCCCCAAGTAAGTTGAGTAAAATGTCTGGTTTTTTAATTGAGTTTCTTCTATGATTGTTGATGTTGTTGATGCCGCCATTGAAGAAGTTGGGGGAAGAGAGATAAAGAAACAGAAAGAGAGTGAGGAGGAGAGAGAAAGTGAGAGTTTATCAGTTTTTGTGGGATTGGAAAATGTGATGGATTAGTTTTTTATTTGGGGAGTTGATTTTCTCGGCTTTTTTATGGATGGTGGTCTACTTTTTTAATGCTTTTATCTTAGGAAAAATTACCAAAGGAAGCTTCATTAAGAAACTATACTCCATATTAGACGCGTGGCAAAACTATTTATCAAACTGAGTTTGAGGGTAAAACGCCATCTAGGGTTGCGTTTTACCCTTTGGCAATTTTTTTTTTTAAACATTTCAGTAAGGGGTAAAGCGCTACCCTGGATGGCGTTTTACCCCTGACTGAAGAACAATGAAATAAACTGAAGTGAAGTAGCAGTTTTTACCCGATGCAAAAACTGCAGCGTGGTTGGCGTGTTATGAAGAAGACAAAAACGCCCTCCACGTCGGCGTTTTACCCTTTGGATTTTTTTATTTTTTTTTACATTTCAGTTAGGGGTAAAACGCCATCCAGGGTAGCGTTTTACCCATAACTGAAATGTTTTTAAAAAAAATTTATCAGGGGTAAAACGCTACCCTAGATGGCGTTTTACCCTCAGGCTTAGTTTGGTAAATAGTTTTGCCACGCGTCTAATATGGAACATTGTTTGATAATTAAGCTAGATTGGTAATTTTTCCTTTATCTTATTGAGTAATTAGAAAAGAAAATCTTTTTTTTGCCATATTCTTTGGTCAGCTTTCAACAAGTCTAGTTTATTAGTTTAGCTTGCTTTCTGTTGGCTTTAAATATGACATACTCGTATTGACATAAACGTAGTAACATGGGTGATCAACTTATAAATGATGATTTGGTTTACTTTTATTAAGAAGGATGTCTTCTTACAAGTTTCCGATGAAAAAATTATTGATCGCTTTCAAAATACGAAGACTTGAAGGATGCAAGTGTAATTTTAATTTAATATTTATGTAATTTTTTTCATCATTTTGAATTGTATGACTAAGTATTTTATTGTATTTTGAAATTTTAAAATTAAGTATTAACCAATTTGTGTGTTTGAGTTTTTTTTTTTGTTAGATTTTTGTCAAATTATATTATATCCATAATCCGTCCCCCCAATTTGAAAATCCTGGCTCCGCCACTGCTTAAGAGGGTCATCCAATCTTAGTTATAAGGGATTTCAAAATGATTTTATGCTGGAGAAAGATGCAAGAGGTCATGGTTTGGGTGTAATATTTTTGTAATTTGTTTAATCAAACGCTGAAGCCTAGAGCACAACTTGTCTATATTGTAAGGTTAGAGCTCATGGCAATGGTGCTTGCAGTACAAAAGTGGAAGTGGAGGAGCCTGAGTGCATTTGATTTGTGGTTTTTTATGGTAGCAAACACTAGCCAACTTTTTTAGGGAACCTCGTAAAATGTGAGAAATCGGTGAGGAAGGGCAGCAGCACTGTGGTTTTCAGTGGCGGGGAGCATACTTTTATATAAAGTAAGGTTAATGGTCCCAACAAATTCCCGTGCTACTAGTGTTACTAATGCTCTTTTAAAGGAGTATCATACCAATGTATGGCTAGTAAGTGGTATTGAGCTAGTAAAGGAGTATCATACTAACAGTATCCTGGGAAACAAGTCCTATAGTATGAATTATGAATCACTTTACCAAAAAAAATTATGAATCCTGGGAAACAAGTCCTATAGTATGAATATTAATAGGAGGTAGGTCAGATACTCTTAATGTGCAAGCTATAATCCATGTTTTTACCTAATTTGGATTTTATTCTTCGCTTGTTTTGTGCTTTAAGCCGACCCCACTTATGGGATTAAGGCTTTGATTGATTGATTGCTTGTTTTGTGCTTTACTCTGTTTCTCCTTGGAGAATAGCTATATTTAACTTTCCATGTATATATTCTGTCATATCTGACAAAATTGGCTGGATAGCACATCAGAAATATAAGATCTCGCCAAAAATAATAGTGGGGAAGCAAGCCTCACAAAAAAAGAATTAATTCTACAGTTTAATTCCTATTAAAGCAGGATTCAATACAACTAGAACCAAAAGCATCCACTGCTCTACATTAACAAGATGCAGGAAGGGGGAAAAACTGCAAGACATTCATGTTCAACTGACAATTTGTGAAGAAAGAATATCATGAGCCCAAAGAGATCCTTAACCTCCTATCTTATTGTGACTTGTCACATCAGAAGGATAATCTAAATCTTAACTTTTCTCCTAGTTATTTTTTGTATGCACTCGTTTTGTCACGTGCCTTCTCTAGGAACTTGTATATGAGCTTTTTTCTATGTACCTACATGCATATCGATGGATGTGGTTCATGCTCCACAGAAGTAGCTGCGTTCTTCAGTAGTTCCATTGGCCTAAGACTTGTACATCTGCGCTTTTTGAAGGGAGATTTTAAAGCTTTCATTTTGATTACAGATCATTCATTTACCAAAGTTGTTTAGTCATGCTACTTCCATTAATGCGAAGTGTTATTCTTGCATTTTTAAGAAAGTTACTCATTTTAAAATGAGATTTGAATTGATATTTGTATTTAACATATGCAACTCTTATGATGGTTGCAGGTTGATATTTGTATTTAACTCATGCACCTCTTATGATGGTTGCAGGTTAAAATTGTTAAATGCACTGTGGGCGGAATTTGTGTAGACATATCCTTCAATCAAACAGCTGGGCTTTGTGCACTGTACTTTCTTGAGCAGGTTAATTTGGAGATCTAAGTCTTACTTTTTTTTTTTTTATATACATTTTTACCTGCTCTGTGTTTTTCGTAACCTAATTTTGTTTAGCAAGTTTTTCCTCTAAAACCACCTTGATTTTTAGGGTTTGACTCCTTTGAGGATCGTTCTACTTTCTTGAACATCTTAAGTTTGGGACCCTTAATCTTATTTTTCTTGCATTCTTATATATTGGCTTTTTGTAACCTTTGTCTCATTAAGAAAGACTTTCTCAGAACCGTCAATTGAGATGATAAGATTAGTGCTCACTCATATTGATCTTGATGTACAATTTTTAGATTTCATCTTTTCTTCCCCTTTTCACTATATGCATTCTGGATATGCTTTGCATTCCACTGCTTTTTCTGATTGTTAGTACATATATCTTTGGGTCATTAATTCAGTAATGGGAGTTTCATTATCATTAATTTCTGAAAGGATATCCTGCTTGAAAATTATTCTCCTTCCTGTAGTCCTGTACCAATACTTTTCTTCTTCCTTACACCAGAAGTCATGGTTAAGACGCTTACATCTAACTGCATTATATGTATGTTTTTCACCTCCTTTTATCTGAATACTCTATCTGAATATTGACCAGGTTGACCGATTTATTGGCAAAGATCATTTCTTCAAGCGCAGTGTGATTCTCATCAAAGCATGGTGCTATTATGAGAGTCGAATCCTTGGTGGATTCCATGGTCTAATATCAACATATGCTTTGGAGACTATGGTCTTGCATGTTATCAATCTTTTCCATTCTTCATTGACTTGTCCTTTAGCAGTAAGTTTTTCAAGTTAAAATGTCACAATCTTCAGTAGTTGTTATAGCCATATAAAAATAAATATATTCAATTGAATATAGTAAAAATTGTGTTGGTATCATAAAGAGACATTTAGGTTTGATATGTCCTGTTCTCTTCACCTTGTTTTTGCTGTAGTGAAATTATTTCTATTGAACTGAAATTATTTTTGCTGAACTTAAATTATTTTTACAGAACTGAAATTATTTTTATTGATCCTCTATTGTATTTGTTCTTTAAAATTATTGATTCTTAATGATTAAAGATTATATTTATTGAATTGAAATTATTTTTTTTACAGAACTGAACTTAATTTTACTGAACTGAAATTATTTTTGCTACATATTATTTTCTTAAGGTGAGGAGAAGTAGAGAACATGGCCTAAATCGACTTAATTTTATGGATCTAATAATATTATGAAATGATGTTTAACGTTTCATTAAAATGAAATTGGCTAAATTAAATTATATTTTATCTGGAAGGTGATATTATTGAGGAACTCAGGAGTTTTGTACTGGTTGCAGGTCTTGTATAAATTTTTAGAATACTATAGCACATTTGATTGGACCAGATATTGCATTGATATTAATGGTCTTGTCTTAATATCATCTCTTCCAGATATAGTGGGTAATTACTCCATCTACACCTGCTAATTTTGTCTTTGATGCTCTGCTGTAATTTGATTATTCTTTTTTGCTGAAAAGTTTTTTGTGCCTTTATCTCACAGTGCAAGCACCACATGGCTGCGATGATTTATTGTTGACTGATAATTTTCTAAGGAGTTCTAGAGAAGCAATCTTATCTTCTATGGGAGTTGTTGGAACCAAGAATTCTGTATTTCCTGTAAAGTTTCTCAACATTCTAGACCCTCTTAGAGATAACAACAATTTAGGCCGCAGTGTTAACAAGGGTATTGCAATGCTTTAAACACCAAAGCTCTTCAAAACTATTTTTTAGATGTTCTGTTTATTTAACAATAATCTTCATGATACTGTTATTAGGTAACTTTCACCGTATCAAAGCTGCTCTCTCTTATGGTACTAAAAAGTTGGGCGACATTTTGATGTTACCATCACAAAGTATTGAATGTGGGCTTGAAAAGTTTTTCAAGGATACATTGGAGAGGAATGGAAATGGAAGACGAGCAGATGTCACAGTCCCTGTGGACAAGTATGGTTCTAATATCTTCACTGGCAACAGTGATCATGATCATCTTCTTTCAGGAATACATTATGCTCTGTGGTTTCTTGATTATGGTGTGATGTATCCTGTACTCCCTGAAGCATCAGCACATTGTATGGTCTGGAATAATCAGTGTATGGAGATGGGTCATAATGTGCAATTTGATCAGAGCTTGTATAAAAACATCAACATAAGTCCACCTTCTGTTAATTATCTGACAAGTTTCCCACAGACAAATGCCGCATATGTTACAGAGGAGCGGAAATCAAGGGGAACTGGGACATATATTCCTAATCTTGTAATATATTTTTCTTTTTGGGGTTATCTATTTTGTTGAAAGTCTTTTTTGCCCCCCTCCCCCCCCACCCCCCAAATTTTTTTTTTTTTTTTTTTTTTTTTTTTCGGAGTACTAATTTTGTTATCATATTGATACTAGGAGCATGTCATGGGAAGGCATTTTAATTTAGAAGCTAGAAATGAGGAACAGGAAAAGAGAAAGGAGGTTGAATCTGTGGACTCTCCATCTTGCACCTCTAGAAAGGCTAATCTGTCGTCTGGTGTGGGAGGAAACATAAATGCCTTTAATTTTTCGATTGAAGATTTCCCTATTCTTCCTGGAAGTAAGCCCATACCTATTAAAGTCAACCAATCGAATCCCCTGGAGACTAAGCAGTTCAAAGAGACATCAGTGTCATTGGATAGCATTGAGTTTGATAGCTTCAAACATTCGTCACCGAGATCTCTGTCACTGTCAGAAGCAGGGAAGCAGTCAGATTCTGATGTTTCGGCTATTTTGGACCTTGTGAGTGACCCAACAACTATGACAGTACTTGAAGACCAGGATTCATCTAAGAGCGAGGAAAAAATGTGCGAGTTTCTTATGCCCTTGTTGCTTTTGCACATTCAATTTTATTCTCGGTTCTCTTTTAAAAACTCTCTTGATTTTTACTTGGATGCTCTTTCTTTTTCTCACTTTGCACACCTTTTTTTCAAACTTTTTCAACTGATTATCTTGTTATATCCTTTTTTCCTATATCAAACGGGTCCTTATGATGATTCATGTTAGCCGACCCCAAATCATTTTGGGACTAAGGCTTTGCTGTTGTTGTTATATATATATTTATATATTTGTGTGTGTGTGTGTGTGTGTGAGTTGTCTCACACTGGAGAAGGGGTGAGACAATAACAACCTCAAAAGCCTTGTGAGTTTTTTTAATACTCTCCTCCGTCATGTGTAGCTCAGACCCCTTGTCAGTATTCTTCTTAATTTAAAGAATTTCATTTACCAGTCTTTGTATCGTCCACTCCTCCCAAAGTTTTGCTGCTGCTTCATATTCTGATTTGTCTCATCCTTCATCCCTTCCTTTGTTTTGGAAATGTAGGGTGGTCCCTGTGCAGCCGTTGCAGCTGGCAGATGACAGTGAGTTTCCCCCTCTAAGCCGTCCTCCAGAACCTGTTATAACGCTTAATAAGAAGGAATTTCCTCCTCTTCGGGCATGTTTGAAGTCACAGAAAAAGGGGAAGTGGAAATCAGTATTTAAATAGGTGTAGCAAGGGGTATAGAAAGGAATTGCAGCAAAATGAAGGTATTGAAAGTAACAAATACACCACTCATCTTTTTGATGCTTGTAGCTCTTTCGACTAACCTCCCCCTTCCCCCTCCCTCCCTTCCCTGAGTTGTGTTGATAATTGCTGTCTATGGTCGGCATATATGTGAAATTGTCATTTTTACAACTTACCTGGTGAATTTACAGGAATAGGGTTTGTTGCTGTGATTCTGTGACTAATTTGATGACTATCTAAGAGAAGAAAGCCAGTGATCGCTAATATTATGGATAGAAGCTGTAGCTGTTTAGAAATAGTTGCATTTGAAGCAAATAGTTCAGAACATGTTGTTGTAAGAACCTTTTAGTTATAGTTGCTCGCTGAGTTCGAGACATTCTATATGTATCCGTTTTAGTTAATTTTATTCAGATGCTTTAGCAAAAACTTGTTGGCAAAAAAACATGATTTTTGCTTAACTAAATTCTCTGAATGTCATCAACAACTTACCGGAATTGAAATCTTAGAAAGACCTTTTATAAGCCATTATTATTCTTATCATAATATAACTGTCAAAGTAACCTGAATTGTATGAAATTATGAATGGTATATATTGTTCAGTGTTCACAGCGAGTGAAGTCAAAATTTATGGGATTTGTTAAACATCGCCCGCGTTTTTCTACATAAAGCCCACATTTTTTAAAAATGTTGACATTATTGCCCTTGTTTTAATTTTTACCGAAAATAAAATTTTTCACTCATAAAAAATGTGGAGCAGGACTGGATCGCCGAGTGAAACCGAAGAGCCCTCAACGTCGGGTAGATGCACCGGAGAGACGCCGTTGACGCCGGAAAAGGAGGTACGAAGCCATCTAAAACCACGAATTGGCGGCTGGCGTCCTGCCGGGACGCCGTGACCGTAGTGGTGGCGCCTAGCCAGGACGCCGCCACCGTGGCTCTGGCGCCTGGCCAGGACGCCGCCACCGTGGCCGTGGCGTCTGGCCAAGACGCCGCCGCCACGGTGGCGGCGTCCTGGCCAGGCGCCACCGCCACGGTGGCGGCGTCCTGGCTAGACGCCACCACTACGGTCGCGGCGTCCTGGCTAGGCGCCACCACTATTTTTTTTTTTTTTTTTTTTAATTTAATTTAAAATTTGTTTATTTTTTTTTTTTGTGTTACAATTTTTTTCTTTTTTTTTTGGTTTTTTTTTTGTTTTGTTTTTAATTGTTTTAATTTGTTTTTGTTTTTAATTTATTTATTTTTTATTTTTTTTTTTACAATTTTTTTCGTTTTATGTTTTTTTTTTGTTTTTATTTTTTTGGTTTATTTTTATTTATTTAATCTAAAGTTTTGTTTATGTTTTTTATTTTTGTGTTTTGTTTTTTTTTTTTTTTTTTGAATACTTTTTGTTTATTTCTTTGTTTGTTGTTTATAATTTATTATTGTTTTTGCTTTTGTGCTAATGTTGTGTCAAATGTATTAATTTAATCTACTCTTATGTGATTATATTTATATGTTATTGTTGCAGGATTATGGTGGAGACGGAAATGATTATAGTGGGATTTTTGTACACGATGGTCTGTTCGAAGATGCTCAACAAGCGGTTGATTGGGCGAAACAGGTTGCAATTAGATCAGGTTTTTGTTTAGTAGTAGCAACTCATAAATCTCAACGGGATGGTAGAATGGATCGCATTTTGAGATGCGACCGTTATCGCAAAAGGGAGGAACGAGATTTCAGTCAAGCGATTCGGTTTGATACAAAGCGGAAAGGTTGTGGGTGTCAGTTCAGAGTAAAGGTTCGACAACAGCAAAGGGGTGACGGTTGGGAAGTGAAGAGTTACGGTAAATGGGGGTATCACAACCATGAGATGATCGCATATGAAGTGGGTCATCGACAGTTAAGTGGCCTAAGTCCTGCTGCGAAACTAATTGTAAAAGAAATGAGTGATGCTCAAGTGAAGCCTGCTAAAATATTAGCATCTGTGTTGGAGAAATTTCCTGAAGACCAGCCAAACCGAAGACACATCTACAACGTCAGACATAAATTGAGGTTTGAACGGTCAGAGGGAAGGAACCCTATACAGCAGCTTCTACACCAGGCACAAGCACGTGGTTACCTGTACTGGTTTGAATCTGATGAAGACACATCGGAGGTGACTCATTTGTTCCTTGTGCATCCTGATTGTGCTGATATGATTTCGTCTTGGCCATCTGTGATTCTGATCGATTCAACGTACAAGACAAACAAGTATAAGTTTCCACTGGTTGAGATGGTTGGGATGACTCCAACGAACCAGAACTTTTTGATTGGTTATGCAGTTATGAAGGATGAGACGGTTGCGAGTTACCGTTGGGTGTTGGAGAAGTTGAGAAATTACATCGGCCCAAGTGTTCAGCCATCGGCCATCGTCAGCGATTGTGAGGGAGGTCTCTTTGCCCCTATAGCGGAGCTGTTTCCGGAGTCGAGCCATTTACTGTGCACATGGCACATCAACAAATGCGTGAAAGTCAAAGCCTACAACCTTTTCAACAAGAACTTAGATTCAGCAGAGAGATTGGTAAATGGTAAGTGGCGGAAGATCCTGCAAGCTACCACGGAGGCAGAGTACGACCGAGCCTTGGATAACTTCAAGGATGCATACCAATGGTGCCCGGCAATCGTAGACTATGTGATGCAGCAGTGGGTGCCTCAGAGGGAAAAGTTTGTCAAATATTGGACAAACCAAGTTCTTCATTTATCGCCACGTGCCGTGGTCGTACATCGTCATCAAGTGGTAGTCAAACATCTTCGTCGGTGAATATGCCCGGCACCGGTACGGTACTTTAGTTTAATTTACTTTTTAGAGTGTTTGTTTAGTTTTCTGCTAACTTGTTAATTGTGTTTTTTGATGTGTGCAACAGGCAGAATGGACATTGAACATTTTCCATATAAAGACAGGATCCCTAACATCATGATGCCGTTCCTGGACGGGTGGAATGATGTGGTTGCAGATGGTAACTGTGGATTTCGGGTTGTGGCTGATGTGTTTCAGATGGGTGAAGACAACTACGGTTTAGTGCGTCAGTTGATGTACAGTGAAATCGCCTCAAACCGAGCTGTTTATCGCCACGTGTACGGACAGGACTTGGATAGGTCTCTGCAGCGTATCCGGTGGGGAGGAGGACGTTGCGGTCAAAATCATTGGTTCGACGCGCCCCTTGATCTCTTCGCCGTTGCAAACATCTACAAGTGTGCAGTGATGCATTTCGGCCTTGGTTTGCATGGTCGAGCTTACTATCCGTGTACCACGGTTCTGCCTTGGTGTTCGCGTGAGACCGTCACCAGACCGGTAAGAGAGGTTGCTATTGGATTTCTGGGGCCGTCATACAGACATTTCATCCGACTGGACCTGTCACCCGATTTTCCGGTCCCACCGATTATACCAACGTGGTACACCATTCGTACAGCAAGCGTAGAGGGCTGGGATGCGTTATATCATGACCGGGTGCAGCAGTGGAACAATCTAGTTGCCTTTTCTATGTGACCTAATATTGCTATTGCTATGTTTTTCCCATTTATTTAATTTTCGGATTCTAATTTTCGTATTTAGTTTTCCCATTTAAATGTGAACCTGTATTTAGTTTTCGTATGCCCACTAATTACAACTTAAAATAAAAGTTATAAAAACTAAAAATATAATGTCAAATTCTAAGAACTTAAAATAATAATTATAAGAACAGATAATGTTAACTTTTACAAACAACTAGGAAAATGTTTTATAAATGCACTGCCGACATATCAATAATCTCTCTGTGACGCCCACTGCCACTGCTCAAGGGCCCGTTCCAGTTCATCAATAACAGCTCTGCCTGTTGCAGTTCATCAATAACAGCTCTGCCTGTTGCAGTCATCAATAACAAAGTGAAAAATATAAAATTATAAAAACTTAAAAAAAGAAGAACATCAAAATTTTAAAAAAAATTTATAACAAAAAAAAGGGAACATAAAATTTTTTTTAAGTAAAAAAACTAATTCAAAAAAAAAAAAAAAACAAGAACAATAAACAAGAACATAAAATTAAAAATTAAAAAAAAAAAAAGAGGAACATAAAATTTTTTTAAAAAAAACCAACAAAATTTAAAACAAAATAAAAAAAAAATCAGAAACATAAAATTTAAAATTAAAAAAAAGAAAAACAAATTTAAAAAAAAATCAAAAAAAAAATAATTATTTTCGAAAATTAAATTTCAAATTTAAAACCAAAAAAAAATTAAAAAAAAATAAAAAGGCGGCGGCGCCTAGGCCAGACGCCGTGACGGTGGCGGCGGCGTCTAGCCCAGACGCCACTACCACGGCGGCGGCGCCTAGGCCAGACGCCGGTGCCGTGGTTCTGGCGCCTGGGCCAGACGCCATCGCCACCGTCACGGCGTCTGGCCTAGGCGCCGCCGCCGTGGTAGTGGCGTCTGGGCTAGACGCCGCTGCCGTGGTGGTGGCGTCTGGCCTAGGCGCCACCACCGCCTCCGACCTTTTTTTTTTAATTTTTAAACACAAAATTAATAAAAAATACCTTCTCGCCGGGAAACCGCTGTCCACCCGCCGCCTGTGCCGCCACTTCCTTGCCGGGCCGCCTCGACATCGCTCGGAAAGTTTTTTAGAGAGAGAAAGTGGAAGTAGAGAATTGAGAGAAGAAATTGTGTTTTTTACTTTGAGGGCAAAAGTGACAATTCACTCTAATTTTGTGGGCTTTATGTGGAGATTCGCGGGCGATGTTTAGCAATTGAGAAATTTATTCACACTTATTTCTCTCAAAAAACCCGAATTTATTAATTAAAATATCCATTTTTACTCTTTGCATTTCATACTTCACTCCTTGTGCATGCTGTATCATTTCTCACATTATTGGTGTACATCTTTATCATAAAAACAAAAGAATGATATAAACTATCATGAGTTCATCACTGCTCTTAAATTTGCCTTATTTATTTTATTTATGGATCTTGTGTGGGGAGTAAAATTGTACCTATATGATCCGATATTCCAATGAGTTTAACAGGAATAAGAATTTGGGAATAAGGTGGGATTGAAAATGGAAATAAATGGGCTAGAATTTATAAAAATAAGGTAAATACTTGCGTTTTTTGGTGTTTAGAGAGCCATAAAGACGGGTGATGAGAGTCAATCCTAAAATCTCTTGGAATCGGGCAGATAAATACCTTATGTGGTTGGTGATGATATGTAGGGATGATAAAATGATATCACCAAAATAACCTTAGATACAAAATTTAACCATTTGTTTTACCTTTAGTATTTTTACTACTATCCACATATTCTCCTTTCACTATTTTTCGTAATACATAATAATATATGCATAAGGAGAAACATAGTCAATGAGTTGTTGATATATACTTTTCAAATTAAATATGATTGGAATGTTAATGGTAAAAATAGTGAATCCGCATAAAAATAAGAAAGTGCATCATTTTTTTTTTTGGAAAAATTCATGACAATAATCCGACCTTTAGCCCATTCTTTTTTTAATAATCCGACCTTTCGATTATTATTTAATAATCCAACCTTTGGGGGTCTTTAATTTTTATTGGTCCCATTTGACTAGAAACCGGTTGAAGAGGTAAATTTTTTTTTTTTTAAGTTTAATTTACACATGTCACAATTTGCTTTGTCCAAAATTAATAAAAAAATTAAAAAAAAAAAAACCACACCCCTGCCACCACCTTCCCAACCACCCCTGCCACCATCCCCTCTCCTCCTCCCCTTCACGCAACTCCCCTCTCCCCCAGCCCAGAAATTGGACGGCCGGCGTCCAGCTCACCCACCGCCGGCCGAACCACCCCCTATTACTCCGACCTCCCCTTAACCGTCGCCCCACCCATCCAAACGAACCCTAACCCGCGAAAACCGCAACCAACACCTCTACCTTCCCTCACCGCAACCCCTTCCCAACCACCGCAGCCCCGAAACCACCTTTACCATGATTTCTGACCCCCATAAACCCTATTCCCCCACCTAACACCACAAAATGGGCTGTTGTGCAGTGGTGGCAGTGAAGGAGCGAGTGAGGGAGATGCGGGGGCGGGGGTGGTTCGGTTTGCTGGTGATGGTAGGGCAAGAGCAGGGGGAGAGGGAAGGGGAGGTAGGCCGGCGGCCGGCGGCGCGTCTGCCGGAGCAGGTACCGGCGGCAGGGGGCTGGCCTGGCTGGTGGCTGGCTGTTTTATTTTATTTTATTTTTTTTTGTTTTTTAGATTTTTTTTTTGTTTTAATTTTTTTTGACCAATCACAGGCCGCCACATGTCATGTAACCTGTTATAACAGGTTACATGACCGGTTGAGACCAATAAAAATTAAAGACCCCCAAAGGTCGGATTATTAAATAATAATCAAAAGGTTGGATTATTAAAAAAGAATGGGCTAAAAGTCGGATTATTGCCATGAATTTTTCCTTTTTTTTTTTTTGAAGAAGTATATCATATTTTAATTGTTTATCTAAAATGGGTTAATACTCCAAACATCAAAATGATTTATAAGCAAATGTGAACTTGGTTCACAATTACACAAAATGTGCAAATAAGAATTGGTGTGCAAATGATGCTTTACCTCTTTCTATTACTTTACACTCCCAGGGAAAACCTGTCAATCCCGTCTGTATTCTCTGTCATGATCACTTGGAGACAACTTTGCATTTATTTCGGGATTGTACGTTTGTTTCTCATCTCTTGACCACTAGTCCCCTAGGACTCCAGAGTTCTTCTTTGAGTGTTCACTCGTTTACTCATTGGCTCACAAAGTTGATTTCTGATTATGGGAAGTCGCGGAATTGGGGTAGTCTAGCCACTTTGGTCTCTCTTTTGTGGGCTATTTGGCTTACTCGTAATCAAGTTGTTTTAGACAGGCGGTTTGGTCTCCTGCTTCAATCCTTCATATTTTTGCAGAATGGGGCTCGTGGAGTTCGGAGGCTACTACGTTTTCTAGCTCTATTTCGTCTTTCCGGTGATACCAGTCTCTTTGTCCTTCTCCTATTACGTCTGGTTGTTTACATGGCTCGTATTCCGGTATTGCTGATTGTCGTATAGCTTTGATGGTGCTTGGAATAGTTGTGATCAAACTGCGGGGGTAGGTTGGATTTTCCGAGAGGAGCTTTCCCCTACTGTGTTGGACGGGTGTGCTTGAGCCTGTCGGACTTCGTCAGCCTTACAACCGGAGTTACAGGCTTGCTTTGGCTTCTTCAGGCTGCTAGGGGAAAGGGTTTTTTTTGCCCTCTTCTCTATACGGACAACACAATTCTGGTTTCCATGTTATGTCGCTCGTGCTCAGATGATATTTCTTGTGTTTGGTTGTTAGGGGCTATCAGAGATATTCTGTTACAATTTGATTCCTGTTGGATTCGTAATGTTCCTCGTCTCTGGATTGCTCTAGCTCACTGGTTGGCTATTCGTGCTCATCAACATCGTTTTCTCTACTGGTCTATTTGACTGGTTGTTTGTTTTGGTTCTCCTGTTTTTAGTTTAATCTGTTCTTTCGTGTTTTCTTGTTTTATTTAGCTCTCAGGTTGTACTTTTGTTCCATACTAGATTAATTAGCCCCGTGTGATGCACGACATAAAAACTTTCTTTGAAATAAATATATTTTTTACATGTACCTCATATGAGAAAAATTATAGAAACATAACTATTAATTGCAATGCTATTTAGATCTAAATAATTTTGAATAAGAGTAAAAATTTAAGCAAATTATACAATACGAAGTACTCTTTAACCGGGAGTAATTATATTTGGAAGCCAAATAGTCACTCAAAAATCCATAATACCATATAAAATATGGAGTAATATAATATATTAATTATCTTAAAAAAAAAATTATAATATACTGTAATAATTTAAGGTAAAAACAAGGGTCTTTAAAAAAAAGTAAAAATAAAGATAAGAATATGATGTCAGCAATTGATTTAGGTGGAAAATTTTTGTACCACAACTTGACATGTGTACAATTTTTAAAGGGATGATGTCAGCGGTTGTTATTTTAGTAATATTTATAGATATGAAATCTTTGTTAAAAAAAAAGATTTGGCGTTATTACTATGGAGTTTTTTTTTTTTTTTTTTTTTTTTTTTTTTTTTTTTTTTTTAATTTGGGAAATAAGATCTTGCTTTAATAAAGGATGATGATATATTATACAATATGTAGCTTTCAAGGCTATAAGATTATAAATAAGCGTTTTAAATTTTTAGCTTAGTATTCATATAGAAATGCGTGTTAAAATCACGCGTAAAATGTTGTAATGAACACTTTTTTTTCACTCTTAGTTTAGTATTCATATAGAATTGCTAGAATGAGAAAGGAGAAAACCACTAATCTCTTAACACATCACCTTGATTTAAAATTCAAATTCCCTCCTCTTATTCTTAACTTTCTCATATTTTGACAATGACATGTGTTAGGATATTATTAGCTTTCTCATTTCTCATTCAAGCAAATCCTTTTATATATATATATATGTATATATATATATGTATGTATATATATATATATGTATATATATATATGTATATATATTTATATATATATATATGTATATATATATATATATATATATATGGGATCATGTGAGAACACATCCCTTATGTGAGAACCTTTTTATATGTGAGGACTCATTATAACCGTTGGATCAATTACATCCAACGGCCACAATTAATCCCAGTCAAAAAAGAAAAACCCTCCAATGTTTAATTTCGCCCCCTTCGTAGTTTTTACACTGTACCCCTTTCTCTCTTTCTCTACTCCATTGAATTATTCGTTGAAGCGGCTTGTGAGCTTTCCTCCTCCATTGAAGCAGCTTCTTTGGTAAGATACTTTTTTTAAATATCAATTTCACAATCTAGGGTTTCGTTAACTTAATTGTCAGTATGATCAATTTAGGGTTCAAATTATTGGACAATTACATTGATAATTATGCCATATTTGATTGCTAAACAAAACCCGATGTTTGGACGAAACTATGAAAATGGAATTTATTTCCCATAATCTAGTCTTAATTAATGTGAGGAAATGTTTAGAAGAGTGTTTTTGCGAGAAATTTAGGTTCTGTTCCTATGAACTTACAAAGTAATTTGGCTACAGATTGATTTCAATTTCACTAGTTTATCGTTAAATGCTTTTGTTAATTTAGGGTTCTTTATAGTGTAATTCGAATTTTTATTTATAATTTCTGAGGTTATGGATGATTATAGAGATTGATTTTGTCAATTTTGGTACTTGCATTTCACTAATTTGTGCTTAAATTTTGATGCACACTAAGTGTTTGACAATATTCCCCAATGAATCCTATTATTTTATCAATTTCAAATGTAGTATATATTTAATTGATGATCTTCTTATTTAATATTCCCCAAGATGTTTGATGCACACTAAGATGTTTGATATGTCATGTAGAACTATCATAATTTATTGCCTTAATTCTATACAGTATACACTGACCTCTGACTGACTCTATACCGCCTATTTCCTTTTAATGTGTATTTGGGCTTCAATCATTATGCATTAATATGTCTGTGATATATGAGTATTCACATGCTGCTACCATAAGCACCAAGCATCTTGTTTAAATGAATATGGCACTTACATGCTGTTGTTTTGAGTAATGCGGCAAAAGTACTAATAATAGACAAATAAGGAATCGATTGATAAGCAGCATAAATGTATGCTATTTTGTAGTTATCATCTTTTGTTTCCCTGGTTGCAGTTTCTCAGGGAATCAATTGAGCTGTGTGGTAGAGATCTTCACCATCCTTATGTAGCTAAAGCTAATAGTGCAGGTATATTGGTTCTTGAGTATTTGGTGATTATATGTTTGTATCTATGTCTTTCAAAGTTGGCGACTCCTGAATTATAGTTAAGAAGCTATTGCTTTGAACTGATTCTGTTTTTTGTTGACAAGTTATTCAAATAAAAAAAATTTGGAGTTATGTTTGGAGTAGTTGGAGGGCTTATTAGTATAATACTGATTGGATGTGTGCTGTAACTGTCGTTTTTCATTTGCAAGAGTAGAATCACAAGATACAGACGTGAAGTCTACGTTGATGTTGCAGGTCGTTTCATAAATCTCCCTTTTAGTTGGTCACTAATTTATTATTTTTTTTTTTTAAAAGGTGTGTTAATATGTCTTATAAACATTTCTCATAGTCAAATTATTTTAAAGTATTACTATGTATGTTTAATATCTGCTAACCTTATCATCAGTTTGATTGGTATTGAGTGGTAGTTTCTTTATACTCGTACATTATTGGGCTGATCCACATAGATATACATAGGGTTCAACTTCTCAAGATCACATAGATATCAACCAAGTGATCACATAGATATGAAAAAGAATATGGCACTTACATGTTTGTATTTTTTTTTCTTTTTAGACGATGGTTATATTATACTTTTGATCCCACCACTGCTTTTGGGGTTATACTATTGCCTTGTAATGTGTATTTGGGCTTCAATCATTATGCATTAATATGGGGTATATAATTGTTGTGTTTTTGCAGTTTGAGCAGAAAGCAAATGAGGTGGTGGCAGCACTTCCCTGGGTTAGAAAAGTGAATGTCACGATGTCTGCCCAACCTGCTAAACCAGTTTTTGGGGGAGATCTTCAAAGGGCTTGCAGACAATTTCAAACATTGTGGTTGTTTCTAGCTGTAAAGTAAGAGCCTTGTGTTCCTGTCAACTAATGTCTGTCTTGGATTCTTAGACTAGAAAATGTTGTTTCACGGAAAGTTGGATCAAGTTATATATTGTTTAACAACTATCTTGGCTATCATTTTGGGTTAACAGCTATCTTGGCTATCATTTTGGGTTGATGTGAAACACATTTTGTTCAACAAATTTTGTCTTGGCTTGTCCAATTCTTTGTTCATTTTTTGCTCATATGTCAAATGAGCAAAAAACATTTATACTCATTTGTCAAATAAGCAAACACTTCTCCGCTCATTTGTCAAATGAGCAATAATTCTCTTCTTATTTGTCAAATAAGCAAACAATTCTCTTCTCATTTGTCAAATGAGCAAACACGTTTTTGCTCATTTATTAAATGGGCAAATAATTATTTGATTATTTGTCAAATGAGCAAATAATTTTTTGTTCATTTGTCAAATGAGCAAATAATTTTTTGCTCATTTATCAAATGAGCAAAAATGTGCAAATAATTTTTGCTCATTTATCAAATGAGCAAAAAAATTCAATGCTCTTTTGTCAAATGAGCAAACTATTTAATGCTCATTTGTCAAATGAGCAAATGATTCTTGCTCATTTTTTCAAATTAATGCTCATTTGTGAGTGTGTTTGAATGTTTTAAATACGTTAGCCTACTAGCTCAAGGGTAGAGCATTGTGCAAATGCATAAAAGATGTGGGTTCGAATCCCACGTAGGTTCATTTATGTAATGTGGAGACACAAGTTTGTAGTGTGAGCAAAGAAATGAGCAAACTACACTCAATTAGCATGTAGAGTAGTGTGAAAATGCAGAGTTTGAAAATTTTGAATAGTTAATGAAATTTATTTCTTTTGGCTATTGGGAAAACAATACAAAAGACACCCATTGCTGGAAAAGGAACACCTATTATTTGATCAAGAGGAAGTTCCCTAGGCTAATTCGTGCTAAAAATTTCGGACATTGCATAAATCATATTATAATTATAAGACATGTACTCCCTCCGCACACGGTTATCTGCAACAATTGCCCAAAATGGATGCTTCTATTATTTGCAACAATTTATTTTCTTTCCTTTTTGGTAAAATTTCAGCAACAAATTTACAATATTGCCCTTACTTAAAAATTTAAACATCCCTTACATATCCTTAATGACATACAGTAAACTCCTAATAATCTACCCCCCCTTAATGACTCCCTCCAGAATTAAAAACCCCTCATCTCCCCTATCCAACTCCCAACCACCCCATTCATTGAAGTTGCTTCAATCTTCATTAAAGCTCTGCCCAGATTAATGGTGTAATATGGATATCTCCAGATTTTTTCAATAAAACCTGTTCGTCTTCTTTTTTTTTTCTCATCTGGGTGACCCCTTCTCTCTCCTCTCTTGCAATACTTGTTCTTCACTTTCTCCGATTGAAACCCTAGTCCCCTACATCTTCAGATCTGCTCCAAATTATGAGCAACCACAAAGATCTACGTGAGTCCCCTAAACAACAAATTCCTGAAAGTGATGATGTCCCTTCCTTCACTCGGTACAAATTGCAAAGAGGATCTGGGTTGTTAAAGCCCGTCCGTCGCCGCTCAGCCTCTTTTTCTAGTTTCAGCCATGGAAAAAGAGGGGCGAAACTTGTAGAGTATATCTCGAGTGATGACTCAGCGGAGGAGGGTGCGACGATTTACAGAGAGAAAAGGGATGTGTTGGTCGTTCCTGACTCTCCACAAGGTTCTAGTACAAATCTCCCTAAAACGGGGTGAAGAAGGAACCTATGGTGGTTATTGAGGTTCCCTCTTCACCAGGGGAGGTGACGAGGGTGTTCGCTGACCCTCCAACTGTTAGGGCCACCCCTGGCTCCGGCAGTGGGAGGAAGAGGGCCAGATCTGTCTTCAGCGTCGATTTCTCTGACTGGGACCCTAACTACATGTCCTATTTTAAGGGACAAGTACCCTCATGACTTCCCCCCTCCAATTGATGCTGCAGCGTAACTTCTAACCCTAATTTTGATTTCTGTTGTTAGTTGGTATCTGTTTGGCATGATAAAATTGTCGATGTGGGTGTTCAGTGATTGTTTGATTCCCCTGTTAACTATGTTGTTGGATTATACTCATTGCATGTGTTTGGTTCTAAATTTGTTTAAGTTCTTGGTTTATGAAACAACGTTTGTTGTTCACAGTTCTGTGGATTTGTTGATGTTTTCTGGTGGAAGTTTTTATGTAGGTCAGTTTGTTGTTGTGGTTGGTTTTGATATGTGAGTGTGAGTCCTTTGAAGAGAAGCCTGTCGGATTATGTTAGTTGCCTGTGTTTGATTTTAATGTTGGATAATTATGTTGTTTGTGAAAGGGTGTTTGTTTGGCACAGATCTGTGGATTTGTTAATGTTTTTTGGTGAAAGTTATTATGTTGGTGAGTTTCTTGTTGTTGTTGGTTTTGATATGATGGTTTCTGGTGGTTGAATTGTGTTTTGGTAAGTATGTTGTTGATGGTCTATGTGAATGTTCTGTGTTGGATTTTGATTAAGTTTGTGGTTAGTCCATGGCCAAGGGAATGAAAATTGATGAATGATGAGTCTGTGGTTGTTTGTGTGGAGTCACATTTCAATGTTGCCTTATTTTGCTTGCAAGTCAGTGCCTCTGTGTTTGTGATTGAGTCCCTAAAAAAGGATGTTTCCTGTGCATGAATTCCAAATGATGAAGGGACACAATTTGAGCATGCTTTGTGGGTTAGTTTTGCTCCAACAAGTGCATTTTAAACCTTGTTGTTTGAGGTAACAACCTACACATAGCAACTGAAAAAAAAAAACATCCCTGATGGAATTCATACTTGAATATTCATTCAGCCCATTCATTGAGTTGCACACAAAAACCTTCATTTTCACATCCATTACACAGAATCTTTCACTATATGACTGCCTAAAGACAAGATATTTAATGTACCAAAATACACATAACCAAATCATAATAAGCATTTAAACAAAAACGGATGCTTACTTTACACAAAAAACTGTTGTGAGCTCATATTTGGTTAGGTGTGGAAGTCATGTTGTCTTTGAAAGCTAGTGTTGTGTCTAGTCTGCATCAACCTCTGTATCCAAGTACTCTTCATGTTGTTGATGAATAGGAATCAAAAGTGTGTTGAGGTGTTTGACTACTTCTTCAATGAGTTCCTTCTCAACTTCCAGAAATTCTGGCAGTAGGCCTAAATTGTCCAACTTTTTCTTCCCCATGTGAGGTGGATTGAAATTGTTTCCACCTTCCTTTTCTAGAATCATTATCATAACACTTTGCAAAAACTACTTGAAAAAAAGATATTATTTATAAAAAAAAAAAAAAAAAAAAAAAAAACATACATGAGACAGTTAAATGGGTCTTGAATTGGTAAATACATTAAAAAAATAAATTAAAAAAAAAGGGTAAATACTATCACTAAAATAACAACCACCGAAATCATATGGTGACATGTTTCAGGTGCTTAAAGAAAATTTCCCCGCACTAAACTTTTTTTCTATCCCAACCCTTACTCTGTACTGGAATCTTCTCTGTGCACTCTTTCCAAAAAAAAACCTTCTTTTCTACTTTCTTTACTTCATTTAACCGGGAATACTGTATGACTCATTGAATTCCTTATTGAAAATGAAAAAGTCTTCATTACTATGGACTATGGAGTAAAACCTTTTGTTTTCCTTAATTTTGTCGCCCATTGTCTAACCTTCTCAAACACCTTGCATTATACTCCTCTCTCTCTCTCTCTCTCTCTCTCTCACACACACACACACACACACACGCACTCTCTCTCTCTCTCTCCCTATTTTCTCATTAATTTCCAATGGGGCACCCGGCACCCTACAACGTCGTTTATTCCAGTCATTATCATTCCAAAAAGGCCGATAGTTTGTGCAAAGATTGTTGATGCCATGACTTTAGAGTTTTGCTATTGATTTTTTATTATTGAAGGCTAACATGCACGACCTTTAGTTTGAACTTTTTTTTTTTAAGTTTTTGTGATATTTTTTGTAGTAACTAGATGTAACTATAATTTTTTTATAAAGAATTATATTAATTTTAAATAAAGAGAGAGTGACTTTAGAAAAAATCTAATCCATTATGTTAATTAACGAAGGGTCGAATGATGGTTTGGGGGTGAGCTTCATGGTTCTTTGAATTTACTCTTGATGAAAAGGTACAAGACTACAAGTTTATCAATTAAAAAAGGTCAAATTTTAATATGTGAGTTTTTTTTTTTTTTTTTTTTTAATTATTATATTGGTTTTTATTATTTTTTTATACATTTAATTTTTATTACATCTACTTGATAAGTAGTACAGAGTATTTACTTTTCGTTTTTAATCTGTAATTTTATTTATTTTTTCTATTAAGTGGAGAATATGAAGGCAAGAAATTATGAAAATTATTTTTCTGTTAGCCTCCCCTATAGATTTAGTATAAAGATTGAACTTATTTTCATGAGATGAGATGTTATTTGGATCTGTGGTTTCTACTTTGTCCAGCTGAAGGTTAGGGAGGAGCCATATGTGATATTCTATTTTTATTTCTTATCAACAGAAGGCGTGGAGCAGCGAGGAATTGAAATTGTCCATACCCAAGCTTATTTTCATGTTTTTTTTATTTTTATTAATTTTTGGAGTCCATATTCAAAATTTTGGATATGTTTTATAAGTTTTGGTAAGGAGTTTGCAATACTTGTATAATTAAAACGTATTGTAAAACCGTGTGTCACGGGCTAATCTAGTAAGTTAATACATGAAGCTCCAAACAAAATTTAATAGCTAATACACTAAAACATTCACCACAAATGAGCTATTGTCATAGGCTCACAGCAAATATTAAGGAACCATAAAGATTTAATTATGGAACCATATCTACAGCTTATGCTTTTAGAAAAAATTAATGATTTCGTCCAAAACACCAACAAGGGCCCTTGTAAAACTCTAAGCTTTGACATAAAAGGCATATATAGCAGAGGTCTATACTCCCTCCATCCCTATTTGTTTGCTCCATTGGGGGAGAATTACTTTTTGAATTTTTGGTTGAAAGTAATTGATGAGCGAGAAAAGTGGAGGGGTTAGTGTAGTGGTTGTAAGAGTGAAAGTGTGTCCGTCCCTACAATCAAAAGTAGTATGGAGAAACCTCAAAGGATGGACTAAAAAGTAAATTGAGCAAATATTAAGGGACATAGGGAGTATAACACAATATACATTAATGAGAGTAGTGATCCATGAATACTTGTTGCATATTGGATCAAACCATTCATAGGCCTCATACACCTTTTCTATTAACTCTTCAATCTTTCTTGGAAATGACTGGTATTGCAAGGATTGTATGACCTTGAACAATCCAAGATCCAGTACATTAAGATCTGGAGACTGTGCAGGTTGAAAAACCAGTTGTATGTTGAACCCTTTTGCTGTACATGCTGCCTTGAACTCTTCATCCCTTGGAATTTGATGTGGTCTGGCATTGTCCCATTGGATGAATATATCCTTAGGCAAACTAGGGTGCCATTGCTTGTGTATTGCTGGGATGATGTTAGTTAACAACATTTTTTTGATTTCTTCTCTGGTTACACTCTGCACAGCCTTTGTTTCAAGAGTCCCTGCATCTCTGTTTTTGCTTTTCTTCTTGGCCAATTGCTGGTAGGTGAATGGAAAAATTCCATACTTACCATCATGTAGCATGTTCCCAGCTAAGTCATATAAGGGCTTCCCAATCATTGCCATGAACATTGCTTTAATTTTGTACCTTTTGGATTGCTGACACATGTATGGGTTTTCTTCCTTTGGCAAGAGGTAGAACTGCCTTGTCTCTGGGTTCATGTAGAACCATTTCTCATCTATGTGAATGACTTGTTGCATATCAATGAAAGTTGGATTTCCAACTTCTGGGATTGGGTGAATATGGGCTAATGCCCACTTGAGTCTTGCCACTTTGTGATTTGGTGTGAGTGCTGGATGGTTGGCTGCTGAATGTGTTCTTAGTCTGCCTTTTTTCTTCAACTTGTGAAGGAATCCATGTGATACCTTCAAAGCTGCTGCATAGCTTCTCTCTGTGGTCCTTTTGTACAGAGGCACTGACTGCAAGTACTCATCACTAATAAATTTGGGTTGTGGTCCTGTTTTCCCTAATTTGTTGCTTCTGACATCAATGACATTCCCTTTGGCTATGTTGTCTAGTACAAACTGCCACACCCTTGTTGTTGTGCTCCTGTGTACCCCATACTGTGTTGCCACTGTTGACAAAACCCCCTGGGTAGTTGTCCCTCATGCATTTTCAAAAGGAACTCATCAATGATCTGGCGCTTCTTTTGTACTGTTAGTTGCTTTCTACTTGTTGGATGTCCATGTCCTGCTTCTTCCTCTGCATTGTTGTCTCCCTAACTGTCTTCATCACTATTGTCTTGTTCATTGAAATGAGATTGTCCCTCCTGTAACAGTTGCTCTATGCCAAAAAAATCCTGATCAAAGGACTCTTCCATGTGTTCTGTGTGTCCCTTTTTGTTTCTTTCCACAGACTAGAAGGTAGGTGATGAAGTTTTGGCTGCTGATTGTTTTTGAAGTGCTGTTGAAGCGGAACCCCGATGCTGCCCTAATCCTAGGACTAATTGTAGTTTAGGCAGTTTTAATCTTAACCTATGAACTTGTAATTAATGGGGTCTTTTGTGAACTGTTGATGGAAGCTTTTGGGACAACATGGTGATCTTTTGTGAACTTGTAATTAATGGGGTCTATCTTTGAAAAATTTGAACAAGTTCACTGCCCTTTTATAGTGGGCAGTATTATAAGGTCAATGTCTTTTTTTTTTTTTTTTTTTTTAATGTGTTTATTTTAGTCAAATGTTGTATGTTGGAGGGAAATGGGAAATTTTGGGCTGAAATTTGATTTCATCCAAAATTTTTAAAATTGGCAGGATAACATTGAAATTGGCAGGATTTTAAAATTTTGCCAAAAAAAAGGAGGGAAGTAGAATTCCCTCCTAAAAACCAGCGGCTGTCATGAAGGAGAGGGCCCTAGGTGGTCCCTTAAACCAACTATTCCCCATTATCTAAACCCACCCAAATAAATTAAAGTAGTGGTCCCTTTTATTTCCCTCCATTTTCCTTCTTAATTAAACCCACTCAACTACAATTAAAACTCCCTAAAAGTTTTACCTAGGAGTCCGCGTAATTGTCCTTTGTTGCACATAACCGTGGACGGAGGGAGTATAAGAATTGAACAACGATATAGTTGAGCAGAAAAGGAGAGATGATCAAGTTTTTTTTGAAGGTTTTTTTTATATAGTTATTTATAAATACAACCTATGTAGGATTCGAACTTACATCATCTATGCATTTGCATAGTGCTCTACCACTTGAGCTAATAGGTTTTTGATATAGATCAATGCCCTCCCATAGAAGCAGAGGAAAACAATCACATGTAGAAACTAAAATGCCTCCATTATTACTACAACAGCCACCATAACTCACAAATTACCCAACACATGCTCACCCAACACATGCTCACCCAACACAACTACTACTAGGAAGTATTATCAAGTAAATTAGTAACAAGTGAATATGCACCCCCTTAAACACACTCTCAATAATTAGAACTGAAATCAGATTCTTAAATAACAATGTACACGGCCAGGAGCAAACACACACACTTACACATACACTCTTACACTCACTCACACACACAGACACCCACACCCACACACACACACACACACAATAATTTCATAATCTAAAATTAGAACTGAAATCAATTTCTGAAATCAGAACTGCAAGCAGAAAGATGAGGGGGCAGGGGGGGATAGGTTTGTGGAGGGAAGTGGAAGAAGGGAGTGTGGTTGGTGTGCAGGAAACAGACCAAGAAGAAGGGGGTGGGGCTTCTGCACAGGCAAGCAGACCAAGGAGCTCAATGCTCATTTGTGAAATATGCAAACAATTCTTTGATCTTTTGTCAAATGAGCAAATAATTGAATGCTCATTTGTCAAATGAGCAAATAACTCAATGCTCATTTGTGAAATTAGCAACTAAAGTATTTGCTCATTTGACAAATGAGCAACTAACTTATTATCGTTGCTCATCACATATTATCAAAACAAGCAGCTAAAGAAACTTATACATCACATATTATCAAACCAATTTCTATTTTTAGCACCCATTTTACATGGCAAACATCTAATTCTACCAACTACATTCTCCTTAAGCAGAGTAATCATTTGATCAGCATTAATAGTCCCTTGTTCAATTCCATGTGATAGCATTCCTCAAACGACAAATAATTACCAAGCATTTTCTAACAAGCATTTTATCAAACACCTTGTATGCATTATTAGGATATTCAAAACAAACTCCTTGATAATTACCAATTGTTCAGTTAGTTGATCAATCTCTACCCTGGCAATGAAATCACCCTTAGGCCCAACCAAGTCTTCAACACCATACTTCTTCCTCCTGCGGACCTGCAAGTCCAGCTCGTCTGCAACCTCCTCGATGGTGTCAAGGATCTTGTCTACAGGCACAATTGAAAATCCTATTGAAAATTTTAACGAAAATCCTAAATTGAGAACACTCAAAGTAAAAAAACCGAGCAAAAATTAGAAAGTCAAACTCGAATAACCAAAATTATGCAGTAGTGAAGAAGAAGAGAGAGAAATCCCAGCTTTAAAGAGAGAGAAAGAGGAGTATACAAATTGTACGTAATTTGGGTTTTGGGGGCTGATTTGTTTGGTTTAAGAATTACATTATTGCCATTATTAGTTGAACAATCTCAGTTGTTGGATTAATACAATCTAATGGCTGAGATTTGTTCTCACATATGTGATGAGTTCTCACATAGGAGGTGGTTCTCACTGGATCCCGACCCTATATATATATATATATATATATATATATATATATATATCGTGAGAACCCCTCCTTTATGTGAGAACTCTTTTTATGTGAGAACACATTTTATGTTCTAAATTTTTACTCGTATGTTCTAAATTTTTATTTGTATGTTCTAAATTTTAAATTTGATGTTCTAAACTTTTCCTCAGGTGATTAAATCTGATGCTCTAAATTATACTCACATGTTCTAAACCATAAATTTGTTAACTTATATGTTCTAAATTTCAAAACCTATGTTCTAAGATTTTTAGCTATATGTTCTAGATTTGAAAGCATATATTCCAAATTTTACTTGTATGTTCTAAATTTTTACTCACATTTTCTATATTTTATACTAAATATAAATTTTTATTCACATGTTCTAAATTTTAAATCAAATGTTCTAAATTTCATAAATCAAATTTTCTAAATTTTTACTCACATGTTTTAATTCTTAATTCAAATGTTCTAAATTAATTCTCAAACAGATGTTCTAAATTATTACTCATATGTTCTAAATTTTAATTTAAGTCACATGTTCTAAATTTTTACTCATATGTTCTAAATTCACATGTTCTAAATTTTAGATTACTTCTCATATAAGTATGAATTCTCACATATGGACCTATTCCCACCGGATCCTTCCTATATATATATATATATATATATATATATATATATATATATATATATATATATATATATATGTACATATGTATATATATACATATATATATATAAGGATTTGCTTGAATGAGAATTGAGAAAATGGGATCATGTGAGAAGTGTGTGAAGCAATTACAATGGCATTATTGGTACTTTTCACCAACTTTCATTGCACTTGTAAGAACAAAAATTGCTCTTCAAAATCCCACTGATAAACCAACGACAATCAAATTGCCTCCATACTCCTTCACCCCTTTTCTTCTATGACCATCTGGAAATCAAAGTCCTCGCCGAAAATATGAATCTCATAATCAATTCAAGAATAAACTGCAAATGCACGAAGCTTTTATTATTTTTGTGGATGCGCTGATAGTATACTACTCTATTCTCAATCCTATAACTACCATATCTGATTTTGCTCAAACTTCATCACAGGTTGCTGGTACAAAGCCGATTTGTTGCCGAAAAACTCCAACGAAGCACATCATATTTGTTGCTAATTAAGTTTTCTTGTAATTATAACAAAAGGATAAAAGAATGCAACCTATGGTAATTTGTTCTTCTTCCCCAATCGTGTAGAATTGGAGTAGTTATTTAGGATACCTGTTGTAACTATGTCAGCAACTAATCATTTGTTTTTAAATTATAATGTTTTTGCTATTTGTTTTTAATTGTTGATGTACCTTAAGTCTTAGTTTGATGTATTTTTATTAATTTCATGATGTATTTATAAAATGTGTTTTATATATATACCGTAATTTCCTTAATGTATCTACAATGTATGATTGATGTATTTCTAAGTCAAATTTGATGTACCTGTAGTGTTAGCCTGATGTATTTTCATTTGATGTACCTATAGTGGTAATCTGATGTATCTCTAATTTAAATCTGATGTACCTATAATGGTAGTCTAATGTACCTCAGATTCTCACGCTTCTCACCATAATCACCCATCTCTTCACAAACCAAACAACGGAAAATGGGAAAAAAAAAAATGAGAAAATCATTTTCCGTGAAAATCATTTTGATGTACCTATAATGGTAGTCTAATGTATATATATATATGTATATGTATATATACATATATATGTATATATATATATATATATATATATATTTATATAGATTATGTTAGTTTATTTTTTAAAACTTTAAATTTATTTATTAAACAATTACTTACGTGAGGGGCGGATTCAATTTCATACTAGATATTCTTTTCTTATTTACGTTAAGTAAGATATTTGTAGAGAACTCAATGAGGGGAGTTTAAGTGGAGATCTACCATGCATTGCCCCATTTAGATGGAGATGAGTGAAGGTTTTGTGGGCGATGAGCTAGGATGGAGTAAAAATTTGTACTAGCAATAGGTGGTGGCCTGGTGGGACAAGTGTGGATTTAATGGTGTGCTTGCCTCGTAGCTACAGATTTAATTTTGCGCTAGAAATTATTATCCTACCTATGTTAAGTAAGGTATTTATATAGATGTCAATGAGACGAGTTTTAGTGGAGACCTATATAGCATTTGCCCCATGTAGATGGGAATGGGTGAAGGTTTAATAGGTAGTGAACTAGGATGGAATAATAGTTGTACCCGCCATTAGTAGTGGGACGGGTGTTAATTTTATAGTGAACCTGCCTATAAGCCCCTTACACACTCACTTCTTGACTCTAATACTGGTTTTTTTTTTTTTTTCAAATGTCACTTTTCGTACTTTCTTCGCTCGATCTTTTTTTTTTTTAATCGCAATGTTTGAACATCTATATTTGTCACTTACACCCTTTAGTTGTCTTTTATGATTTATACGTTGAAAAATATATAATCATGTGGGATCTTATTAGAATCGTTTCGAAATATACTTTCATAATATCAACTTTTCAATTTTATTAAAACATAATAACATATATTGGTGTTATAAAATGTGCATTGACATGTATGAAATCCCTAGGGTTGCGTTTAAAAGGAACAAAGTATATTAAAAAAATATAACGACATAAAATTAAGTAATACAATATAACTATAAGCCAAGTAAATTTCACAATATTAGTGTATTATGTTTTGTTTTTGTAAGTATGTATTAATTGAAATTATAACTTGATTTGACATGTGAGGTGATATTGGAGCGGTTAAAGCAGATTGTGAGACTGGTAAGGTGGATATTAGATTGGGGTGGAAATTCAAGTGGGTGGTGAGGTGGGGATGAATTTTTTGTATTTGGTGGTGGGCAAAAATGGGGATGAATTTAGTACTTGTCATGGGTAATGGGGCAGAGATGGAATGGAAATTTAAAATGGGATGGGAATAAAGGGACCAACATTTGCATCCGACCTGTCCTATTATATTCTTAGTTATTTGCCTAATAATTTAACAAATGTAGTTATTTCTATTCCCACCTAGAAAGAGAGGTTTAGTTTTACATAGATGTATATATGAAACAAATTTCTTTTATGTCATAGTATACATTTAGTGATTGTTCTTTGAAAACATTAAGTGTTTTTTTAGAAGACCATGAATAATGGGAGGAGTGGAAATAATTGAGAAACATGATTTTACTTTTTTGGGTTGTTATTTATATTTTATTAGAACTAAAAAAATAAATATTTTCCCCCAAAATCAAGAATTCAAATACTATGTTCAGTGGATTACATATTCCATAGAATAAACAAATATCGGCTAGCTTAGTTGATAAAATAGGAGGTGTGATAAACTGATAATCACCTTATATCAGCTTCAATTTGTGGGATCTATACACAACTACAAAAATTCTGTACGATAAGGATTCAATTTACTGAGGAATTGGTAGAACAAATCGTCTCGTCTGTCCAAAAAAACAAACTTTATTTATTTCCAAGAAACAAAAGGAGCAAGACATGTCCAGATGTAGATTTACAACATGCTTTAAATCTGAGCACACTTTGCACTTTATAATCCACATTTCACTAACATTTACACCAAAAACCAAATCCAAATGAAACCACTCATCACCCGGAAATGACTCAAGTTCTCTTATTCCTTGTAAAAATGGAAGTTGCTCCAAGTTTGCAACAGAAATAAATGTTAAATTTACATGACAGAGTGCGACTCTGACATCTTGGTGGTGAAAATGTACATTGCACAATCATGAGACTCTACAGAAGCTCCAAATGACGATACTGCATCACTGGCAACTAAGTTGTGCTGCCACCAACAAATTCAGTATATTAGTCTAAGATATCATCTATCAAAACATTATACCAACAACAATGCACACTAATATCATTATATCAACACGCTTTGTTATATTTTACATGCTACTCGTGCTTTTTTCCTATTGAATGGATCATAGTGTAGGAAATTTTGACACAAGGAATGCTTGAATGTGAGCCGACAAGAACAAGGCACTAGATACCAAAAATCTCATCTTAGAATTGTCGCAGGATAAAACTTTCCAGATTGGCAAATAGAATAAAAAGAAAGAAGATGTTCAAGTACCTTCCACAAGTCTCTAATGGAGACGCTGATTGATGATTGAAGTCCTAGTACATTCCATTCAGCAGTAATCAAAGCAGCACTTGAACATCTATTCCAAAGAGCAACAACTAGCCTATTCCCAGACAGAGGACCTGCCCAAACCTGGAACGCCAATATACTGCATATTAAACAACAATCCAACAACCCCTACCCCGCTCCAAAGACAGCCAGAAAAGGCAACTGTGATATGTCACTAGCCAAAACAAAGGTCTATCAAAGACAGGAGCCTAAAGGGAAAAGTGATAGGGTTCATATGATAAAGGATTACCTGTTGACAACCATCTTTTCCAGAGGCATGAACCTTTCTTCCCTGGACACCAAGAGGATCTACGAAGAGAAAAGATTCATAATTCTTAGCATATATAATAAATGAAGGCATCAGAAATTTCAAGTAACAATAAGCCCCCGTTTGGTTTGATGTAAAATGTTTTCACGGAAAATGATTTTCTCATTTTTTTTTTTCCCATTTTCCGTTGTTTGGTTTGTGAAGAGATGGATAAAAATTTTCTCAATGGTAGAAAATTGCATCCTTATTGGTGGAAAACATTTTTTTTTTTTTTTTACAAAACTAGGGAAAACACATTTTCCTCCCTCCTCCTTATTTCCATTTTACCTTCCTCTCACCATCCTCACATTTCCACTCCTATTTTTAGTTTCTCTAAATTTTTCTTGTATGGAACCAAACAAAAGAAAACTAAGTGGTTATCCTTAAATCTACTTTCCATGAAAACTAATTTTTCATTGAAAATATTTTACATCAAACCAAACGAGGCCTAAGCTGAAGTAACTAGCAATATGTCTCCATCTCCCTACAATATATTCCCTCTTACGCAATTGGAAGATCTAGATTGTATATTTATGGAATACCTTGGTTTACACCAATCACCTCTGTGTTGCTAAGTATTTTTAGTGTCTCAGCAGTCATGTTTCTTATATCACAGCCAATCAATAGAGGAGCCTGAGAATGCAAGTTAATGAATTCAATATGCATATACATATAAGAAGCAACTTAACATTAATAGTACCTCCAGATGTGGCAAAAGATATTTTGGAAAGCAGATAAATTGATAATTTGACCAAACATTAAATCAGAGAGGTGAACATCTGCCGTGTTGAGTAGATCAATTTACAAGAAATTGAAAGTGCAGATCATACACATTAGAACACTGTCAAATCACTCAATTGTCAGAAAAAAACTAACATAGAGAATTAATCAATCATAGAGCTAGAGGTGTAAGAAGTCTGAACTTTTCAAGGATGACCAATCAATTCCCACAAAATTTTCAGGATTCAGGAGAATAATTATGTTACTTGGACACTTAATTACAGTGTCAAACTTGGTAAGAGTTTCAACCAGGGCACTTTCAATGACCCGCCCTAGTTGTGCCTATAACGAGTCCAGTGGAGGTCACTGGTGCAACATGGAAAATCAAAACAGTGAATAACAATGGAGTGCCCAAAAAAAGGAATGATTTAAAAATAACCTCCGCTTGACTGTTGTGTATTAGTAGACAGTCATTTCATTTCAGGCCAAGATCATTACCGGTATTTAATAGGTGTACCAGTAAACCAACTATACAAGAGATTATTTCCAGTAAACCAACTATACAAGTGACTGGGAATGATTTAAAAATTAAAAATATGGTGCGCCTAATAGCTGAAAGATTCATGATCAGGTATGAAAATGACCCATTAAACTGCTTATGCTTCTTGCTTGTAGCGTAGTCGTAGACAGTCATTCATTTCAGGTAAAGGGTCTTTAAGAAAATGTCTTTCTCATCACAGAGGCAAGGCTGCATGATGGGAGTCTCTTAAGAGGTATTGGAGTAATGTTCACTATCCAGTTTGTGTAAACAAAATGAAGATAAGCAAGAATGGTTAACAAGCTACACATCACCTTCATCAAAGCCCAGATGCTGAAATGTGCACGATATTCATTGTAAGTCATCCCACCATTGCCCACCTCCAACATATCTGGATCTGGTCCGAATGAAAATACAAAAGTAAGTGGCTATTCTTCCTGAATAAGATTTCCAGTCTACAATCATCACCCTTACCATTCCATCCACCAGGGCCAGCATAGGATGCCCACTTGTCATTCAGATCGGCAATAGTAGTCATGCTTCACAATTAAGAAGAAAAGGCTGGTCAGCTTAAGTGACACTTCTAAAGACCGGAGCAAGGAACTCGAGTTCTTCCCAAAGCATACTTATTTAGAGATATTGTATGTGCAACTTTCTTTATGAAATTCAAAATTTTATACAAATATGGTTCTGAGGATTGAAATAACTGATTTGTCGCTTCTTTTGTCTCAGGCCAATCATGCCAAGTTTAAATTATTGAGATGATAGATAATGGTCAGTGCTATTATCTGGTATATAAGAACGAAAAGTGCACAATCCGACATGACCACAATCAAGGTTTATTATGAAGAGAATGTGGTACAGAGTGCTAACCTTGCCCATGAATCATTTATGTCATCAGTTGTTCTCCAGCTATTCCCAACCTCCCCAGCCCACAAAGCAGGGTCATCAACACCCCTGTGTAAAATCAAAATGAGACCGTGGGAAATTCCAAAGATGTAAATTCTTCCATTTACCTTATATTCAACACAAGTCTGTGAGAAGGAACTTAAATTACCATTCACAAAGTGAATAGAAAATTGGACGCTCGGTTGCATTAAGTGCATCACGCATAGGAGGATATCTGCAATCCACAAAATTACATGTTTTGTTTAAGGTGCTTAATAGAGATTTAGAGGGGAAAAAAAAACTCATAATTTGATTTGATTATTATTGACCTCTTTTTTGGCGGGATACCCAAATTGAAGCAGTTGTCATATTTCAAATAATCAACACCCTGTATGTAGCATACAAACAAGGAGATACACACATTAAGACTAATTGAACATAAATATTCTCACAAACACACACATAAAATCAAATATAAAATAAATAGTTACAAATACTATATTCTACAATTAAAGAGCATTTATATTTAGATTTACTAAGCTGATACGAAGTATTACAATAAGGAAAAATAACTAAATTTGATGTGGTATTATAGTACAGTCAGAGCAGGTAGAAGGATGTAGCAGAGATTAGTTCACTTTCAGAATTCCACCCATTTTTTTAATAGCCAATGCTACAACAAGTGACCAAGAGTAGTGCAAAAATGCCAAAAAACATGGTTGGAGCTTACAAATTTCTTGTTATTCAACAATGTTAAGGTTCACAAGCTACTTTAAGCTGTTAGACATCAATTCTAGTTAACACGGAGCAGTATTCTGTTGGTTAAGGACTTCCACATAACGGGAATTTGGTAGTTATTGTTTTCTTATGTTAGGGAATTCAATAGGGGTGTTGATGAGAGTAGTCTTTATTCAAAAAGTGATTTTAGTAAATAACAAATATGATACTTGAAAACCTTTTCCTCAATTTTTAAATTGTCAGGTCTCCTTTGTTTATAGCCTATATTGCTCCTCGGGGATTGGATCAATACAAACGGAACAATTTAACAATATCACCTACTCTTGACATCTGTGAAACTGCACTAGCCAATAGGAAATGGTTGTCAAAGTGTATATTGAGTTAGGCACGACTAGGTAGTAGATACTGACCCAAGAAGCAAAAATCTGGGCATCATCCTTTTCGTGGAAGATTGATCCTGGCCGAACTTGACATGTAAAAGCCCTATGAAAATATGAAGAAAAAACTTGGATGAACCCATGATGATAAAGCATTGGACTAAGTGACTCTTTAACATATGATCACATTTATATAAATCATAGCATCATACCCAGCATCAGAATAGATACCAAGCTTGAGGCCTTTAGCATGAACATAATCTGCAAGAGCTTTAATTCCAGATGGGAAAGTCTTCGGGTCAGGTACTAACTGGTCCTGCATATAGCAATGAGAAACAAGTAAGAGAACAATGGAATATGAAAGACATTTCATAGATCTACAGTTATACAAGGAGTTCAAAGCCAAGAAGATAGAGAGCAGTGAATTGTGGAGAATGTGGACCTTTGAATTTCGTGTTAATCTGGACCAGCAATCATCTGCCACCAAAGAGTTAAATTAGTAATTGAACAGAAACGAATTGAAGACAAAGTTAATGCGGCTATATGAAATCAGAGTGAAATAAATCAAACCATAGCTGCATAGTCATTACATATATTCTATAGTTACAGAAAGGAGTGTATGCTCACCTATATTTACATAAACATAACCTAAATCAGCCAGTCCTGTTGAAACTAGTGCATCAGCTGCCAAAAGGAAAAAGGCAAATTTCATGTTAGTATAAGTAACTAAGCCTCAAAAAATAAATAATAATATATACATGATACAAGGGGAGGCTGACCATCATCAATCAGGAAATCAAGAAATAGTATAAAGTACTTTAAAAGAAAGTTCACAAGACATAATGAACTAGCTACTAATCGTACCATATTCTAAGTATATATATAAATCAGAAAATAAGTCCTCTAAGAAAGAGAAGTAGTTCAGAGTTTAAACTCAAAATACCACCCCAGCACCAACCCCTAAAGGCTTAAACAACTAGCTTCTCAAGCCTTGGGAGTTCGAGCTAGTAACTCAGTAAGGATCGAAAAAGTAGAGATTACAGGCCAGAATACAATCCTTTTCTATACTGAATAAAGTTGTACCTCTACTTAGTACTGGGGAGCAACTCTTCGCATCAAAAGTTTCAGATATACAGGCTGAGGCACCCAGAACATTTAAATACTTTCAAAATCAATATGACTCCATTTGATCAAACTATCAAAGAGTAACAAGTTCCAATTTTTTTTCTTCTGTTTTGTTATCATAGGGAGCAACCAAGGGCATTGACATCACCGGGATTCTATCCCGTCTTGAGTACCACCCACAACACTGCAATTACCTAAGCTAGTTGCAAGATTATAAATTCTACTTATCTAATCAACAAGGGGTTCCAAAATTATATTGAAAATTTTATGATCAATTAGAAGATTATTGGTCAACTGCCAAAAAAATCAGCATATAATTAGAGCCTAAGAATTCCAATATACCCATAAATCAAAGGGAAAAAAGTACAATAAACAGCATTTAACAAAAAAAAAAAAAAAATGTACAAGTTCAAACAATTTATACCTGTTTCCTTGATGACTGTCTCATTTATATTACAAGCAAAATAATTCCAACTATTCCACCTGTCCATAATCACATAAAATTATATCATTATTCTTAAATAAATCAACTTGGGATATAAATTATCAATATCAAGCTTGCATTTTCATTATCCAAACCCCAAAATTATCACTTTGACCAAATAATTCATACCCAGATAACTCTCAGAACTCCTGATCACATAAACCATAATGAACCACGCCAATTTAACAAACAAAAAAAAGTCTTCTTCTAATAGATTAATTTTAAAAATTAAAATACGGATTACTTGCGCAAATTAGATCCAACACTCGAGAACATGACGTGTATCATGCTCTAGAAAGAACATATAACCAACCATACAACGGGTAGTTGGGTACTTAGTATATCAAATTAGTAAAAATAATAAAATAAAATTAAGAAATGGGATTAAGAAAATACCCCATTTGAGGAGTTCGAGCCAAGCCATTAAAGAGCTGAAATTGGCCATACTTAGAAGTATCATATAAACTATAAAATCTTGAATTAAAATACACTTTATTGGTATAGAAATTTTCGAGAAGAGGGTGAGGTTTAATAGCTTTTGTGAAAGAAATTGCTGAAAATATTAGAAATAGAAACAAGATATGTAATTTAGAAGGAGGTCTACTGATGATGTTTTTGTGTTCCATTTTTGTTTTCTCTCTCTTCCCACGTCTTCTGCTTGTGAATTTGGATAAACGTGAAGGATTTGGAGTACTAATAATAATGTACTTAGTATAATCTAGAAATGGATAATTATTGTTTAGCTTAGCTATGCCCCACATCTGTCCAAGCTTAAGCCTTAACGACCTATGATAAAAACCAGTATTTGATTTTAGTTAGTATTGGACTATTGGGTCGGGTCGATTCACTGGTCTGGCTCGATTTTGATTGGGTCATTTCGAGTTATGGTCAAATTGCATATAAGGGTGACTTTTTATATTTTTGGTTTGATATAGTATGAACTATGAAGTATGTCTTATCTAAGTAAACAAACACCAATATAGTACAAAGTATAGTATGATAATTCAGGCAAACAACATAATGACCTGATATAGTAATAAATGGATGAGTTTGGATTTGATAACCCAAAGATGAATTCACGACATCGTAACAAGATCTCGGGATGCCAAATTGTTGATTGAAACAACGTTTCCACTTCCAATTCAACATAATTTCATAATAGCCTAATGGAACTAAACTCATTTCAAGACTTTATACACCTCATGGTAAGCTTGTTATGGTTCCAAATTGAATTAGATGACCCCATGAGACATTGCACATATTCACTTCACTTTTAGGAAAATTTCACGAAATTGGTCAGAAAGTATGGGTCATAACTTTTAATTTTGGACAATTTTTGACGTTTCAAACCCCAAAAGAAAAAGAGGTTGTGGTGCTTCCCATAGGCTCCACAACACCTCGAGAGGGTCATTTAGGTGATTAGGGTGAGTTTATCCCCAAACTGAGATTTATACTTCAAAATCTGCCACATCAGATTTCCACTAATTTTTAATCACTTTTTTTTTTTTTTAATCATTCAGACTCAAACAAGATTTTTTCCACTTTCACACATTAATCCAAGACTCACTCTAGATTCACTTACCCTTTTAAATATATTAATATTCATTTACTTATATATTTATTCTTTTATAAATTATTTTGAAGGTAGTGAGTTGGCAGCTCACTATTGGGTAACAAATTTTTTTTTGTCCTTTTGCTTAGTCTTAAGATGAGTTTGGAATCCTAAACTCATCTCAGGATTATATGTAGTCTTTTTACAGATTATTGCTAGAGTCTTGCTCAAGACTCCACTCAAGACTAGAGATAAACTTACCTTAGAACTACTTTGCCTTTGAACTATTAATTTAGTCATTTACGTACATGTATCCCTCCATCAACTCAAGGTTATGGGCCTTTTATGACCGATTAATGGTCATATATGGTTCCAAACAACATCATATAACCACTTTATGTGTACCTCATCATTTCATGAGTTTTCGACATCGATCCTGGAATTTCCGAAAACACCTTGTTTTGTGTAACATATAGATTCAAATTTGGCCTCTAGTAAACATTTTTTTTTAACATAAATAGATTTTGCATTGAGATGGTTTCCAAAGTTCCAAAGGGCCTTAGAAGGCCTATTTAGTGCCCAAAACCATATCATTCATGCCTTGGGCCACCCTTTGTTAACATATCATGAAATGTTTTTCCTTGGGATTTGTTAAACATCGCCCGCAAATTACCATATAAAGCCCACAAATATGACTTGGTATGACAATTATGCCCATTTTCTAAAATTGAACAAATCTCGATTTAAAAAATGTGGAGCCGTACTGGCTCGTCGGGGGAGACCGGAGGGCAGGTCGGAGATGCGGGGGACGCCGGAGGTACGTCGTCGTCGACGGAAAACGAGGTAAGTCACCGTTAAAATTCACGGTTTACGTAACGGCGTCTGAAAGAGGTGGCCGTGCAGTGGCGCCGGCGCCTAGGATGGACGCCAGTACCATAGCATGGGCGTCCAAGCCAGACGGCAGACGCCAGAACCACCGGACCGGCGTCCAGCCCAGACGCCCAGACCACCAGACAGGGCCAGGTGCCAGTCCATTGGCTGAGGCGGCCCTGCCAGGCGCAAGTCTAGTGGCTGTGGCAGCCCTGGCAGACGCCACTCTTTTTTTTTTTTTTTCTTTTTTGATTTTGTTGTTTTTTTTTTTTAAATTTGAAAAATCGAAAATGATTTTTTAAAAAAATTCGAAATAGTTTTTTTTAAAATTAAGTTTGAAAAATCGAAATGGGTTTTTTTAAAATTCAGTTTGAAAATTCGAAATAGTTTTTTTTAAAATTAAGTTTGAAAATTCGAAATGGTATTTTTTAAAATTAAGTTTGAAAATTCGAAATGGGTTTTTTTAAAAATTAAGTTTGATTGTTGAGAATGGTTTTTTTATAAAATTAAGTTTGACAATTCGAAATTGTATTAAAAAAAATTGGAAATGTTTTTTTTTTATTTTTTTTTTAATTTATTTCAAATTGAAAATTCAAAACGGTTTTTTTTAAATTATGTTTATTAATTTAATGTTTTTATTTATGTAGTGAGTAGATTTGTGTTAATGTATACCAAAATATTTAATTGTTTATGTGACTTTTATAAATGATTGTGTTTAAAATTTTTATGTGTATGTGTATGAATAATATTATACATAATTATGTTTTTAATTTTGTGTTAATTCTGTGTAAATATAGAAATTAAATGTATTATCCGTTAAATGTATTTATTATAATATATAATTGATGCAGGATTATGGTGGAGACGAAAATGATTACAGTGGAATATTTGAACATGATGGTCCATTCGAAGAAGCTCAACAAGCGATTGATTGGGCAAAACAGGTTGCAATTACAGCTGGATTTTGCTTGGTAGTAGTAACTCATAAATCTCAACGGGATGGTAGAATGGATCGCATTTTGAGATGTGACCGTTATCACAAAAGAGAAGAAAGAGATTTTCGTACAGCCACTCGGTTTGATACAAAGCGGAAAGTTTGTGGGTGTGAGTTTAGAGTAAAGGTTCGACAACTACGGAGTCGTGACGGTTGGGAAGTGATTGGTTACTCTAAATGGGGGTATCACAACCATGAGATGATAGTATATGAAGAGGGTCATCGACAGCTGAGCGACTTAAGTCCTGCTGCGAAACTAGTTGTGAAAGAAATGAGTGATGCTCAAGTCAAGCCTGCTAAAATATTAGCATCTGTGGTAGAGAAATTTCCAGAAGACCATCCAAACCGAAGACACGTCTACAACGTCAGACAGCAACTCAGGTTTGAACGGTCAGAGGGAAGGAACCCTATACAACAGCTGCTACACCAGGCACAATCACGTGGTTACCTGTTCTGGTTTGATTCTGATGAAGATACAGCGGAGGTGACTCATCTTTTCCTTGTGCATCCTGATTGTGCTGATATGATCAAGTCTTGGCCATTTGTGATTTTGATCGACTCAACGTACAAGACAAACAAGTACAAGTTCCCACTGGTTGAGATCATGGGGATGACTCCAACGAACCAGAACTTTATGATTGGTCATGCAATCATCAAGGATGAGACGGCTCCAAGTTATTATTGGGTCTTGGAGAAGCTAAGAAACTACATCGGGCCTAATGTTCATCCAGCAGCCATCGTCAGTGACTGTGAGGGAGGTCTCTTTGCCCCCATTAGGGAGTTGTTTCCAGAGTCGAAGCACTTGTTGTGCACATGGCACATCAACAACTGCGTGAAAGTGAAAGCCTACAACCTTTTCAACAAGAATTTGGAAATGGCAGAGAGATTGGTGAATGGTAAGTGGCGGAAGATCCTACAGGCTACCACATAGGCAGTGTACGAGCGAGAATTGGCTAACTTCAGGGATTCGTACCAGTGGTGTCCGACACTGGTGGACTATGTGATGCAGCAATGGGTCCCTCACAGGGAAAAGTTTGTCAAATATTGGACAAACCAGGTACTTCATTTCGGGAACACTACAACATGTAGAGTTGAGAGCGCTCATAGAGCTACCAAGGACTGGATTGATTCATCGACCGCTGCTTTGGATACACTGTTCGATAGACTTAACAAGTCAATTGAAACTCAGAAGAACGGCATCAGGAACTCTCTAGAGGAATCCAGACGACGACATGGTACGATGTATAGCCATTTCATATTTAAGATTCTCCATGGTCGTGTGTCGCACTACTGCTTGGGGTTGATTCTCACTGAGCTGAACAGGATGAGGGACTTGGCTGACGAAGTGTATGCTCGGTGCGGGTGTGCTATTTCAGTAACTCATGGATTACCTTGCGCATGCACCATTCACCGCGTTATTACAGAAGAAAGGGCGTCGTTACATGTTGATCAGGTTCATTCATTCTGGCGGACGCTCGTTATTGGTGAGCATGCAGATACTCAAACGGCCGACCGTGAAGAGGAGGAGTTAGAGCAGTTTCGTTCGATGTACGACCGAGTGTCCTCCAGTCATCCTTCTATTATTCGTGACGCTACTCATGTACTTCATGACATGTTCCACACGTCTACCTTAGATTTTGAGGAACCCGAAGGAGTTGACCGTCCTCGAGGTCGCCAACGGCGGAACATGAGTGCGTTTGAGTATATTCGTGGTCTTGGTCGTGGTCATGGTCGTGGTCGGACATCGTCATCTAGTCGTAGTCAATCTTCATCGTATGTGAATATGCCCCTGAGAACTGGTACGTTTGGTTTTTTAAATTGCACATTGTTTATAAGCTTACTTCTGTCTTCTTAACTGTGTTTAATTATATGGTGAATAGGAAGAAACGATGTTGATCAGTTTCCGTACAAGGACAGGATACCTAACATCATCATGCCGTACTTGGAAGGGTAGAATGATGTAGTCGGAGATGGTAACTGCAGATTCCGGGTCGTGGCTGATGTTTTTCAAATGGGCGAAGACAACTACGGTTTGGTGCGTCAGTTGATGTACAGCGAAATTTCCTCTAACCAAAATGTTTATCGTCATGTGTACCAGGATGACTTGAATGGCGCTCTGCGGCGTATCTGGTGGGGAGGTGGACCTTGCGGTCAAAATCATTATTTTGACGCGCCCCTAGATCTGTTTGCCGTTGCAAACATTTACAAGTGCACAGTCATGCATTTCGGGCTGGGATTGCATAGTCAAGCTTATTATCCTTGTACCACGGTTCTCCCTTGGCGTTCGCGTGAGACTGTCACTACACCAGTCAGAGAGGTAGCTATTGCGTTTCTTGGGTCGTCATACAGACATTTCATCCGACTAGACATGTCATCCGATTTTCCAGTGCCACCGATTATACCTCAGTGGTACACCATTCGCACAGCGAGCGTAGAGGGTTGGGATGCGCTATATCATGATCGGATCCACGAATGGAACACCCTAGCTGCATTTTAGTTTTTCATGTTTACATTCTTCCTATGTAACCTTATTTGTACGTTGCTCTTTTAATGAGAACATTAATTTTTTATATTGTATTGCTTACTACATTTATATGTTGCATGGGTAAGTTGCGCGGATCCACGAACGGTTATGTCAAAATTTAAAAACAACAATGATAATATGTCAAAGTTGAAAGCTAAAACAACAATCTAAAATGTTACAAACTTAAAACATAATATCCAATTTAATAAATTAAAACGATAATATTTAAAGTGCTCTATAAATAAAATGCCAAAACCATCAGTAATCCCTCCTCGACGCCGACTCCCAATGCGCAAGGGTCTGTTCCAGACTATCAACAGCAGCTCTCACTGTTGCACTCATGCTGTCCTTCTCCAGAGAGAGTTTATGTACGTCTTTCATTATCTTTCCCATCCACTGCATACAACAAAAAATAAAACATGAAATACAATAACAACATGTAAAACTTAATTAAAAAACAACGATAAATATTTTGTGAGACATACCGCTTCCATGGCAGTAGGCGGTGGCATATAATCATCATCGTTGTGGTCGAGATCTGCGATCAACCTCGGGTGCAAATACCGGTTGAACCATTCCATGTAGTAGTGGTCACACATGGGAGGAACCCCAGATGGCGGCCTTTGCAACTCCGCAGTCCATAAGCGGGCCACCATCGGAAACTGGTCCCACATCCCAGTCATAATATCCGGCCAATGCACGACGTAGTCCCTCGACGATGCAGGTCGGACCGTCTTCATCGGGCATGCCGGGGGAGGAGGGACAACTTGGACAAATCCAAGCTGGCGAAGACAACGCTGGGGCATGTACGCCTCGACGATCTCACGATACTGAATGAGTCCCGTGTACAGGGTCCTGGGTACCCTAACACTAGGGTTCGGGCCGAAAGGCATCCAGTTCACCTGCACATAGTTTTAAAATTTAATAACATGATTATAATAAGTGCATATAATAAATCATAGAAACAGTTTATAAACGTTACCTCTAAGGGGGACAGCCTGTCAAGCAATAACCGTATCGATCGGAGGCGGTGAACAGACTTCTTCTCCGAGCGCGGACTCCACGCACAAGCACGCGACATCCCCTCATCAATAGGAACCGGGTCACGATGTGGTCGCAATGCAGGAAAGTACTCGTATATCCAGGTCTGCAATAAATTCAGACACCCAGTGATACCTGCCGCGTCAGCCCGACTCGCAAATCCTAGTTGGCGATACAAATACGCCAACGTAGCCGATCCCCAAGAAACTGGCCTACACTGTCGGGGTCACACACCTCTACTATGTCGCGTGGCCTGAGGTTGTTTCTGTCGCTCTTATCCGGAAACAAGGTACATCCGAGGAGCAGAAAAACATAAGCAGCCAGCTGTGCGTCGTGCGTCCTACGTGCACTGGGGTACAAACACCGCTGCAACACGGATGCGATCTTCACACCGCCGTGTTCCCAAACACCAAGCGCCTCGGTGTACAGTGCAGCCCTGTCCACCGCCAACAACTCCGCCAGCAAATCTGCCTGATCCGCATCAGTCACAGCACAAAGTCGTTTACCCTCAACACGAATCCCCAGAATGGCCTCGACGTCATGTAACATGATCGTCATCTCACCGAACGGAAGGTGGAAAGATTTTGTATCCGGCTGCCATCGCTCAACGAAAGCCGTGATCAGCGTAGTGTCAATCTTATCGTGCATGGTGGCAGGAACGTGATTCACCCCAGTGCCCTCCAGTCGCTCGAACATCTCGCTCTCCGCCGGCCAAGCCTCAGCCCATGTACGCAAAAAGCTATAAGTCTTTTCCCGGGTATGACATTTCAACAACCCCCCGTAACTGAAGGCCTCTCCTGGTCCTCCCAAATACGGGTAGCTATGTGTCCTAGAAAGCTAGGAATCACACTCCCGTCAACAGACCCACCAGGCACCTCACTCCTAACAACCCAAGAATCATTAATGGCCCTCGACCGTTTCCTGCTTGCCCCAGACACAGTGGACGCAGGTGATGTGCCAGATCTACTAACAAACCTACCACCCCTACCCTTACGCACCTCTACCATATGTGTCTCGTACATGTCATCAACCCTCTGACTGAATGGACCGTAATCATCATACGGTCCACTCCTATCGTCCACATCCTCATCCTCATATGCGTCCTCCTCCTGGTCACCCTCCTCAGCATCATCATCGTCATCGTCATCCTCATCCTCATCCCGACGGTGGATCCGTTCTCTACGAGCCGAGGCCGAAATACCACGGGATCTAACATGTCTATGCCCCGACTTCTCCACTGAATAGCTTCTACTAAGAAGCTCTACATTCTTCCCCGCACCATGACGACCCAGTGAATTCTACAAAAAATTAAAAAATATATAAACATACAAAAGTTTTTTAGAAAAATAAATAACTACCTACACATACAAAATACCAACACTTCCAACATATCGTCATGTTTATAAACATAAAATTAATAAAGATTATAAAAAATCAAAGACATAATAAATAAATAGGACACAAAACAAAAATTTTAAATTATTTCAAATAATTAAACATAGAAAAATATTATACGGCATACACAAATACACACATAATACCCTAATGCATACACAAATACACACATAATACCCTAATATATTACAAAATTTCAGATTTCCAAAAAAAAAAAATTATTTCAAATAATTAAACATAAAAAATAAAAAACAAATATATTACACATACACAAATACTCACGTAATACCCTAATGTATTACACATTTTAAATAAAAAAAACAATTACACATTAACACAAACAATTTCCACATTACTACATCAATTAAGGCATAAAAAATGTTTAAACATCAAACATAAAAAAAAATTAAACATTAACACAAAAAAAAAATAATCTGATTTTATAAAAATAAAATATACACGATTTATAAAAAAAAAACACATAAAGTTGATAAATATTTAAAAAAAATAAAACACATTAACAAAAAAAAATTAGACATAAAACAAAATTATTTTAAATAAAACTAAATATCTGATTTTGCAAAATAAAAAAAAAAAAAAAAAACAGGTGGGGCGCCTGGCCAGGACGCCCACCCACTGGCGGTGGCGCCAGCTCCGGCAGCCATAGCCAGTGGGCAGGCGCCTGAACTGGACGCCCACCCATAGGCACAGGCGCCAGATCTGGCCGCCACGCCAATGGTCTGGCGTTTGGTTTGGACGCCTGTCCGGTGGCTGGCTTCCAAGCCAGATGCCACGCCACCGGCGTTGGCTGCCGGACCTGACGCCCCGCCACGCGCCACCTTCGCCCTTTTTTTTTTTAAAAAAAAAATATTTAAATAATTAACTTGCCACCAGGTCGCCGCCTTTCCTCCGCCGTCGCCGCCGCCACCTCTTTCCCTTGCCGCCTCGACATTGTCGTAATTAATATTTTTTAGAGAGGTAGATTTTCTGATTTTTTTAGAGAGATGTAGAGAGTGTTTTTTTTTAAAAAGAAAAGGGCAATAAAGTCACTTCAACACATATTTGTGGGCTTTATGTGGAGATTTGCGGGCGATGTTTAGCGATTCACTTTTCCTTTTCTTATCTTGTTGGCCTTGCTTTGCCTTGTCTTGTATTGCCTTGTCTTTCCTAGGTCTTGCATTGCCTTACTTTGGCCATGAGGCAAGCTAAGGCACTACCCTTAATTGTCAAAATTAGGTGTTTTTTAGGATAAAATGTTTGATGCTTTGTCCTTGCGTATCTTGTGCACATGCCTCATGCTAAAAGTTATATTAGGCATGTAGATAAATTTGTTTTTAATATGCACACATTCTTAGATGTGGCTGGCCACACGGTGTAACCAACCATCATGGGAGTTACTTTTTTAGTGTTAAGGTTTACTTGGTCAGTGTCACAGGGGTTCTTGGGGTTATCCGATCACTGTTATAAGGGTTACCCGGTCAGTGTTAAAGGGTTATCCGGTCAGTATTAAAGGGGTTACTTGGGGTTATTTTGTTCTTTTACAAGGGGTTACACGATATGGCCAGCCGCACACAAGACGAGTTGTTTAATATGGGTTGTTTAATATGTTGCACAATACTATATGCACTATTCACAATATTTCTACATAACAATCTTTTAAAAACATGTATGTAAAGAAAAATGGCCAATCTTTAGTGACGATATTACTCATGCGAGCAACTTTCTACTAGATCTAGATCTCACCCCAAACATATCAACGTTAAACCCTAAAATCAGCACAAAACTATAAAAATAGAAATCTCTCCATTAATGGAGTAGACAAACCTTTATGTCTATATTATATTATTATTCCTTCTCTCTCGAAATTGAAGAAACTTAACCACCGACTATTCCTACTCTACTCTTCTTCACTCTTTTCCTTTCATCCATTCTTTCCCTCTTTCTCCTTTCCCTCTTTCCTACCTGTCCTCCTTTCACTTTGACACCACCTCTTCCTCTTTCACCTCTTAAACCCCCCATTCAACATTTTTTTTTTTCAATCTAACTTCACTCAATAATTATAGAAATCTCAAAAACCCCAAATACCCACTTTCTAAATCCCTCAAAAATCTAAAAAAGTTCCTAAATTCATAATATTTCCATTTATTTCTTCCTCATTCACAAAACCCACCTTCTAAATCCCTCTAAAAATCTTAAGTAGTTCCTAAATTTTCTCATTTCACTCGTATAAATCTCAAAAAACCCACAAAAACCCATTTTTCCAAAATCCCTCAAAAATTAGTAGAAAAAAACAATGAGCTCTAAAATGGTAGCTTCAACACCTTCATTAAGTGAAGGAATCATCAAGAAAATCATATTAACTTACACATACATCTCAATATGGCTATTTTTTTCATTTAGTGTAATAATCTACAACAAATACATCTTAGACAAAAAGCTCTACAATTGGCCTTACCCAATCACACTAACAATGATTCACATGTCATTCTCTTCAATTTTATCATTCCTTCTTGTTCGTGTGTTTCATGTTGTTGAATCCCCACTTCAAATGACAAAATCATTATATATTTCATCAATTTTACCAATTGGAGTACTCTTTGCTCTGTCTCTTTGGCTCTCAAATTCAGCCTACATTTACCTCTCAGTCTCATTCATCCAAATGTTGAAGGCTTTAATGCCTGTAATCGTGTACTCAATTGGGGTTATCTTGAAAAAAGATAGTTTCAAGACGAACACAATGGCTAACATGATATCAATTTCTATTGGAGTTGGGATTGCCGCCTATGGCGAGGCAAAATTCGATGTTTATGGAGTGATTCTACAACTGGGTGCGTTGATCTTTGAGGCAACAAGATTGGTTTTGATCCAAATCTTGTTAACTTCAAAGGGTATTCAACTAAACCCAATTACTAGTTTATATTATATTGCGCCTTGTTGCTTGATTTTCCTGACTGTTCCTTGGTTATTCGTCGAATACCCGCTTTTAATGGCGCAAACTAAAGAGTTTGAGTTCGATTTCGTGATATTCGGGTCAAACTCTTTGATTGCATTCGGGTTGAATTTGGCTGTTTTTCTTCTTGTTGGGAAGACTTCAGCATTGACTATGAATGTTGCTGGTGTTGTTAAGGATTGGTTGTTGATTGCGTTTTCGTGGTCTGTGATTAAGGATACGGTTACTCCGATTAATTTGTTGGGTTATTTGTTGGCGTTTTTGGGTGTTGTTTATTATAATCGGGTTAAGTTTCAGAGCTTGAAGGCTTCTGAAGGTCAAGCTCATCAAAAGAAAGATAATGTTGTGGATTATGTTAAGGTTAATGATGACGAAGAGAGTGTAAAGAAGTTGTTGGATGATAGAGATAGTAATGGTGTTAAGAAAGATGATTCTTAGCACTAAATGAATATGGAGAACTCGAGTTGGATCGATTTATGGGTGTTTGGGTCGTGTTTATGTTTGGTTTTAGCTCGAGTTTGGGTTGTTAAATTGTATACGAGTACAATGCAGGATGATTGCATAACATGACTAAGCTAGAGGATCAAATTTAGCTTGTACATGTATGGGTTGATCGATTCGTGTTCGTGCCAAGTTCAAAGTTGTCTTGTCGAGTTAGAGATGGAAAACTCTAAAGCTTGATGTTTTACGGTTAATTCTAGCTACACTTATTATGGAGTATATTGGTATTGGTATTAGATGGTTCAAATCTTTAAGCACATTGCAATGTCATTGCAAAATATTTCCATTAATGCTTCTTATAAGCTCTCTCTCTCTCTTTTTTTTTTTTTTCATTTTATTTGGTTCTTTCATTCAATGTAATAGTTAAACTTTTCAATGAATTAATGATGATAAAATAAAAAAGAACTCTTCAATGATTTTGTTTTTCTTTCCAAATTATTACCAATATTTGCTAATGTATTGTTGACTTGTTAGTTAATTTTTAAATAGATGACATAATTAAGAATTTAGTAATTTTGGATCTAATTTTGTGACCTTAAAAAAACTTAAGAAAGATTGTTTATTTTATAATCAGTGTAATTTTCTATGTCAAAAACAAAAGTATTGCGGAGTACTATATATTTGAAGAATTGTTAAAATGGTCGGACCAAATAATTTAGGCGAATAATTGCATGTCAATCTCACCAACTGTACAGATTTGTTATTGTCACTGATTTTGGTGTTTACTTGCTCCTTGAAAAGTGTGTACTCATCTGTTACATGCAAGATCTACACATTTAAAACTTAAAGTATTTATTTAGAGTGAGGGATAGCTCAAGTGGTTAAAGCTCTTCTCTCGGTTTCAAGAGATCTTGAAATCGATTCTCATCACCCGTCCTTTTGCGGCTCTCTAAACACCAAAAAAAATTTAAAGTTTTTAATTTTGATTTTTTTTTTTTTAAGGAAACATAAATTACCCCAACTTTTGTTTGCTAAACGAAAATAATTCCAACTATATTTATTTTCTATGACTAAGATGGAGTAAATAAAATGATTATGAAAGATTATTATACTTAGTCTTGCGCATTTCTTTCTCATCATCTCTATATATATACGAAGTATCCAATATCAAATTAACCTCTACAATACTTAACCGAAAATGTACTTCTAAAACACATAATGGATTAATGGATTATATTGAAGAGATGAAAAGGAATTATATAGCCTAAAGTCTATTCAAGCTTTCCAAAAAAGCAACGGTGGAGATGGAATTTTGATCTCAAGTATTGATACCTTAAAATTTTAACAACTAAACTAGTTAACATTCAAGCTCAAAATCAAAATCCGATGCTACGAAATTTTTGCAAATGACAATTAAGAAATACGTAATAATTTTTTCTAATACTTTGAAATTTTTATACTTCATACATAAAGTTTCCTGTTGCAAAGCATGTCATTGCTTTTTATAAAGAGTTGCTAAAATTTGCATGAAAGCATGTGATTTTCTAACTAATTAAATAATTCCCTTTATAGAAAGTTAAAAGTAGGTTGATTGGATCTCTCTTTTTACTCTTAATCCTGACTTTGGGAGTATGTATTATTGTAGATTATTGCACAATAGTCCGTATTTGGTGTATATTTTTTCTTGGGTAGGTGAAACTATTTGTCTTTTTTTGCATTGTCTCAGATTTTTATCATGTGACGTTCAAGTAAATTATATAAAGTACAATATTCCAGCACACTCAAACTACTACAAATCCAGATTTTGTTTAGTTTCCTTTTATAGTCAATTATCAAATTAATTATAGAATTCCCTCAATTAATTGTTTAGAAACTGGTTAGGTTGGTTAGATTGAGATGTGAATCTTGTGATGGTATGGTGATAAAATATGAGTTCTTAATATCAAAATAAAAAATAACAAAATACAAGTAAAAAATTGTGTATTAGATATTATTATTGTTATTAATATAGCATTCTTATACGTAATTAAAAATATTAGCAGTCTAAAATGTGTGTTTCAGGTGAAACAATTTGGTGACCTTTGTAAGTGGGCTGAAAATGAGTTCAGACCAAGTGATTGTTGGGCCGAATATTACCTGCACCAAAGAGCATGTTAGCTGACATATAATTGGTATACACTAATTGGTATACACTAGACCCTAGTGTAGGTAGGGGTACCTACACCCCCCTCTAAACTTATCATTTTACCCACATCCCATAACCCACAAACCTGCAGTAACTACCCACCAAATCATTTTAATTTCTCTCTCAAACCTTCTTCTTCATTTCTCTAGACTTTCTCTCTCATCAAAACAAAAAAATCTGAACCAAAATTGCTTCAAAATACTACGAAACTGCTTCAAAATACTTTGAAATTGCTTCAAAATACTGCTAAATTGCTTCAAATGTCTACATTTGCGAAGAAATTCAACAATTGCAAAAACATTCACAGAAAGAGTAAGTAATTTTACTACAATTTTTTGTACGAACCCTAGTTTTTCTATTTTATTTTGAAATTACATGTTCAGAAACATAATCTAAGTTGATTAGAACTATTTTATGCAAAAATCATTAAAATCTACTATATTGGTGCTGTTTTTGTAGAACCGAAAAATATGTTTCGAAGTAGAGAGATAAAGAGAATGATTACTCAGATTAGAATCCTGTTCGTTGAACACAACAAGGCAGATTTTGAAGAAACGTAAGTATTATTTCAAAAACCTATTTAAACAATAGTAGAAATTTTTTTTTTAAAAAAAAAACAGCGTACAAAAGTCTCAAGTTGTAGATCTAGAACTTTTAAAAGATATTAAAAAGTCTCATGGTATAGATGTTAACATTTCTACGATTTCGAGGTAATATATGAACATATACTGAATTATAAATGTTCATTTGTATATTTGAATTTATTTGAGTTTATATTTGACTTTATATGCTTAAATAAAAAATGTTTATTTTTATGATACGTTATGCACATTTATGAAATGCATAAATATTCATTCATTTGAGTTGAGAAACTGACTTATTCATTCAATGAAATCTTTTGATCATTTATGAAATTCATAATGTTCATTTACATATAAAGTAATGTTCATTTTAAAATATATGTTAATATTATTTCATTTCAGATTACATATATATATATTTATATGCCTAAGAGACGAATGTTCATTTCTTTTACACATTATGCACATGTGTAATATTGATAATATTCATTTGTATGCATTAAAACTAATATCTTATAACCAATCTAGCTATATTGTAGTGATGTCCAAAGTTACGCATATGATATAAATTTGCACATAGAATTGAAGAATATGTAGTTGTTTTGGAGAAGATAAAATAACTTAGCAACGCTGATTATACAAACTGCGGAGTATACATTAGGAAGCATATAGAAACCTTCACTACTAAACTTAATGAGAGTTAGATTTGTGATTTGAAACCAAACAGTGTAAAAGTGATAAATGTTCAATAATGTAAGATATATTGTTCATTTATAAAGCAGTGTCTATAATAATTAACATTTGTTAATTCATTTTGTTCAACAGGTGGACCAAATTAGGAAGCAAGGATGCGAAACTTATATTATTTGAAGAAAAACACTAATTCTAGGTTAAATAGAAGATAAGCAAGAAAGTTTGCAAAGGAATAGTACATGTTATATGTTCATTTATGAATGTGTATATGTTCATTTATTATATATAGTTTTATAGATGTTTGTTTTTGGAGGAAAATAGACTTATAGATTTTATTTGTTAAAAAAATTATTGTAATTGATATTTCATTTTAATCTTTATTTGTATGAAAAAATATATATTTTTTAGGTTTTATAAATTGGTTGTTGGTTCTTTACTTTTGTTCATTTTCAAATTGATAAATAATCATTTACATATGTTGAATTTTAAAAAAACAATATAATATACTAAAAAAGGTACTATATAGAAATAAATTATTATGTCTTTAACACTTGAAGAATTTTGAACAAGAGCACCTTGATCATTTATTGGAACCGTGGGAAGAATAACTTAAATATTTGTTGATTGAACATTTCTTTAATGGGGTTTGAACATTTCTGGGTTGAAGTTTGAACAATCCTGAGTTGAAGTTTGAACAATGCCAAGAACTATGGGTGGAACAAAATAACCAGTTTGAGATTTTGTAGACGCACTAGTATGAATTGGAATTCTTAGATTAATTTTAGCATTAGTTTTAACACCAACAACACCTTTATGTTTGTAGAAACGTTAGAACGAGCTTGACAACGCAAACACGTTCAACAACATTTAAATCCTTCGCCTGCAAAAAAAAAAGTTAATTGATGATCAATATTAAATCAATAAATGTTCAATTACAAATACATATATACACATATTAGAAAACAAAACCTTAGCAAAAGATGAAATATCTAAATCATCAGATATGCTGGATTGAAGAGTGCTTTCAATATAAGCCTACACTTATCATAACACTATTATTCCTACACCTATCATCTTTATAACTCTCACTACAACAAACAAATAATAAAAAATGAATTGTCTTTTCTCCTCTTACTCTTCCCAATTCGAATTCCAAAACCGTTCCTAAAAGCATGTTCGTTATACATTTCAAAAGCTTCTTCTTCAGATATAAATTGTTAATTCAGACTTAGCTGCTTCTTCATCAACTATATCACCCTTTTTTTTTCTATTGCACACATTATTAACACACAATTATAAGTGAAAATAAAGGGTTTCAAAAATGACCAATAGTTAATACATAAAATGTTCAATAACGAAACTGCACATGTTCAATTTGAAAATTTTAAACACATAATATTATCATGAAAAAAATTGTAAAAACAAATGATCAATATGACATTGAAAATGAACATAAAATGTTCATCGTCATCACAACAGAGTATTAACAATCCAAAAATGTTCATCATCATCATAATCAAAATATCAAAATTGAAGCAATGAAAACATATAACACATACATTGAAGCAACAAAATCGAGTACAAAATTATGTAGAAATAAACAGAGCATCCACATAACACAATATTGATAATCAAAAAGTACAAAATTATGATCATACATTGTTGAACAAACGAATCAATCAATCGAACTTCAGATGAAAACACACTTTCGAAATCACGATCGAAATCGGCAGAGGAAGAATTAGACATTGATGATCAACAACGATTATCAAAATCGTAAAAAATAAACTGGAAAATTAGTATAAAAATCAAATGAAGAAAATGAATTGAGCAGAGAGAATGAAGGTATTACAATCAATTGAGGAGAGAGAAAATATATGGTTTAAAATCATATATATACATAGCTTGAATGATAAGAAAGGAAGGAATTAAAAAAAAAAAAAGAATCAAAGCTGTTCGGGAGTACTACCCATACTAGCTACAAAACAATGTAGTTTTGGGGGGGGGGGGATAGGTAGAACATCCTACACTAGGGTGTAGGGTAAAAATTTCACATTTGGAGTATGTTTGAGGAAATTCCTCTGATGCCTAAGTCGGTACGATACGAGTGATTGAAGCTTAATGAGAGAATTCAAATACATTTAGTATAATAAACTCTAGAGTGTATACCTCAAAAAGATGTGATTTTTGGCTATTTATACCCATGAGGTAGTAAATAGTGTGGACCCAAGGACTAGTGGGCTGATCTTATCCATGTATGCATAGGAATTGCTCTGGACATTAGGAATGTATTGGACTTTAATTTAGGCATTTCTAGAGATGGTTTCGTGGACTTGGCCTATTTAATAAGATAGAGGCCCAAAATGGGATCCATTTTGGCACCCAAACAATGTGTATTGAGCCATTGATAGACGTACATAGTCAAACTAGAATCATATATGGACTATAAAAAAGAAAGGATTAATACTGTTTTTTAATTCCAACTTTCATTAATTTATTTTTATTAATCCTAACTTTATTTATTCTGCAATAATTTCAACTTTTACCTGCGTTTTCTTTCTTCAATTCGGTTTACTGGTTACCTGAAGAAAGGGTCAATTTTTTTTTAAAACAAATTATATGACACGTGTTGCACTCTAATTGGTTCAAAAATATATAAAAAAAATAATTTAAACTAAAAAACAAAAAACAAGGGGAAAAAAAAAATCCAAAGACCACCAGCGTTGGGTGGCCGGTGGCCGCACTTCCTCAGAGACCCACACCCCACTTTTTCGACCTACCGAAAACCCCCAACCCCACTTTTCTGACTTGCCGAAAACCCTCCTTGCACCGGAAACCCTCCCATCACTCCCGTTGATTGCGTTATCCGACAATTAGAGGAGAGAGAAAGGGAGCGGGCTGCGGTTTTTAGGTGGTTTCGGGGGTGGGGGAGGTGATTTCGAGGGTTTATAGGTGGTTTCGGGGGTGGGAGAGGTGATTTCGAGGGTTTACAAGTGGTTTCGGGAGGGGATGGAGACGGTTTCAGGGACGTGGGCTTTGGTTATGGATGGTTTCGGGTTTTATGGGTGGCGGTTTCGGCGCAAGGGTTTGGCTATGGCTGGTTTAGGGGGTGAGGGGAGGTAGAGGGGGCCGGTTTCGCGGGTTTAGTGCGGTTTCTGGGGAGGCTTTTGGGGTTGGGGCTAGGGAAGCAGTGGTTCGGGGTTGGCTATGGAGGAAGGGGCCACCGCTAGTGGTTGTGGGCTGGTGGTGGCTGGTTTTGTTTTTTTTTTTTTGTTTTCTTTTTTTGTTAATTGATTTTTTCTTTAATTTCTTTTATTTTTTGGACCACTTACAGCTTGACACATGTCAAGTGACCTAGAAAATTAGGACATTGACTTTTGTTGACCGGTTTGGATATGAAGAATGATAGGCCATATCAAAGTTGGGATTATTGAGGAATAATCCAAAGTTCGGATTAATAAAAATAAATTGGTGAAAGTTGGGATTAAAAAACAGTATTAATCCAAAAAGAAATGGTCGAAGTAGTAGATTTTAGGCTAAGCTCAACATGATACATCCGGCCTAATCTGACTAAATCTAGCCTAACTAAAAAATTGATCCGATCTAAATTTGGACTTGTATGTGGACAATAATTTAACGTGGCTTAAACCCAAACTAGACTTAACCCAACCAAACCTAATCGTACCTGACTCAATGACCCGAATTGACACTTCTTCCTTCTAGTAGATTTTTCTTCTACATAGATCAATGAATTATTGCTTCAACATGATTAGATAACTTTGATGATGTAATTATGTAAATGCCAATGCAAATTCAAAAAGAGTAGTGCTCCACTGAACGTCTGAACATGTATAAATTGTCTCATTGGACATCATGCTTTTGTTTCTCCAGTAAAGTTTGAGAAAGTTACTGCCAGAAGAATTGAATAAACAAGTTTTGCAATAAAAAATAATTTGATTCTGATTAGGTATTTTTTGCCTACCTTGAGTTTAGTCAATAGCTGATGTCATAAAAAAAAGAAAAGAAAGAAAAACACTAATCATGGATGCACTAAAGCACAGTACATTTTCTAAGAAACAAGGAAAGGATAAAGAAATCCCCAACCTCGAGATTGGTTAAAATCTACTAACCACATCAAATACTATTCGATGACTATGCTTCTAAATCACTACTTGATATTATTTTTTGTATCAGAGTATTATTTTTTACTCCCTTCGTTTCATAATTATCACAACACTAGGTGTTGTACATAGTTTTAGGATAATTACATTATGATTTGAGAAGGTTTTACTCCATACGATTATATTCACCTAAAATGTTTAACTTATTCTTGAAATTTAGGGAGTACACTTGTCTAGTTCATAGTATATTCATGTTATCACTCTAAATTTGTTTGTGATTTGAAGTTTAAGTTACGGGGTAGCACTTTGCAAAGTTAATTACATTCAAGTGATTTGAAATGACTAAACTTGTTATATTTACAAGTGTGAGCAAGTTCAGATTTTCCTTAATTAGCTCCATGAAAACCAAAACTACAGCTTAATCTTAGTACACATTCTATTTTCAAGTACATTTCATACAAAAACTAACTTCATTAACTCTATTACAAAAGGGAAGAAGGGAGAGAAATAATAGAACAGTCAATCTCACTCCAAAAAAGCTATACATTTACAAGGCCAAAAAGCAACATAGATTTTCTCATTTTGTAGTCCTTAGCACTCTTCTTCTGGTGAACTTTTACCTGAAGTTAACGGCAGAATTGGCTTAGGCAGCTGAGCTTTATACCACTTAGCCGAAACAAGGTACAATCCGAAATTTATCAAGCTTAAAAATGACAGTAGCCCGTAAAAGCAGTCAAGTCTTCCCTTATTAATGTTGTCTCCTATCCATCCTTCACCTGAACCAAAGCTTGAGGTGACTTTCTGAACAATAACAACCAAAAAGCTGCTTACGAAGAAACCTAGTGAGATCGTAACAAAGAAAAGGCCCGTGCTCAGTCCTTTCATTCCTTTTGGGGACTCGGTTATGAAAAAATCCAACTGGCCGGTGTATGTGAAAGCTTCTCCAGCACCCATTAACAAGAACTGTGGGATCAGAAGGAAAACACTGACTGGAAGAGCTGATGTTTCAGAGGAAGATTTGGCCACTGATCGCCGCTTCATTTCAGATATTGCTGCAGCAGCCATTCCTACAGCAGAGAGGAGTAGACCCAGAGATATTCTTTGGAGGTTGGTGAGACCTGTTCAGAAGCAGAAATGAATAAAAGGTTAAGCAACAAGGTTGAGCAATAGTGTGATACACAAATAAATCATTACGAGTTAAAGGCTTTTAAAGAGATTGCTTACCAGCTTTTCCTTTCCATTTCTTCCACAGTGGTATGACTACACGATCATAAACTCCCAGAGTGACTAACACAGCTAAAACAAAGAATACAGTTAGCGAGGCAGCAGGTATTTGAAAACCGCCAATGGATCTCTCCATAGTGGATGCTTGTTCAACTGAGAAGGTGAGTATTTGTGCATATGTAGTCCAAAATAAGATTGTTGTTGCCCAAATAGGCAGTAGTCTGATCACTGCCTTCACCTCCTCCACTCTTGTAACTGAACATAGTTTCCAGGGATTGCAGTCCAAGACACCATTTTTCACATGATCTCCTTCAGAAATGACTGCAGCTTTATCCAAGAAACTACAGGAAAATGCAAATGAATTAAACAGTGGGACCAAAATTATATTGGCATATTAAGACCATTGTACCTTACAACAAAGCACCACCTTTTAATAATTCTTTCTTCTAAGCCAATATATTATAATTGTCCGTCACAAAACATGGAATTGAAATGTGATAATCAATACATGAAAAGTAAAGTTGTTTTTCCTTTTCGAAAAAAAAAAAAAAAAATCAGACATATAGAATTGGAATTGGAATGTGATAACAATACCTGAATTGATTGGTGTGATGAATTCTTGATGCATTTTGAAAATTTTCATATAGCATTTCTGTATTATAAGGAAGTTTCATTCTCCTTTTCGAGGTGGCAGCTACGATTACTTGCAGAATATGAGAAATGGGGCTTCCATGACTTCTTTGGTATCTGTATCTTTTGGTTCCCAAGAGTAATGCAAAGATGGCAATAAACATTGATGCTGAGCAAATTCCGTAGGCCAAGGCTCGACTAACTTCCTCTTGAACATAGACAAGCACTGTAACTGCCACTAAAGTTCCTGTGCTAATAAAGAAGAAAAATCTGTTGAAGAAATAGGCCAAGTTAGCCTTTTCCTTCTCATCACTCTCATCAAACTGGTCAGCTCCAAAACCTGAAGCACTTGACTTCAAGCCACCTGTCCCGAGTGCAATGAGGTAAAGCGAGAGATACAGAACTCCCATTTGGAAGTTACCAGCAGGCTCGCACTTGTCTGAATTGGCAGTGTCACAAGGTGGTGGATGCAAGTTTGGCAGTCCAGTTGACAGAGCTAACAGGCCAGTTCCCTGGTCAATCAGTGTTAATTAGCATTCTGACATGCAACCACAAGGGAGGAATAAACAAACAGACGGATTTGTAACAAGAAGCAAATCAAACAGCTTACAATGGTCTGAATAACAGCAGAGATAGCAACGGTTCTGAATCTGCCAAGGAAGGAATCTGCAAGAAATCCTCCCAGAAAACACAAGAGAAATGACGTGCCCATAAAATCAGTGACAATATTGGCTGAAGCTGAAGTAGTCATGTGCATGGTTCCAGCCAAATAAGTGACAAGGTTCACTGCTATACCCATCGTCGAAAGCCTCTCACATAATTCAATTCCTGTGGACACACATAAAAGAAGACCGATATGTAATTATGTAAGGTGAGACAAATGTGAATGCTAGATACATTAGGGACTTAGGGTGTTGCAAGTGCACCCTTCTCATTCTCTACAAGGTTAGGTTGTCACTCGCGTTTTTTCACTTAAGACTTAGACACTTAAGAGTCAAAACTTGAATCCAAACCTCAATACAGATATATGACAAAAGCACGGGTATCTCTAGGCTCCATATATCTGAACTATTACAAGAACGATATAAAGCAGAGTTCAGAGGCAAGCATAACCGCATAAGTTCCAAGGCATCACTTACCTAAAATAAATCCTGCAGGTATCCAACCGCCAGTTTTAGACTTGTCAGCAGGCAATCCGTTATAGTCAAAAGCTTGTGCATGGATGGAACTCATCTTCTTTCCCGGATTGGAACGTTCAAAATAATGTGATGATCAAAGCCTAACACAATAACAATTCAATCATGTGAACAACCAGGAAAATGAAGGAGATATAAAAGTATTGACTCTGACTACCAGATGTTAGTAAATTTAGTAGAATATGATAAGAGAATGAGTTAAATATTTGAAGCAAGAGAATTTTGGTTATTACCTTCTTCTAACTCAACTTTACTTAGAATTATACAATCAAAGGATAGGGTGTCTTCTTTTATAAGCAGGATACAAGTAGTGATAATGACTACATTTTGTGCTGAAAACAGCTGTTTCAGCAAAAAGTGCTTGCATCATGAAACTGAAGATATTAAGTAGATTGCTATTCCTGACCAGTGCTTCAACTAAAATTAGAATAAGGCCGAAACTATTTGATCAGAGATACGACAATTTTGCAATCTTTAATTGCATATTTAAATTTTGCATAGATTAACTCAGTGATCAATGCTATTGCTACCCCACAGGTATATGGCTCTTAGCTCAAGCATTAAGATATCTTCCCTCCAACAAGAAGATATCTTTACAAGTAACAAGATTATCACTACATTATGAAATTGAACAAATTTTTGCATTTATGAAGCTGAGCGTTATCCACTGAAATAGCGAATCATGTCTGAGGAACTATTGTCCATGAAAATTGACCGCTACATTACAAATATTTTTTTTTAAAAAGCCTTAAAACCAAATAACATACCCTCTTTATTTGAAATTATCAAAAGCAAATGTGAATTGTATTTTGAGAAACATTTGGACCTATCCTCAATATAACTCCAGAGTCTTCAGTTGCTAAAGGAAATTTAGTGGAAACTGAGACAAATCAAAGCAAGACTCTGTATGAAAGACTAAAGTTTCTCCGGGACAATGCCCAAAGAGCTAACGTCCATATCACGATTTATTATCAACAAAGCCATCACTGTAAGAATGTGTTTTTTTTTTTTGGTGCAGACTGTAAGAATATGTTTCTTCGTCATGTTTACTGATTAGCTTGAAGCATGAAAAGGACTAGGTTGCAAAAAATACAGTAGACAAAATGAATGTGACTGTCTGTCCGGTGAGTGGTATACCTTCAGGCACAAGCTATGGTTGGGTAGCTCACAATGTCACAAGCATAATGTAGTCACAAGATAGTTCCAAACAGACTCATAGCACTTCATGGTGCAAACCTTAAGTGACAGAGACAAGAAGTGCGTGTCCAGGAGCACCATAGCAGAAAATGAATAGGGTTGCAGGGTCATGTCAGAATAAATCCAGAATCTTTGAGGAGCATAGCATGAATGCTAAATATCATAATTGGATTGTCTATGTCAAGAATCTTAATCCGATACTATGATCTGATAATGCAGACCTGTACTGTCAAGCGTACACCAATCCAAAGCAAGATCCCAATCTTTACATTCTTGTATACCTTCAATCCAATTGGCTATACATGCCCAAAAACAAAAAAACAAAAAATCCAATTGGTATTCTCGGGTTAAAAATTCAAAACTTTATCAGTATGTTTATCTATACAGATATGTAACACAAAAAAAAATTATTGTTCAGAAAGATCACACACAGGCACACTTCATAGATATTAGAATCAATAGGTAGGTAAAGCACTAAAGTAAGCATAAATAAATTTAGGCAAATGGACAAGCGGCAATTATTAATTTAATCTATTCTGAACTTTTTGTAAGCATGAAGGAGGCATTCAACCAATCAGTACAGTGTGTGACTTGATTATAATTTCCATCAGGTCAGTGGAGTAATTTTACATGGAAGGCTTCAGCCAAACCAGTACATGCAAGTGGTTTGGCAAAAACAAATAAGCCTATAGGCTGTAGCACCTTAATGATTGTACTCATAAATTAATCGGTTAATTAAAGATACTGATTAAACTGATACAGAAAAAACACTAAAGCTTCCGATCATGCAAATCTTCTGCTTCGAAATAGAAAAATTCAGCATATAAAATAAAACAATCAATTGGAGAAAAGGTAGATTAAAATAACTTGAGATCACCAGTAAGATCGAAGCAACTCAAAAGCAACATCGTATGCTCGATGTTCAAAGCACAAAAAGTGCACTTAAACAAAGAGAAAAGGTCCTGAATTGAATAGTGAACAATCAACATACATAATCTTTGATGTTTCTTGATTACCAGGCATAACCTGCACAGAATGCAAACCTAACTATGAAGATATAGACATTTAGTACTACTAGATCAGATGGCTACTCTTCTGCGAAGGACATGTAAATATCTCGTAGCATTTGTAGTTAAGTAAATATCAGTATCACTTTTGCTGTGCAGCAGCAGCGAAAATATCAGTATCCTCAGTTTAATGCCACTAGTAACTATGTTAGATAACCTATCTTTAAGTGCTATATTTGGTGGACAGCAGAAAATAGCACAAGAAGGTTCAATAGTTCCTTAGTTTAATACTAGTGTTTTTGGTGAGAGCTAAACAAAGACGAAAGGGTGCTAGGCTTCCTTTCTGGCCTCGACAGCCAAGTAGTGCTAAGCTTCTATCCTTAGTTTAATGCTAGTTATGTCGCTGCCAAGTAGTGCCAACTATATTTAGCACCTTATCATATCATAGTATTTTACTAGTCTCATATACTCAGATATGCTGCTTAAAGTAGGATCCTTTGGAACAAATATCTACCAAAAAGCACCTAGTTTGGGGAGCAAACAAAAATATATAAAGATGAATATTAAGATATTCTATATTCAGAGCTTTGTTTAGTGTTCCACCTTCCCTCCCCACACCACGCCACACCACAAAAAAATACCACTCCGTAATAATACTCCATACTTCATTTGTCCCAATTTATTAAGGTCACGTTGAGTAGGGTGTTATTTTATGTTAACATAACTAGAATATCTTAAGATATAAACGTTAAACAGTGATAGTCAAGAGTAACAAGGTTTTACCACGAAAGTCAAACGTGATCTTACAGTTCAGGGACGCAAAGGGGAAGGCTGGCGATTGAAAGTACATTCTAATAAAAGTTATACTCTAACAACCTATTATAAATCGTAGGATTGATAATGAATTCATATGCGAATTTGTGAAGAAAATCTTATGTCATGGTAATATCAGTCAATCCCCATTACCTCATATTCTTCATAAATTTTCATCACCGCTCATCAGTCATTACCACTTGAATGAAAAGGTGGTATTAACTGGTAATGCAAATTTACAAAGAAAAACACATGCTAAGGGATGAAAATCCATTGCCATGGTAATGAACACAGGCTTTCCTTACAGATTTACACACAAGTTCATTATCATTTCCACGATTTATAATTGCCTGCCAAACAAGCTTTAAAATTTTAAGTCATTCATGTAGAAGTATGAAAAGCTATCTTCACAGTATGTATTCGCATTTAATCCATATGGATTGGAAAAAAAAAAAAAAAAAAAAAAAAAAAGAAGAAGAAAAGAAAAAGAAAAAGAAAAAGAAAAAAAAGAAGAAGAGGAATTGCATTCTAAATGACATGGCTGAACAGTAGAGAGCTCCATGTCTAGTCATGATGTCAATTCTTCTATAAACTTGCTAAAGGGATCCTGTTTTGGCAGAGTTACCATTTTTACCAACAAACATAACACAGTTACCGCAAGTCTTCAATGTATAAGATGAATTTAAGAGCAACTAATTCTACTTTGGAAGCTTACACAAACAAAGTGTGACACTTGCAAGTGTTCTCACTGAGCTATAAAAAGAGTGTCCATCATAATCAGGTTGCAGAGTTGTGTCAATTTCCAAAATGATATGATTCCCGAACAAATAACAGAATAGAGTTACTAAAGTTCTCCTGCCACCAAAATTGTCTAAAACTCTTCCCAACAAAGAATAGTTTCAAGCATGTAGATTCTTGGCTACAGATTGAATCTTCATGCACTTGGTTAAGCCCACATAGATGTTTTGTCAAATAATCAGAAATTCAAAATAGGCTAATCAAGAAGACAAGAAAAATTAGTTCATTAAACAAATTGATAAAAGGGTCCATTATAGTTCCTTGACTTCAGATCCATAATAAAAACGAGCCCATAAAAATGTTTCCCATATATGTATATTCTTACATTTTTCACAAAATTTCATTGTCCTAAGCTTTAAATATGCATACACTTATAGAAGATCCCTTCAAAACAGTATGCAAACTCTTCATCTTTTTGCCACACTTGCTACATTGTCAAACTCTTACACTTGAACACTTACACCACGTACATGACAATTAGAGACTTTGATCACAAATGCAAATCTCAAAATAAAGAATAAATAGTGCCTGACCCTTCATTCCCGATGTTTGACACCTAGTCCAAGTAGCAGAGCTCCTATGGTACGTGAACAGAATAACTGCCAAAAGGGCATACAAATTTCCACTCGCTGAAGTAGAGATATCATTGAAATCTAACCTCCGTTCCGGGTTCTGAAGTGGATTTCAGATTGCAATTCTGGCGTGTCAATAATGTCTACATAATCCAACATTCAACAGACACAAATCCTGTTAATTCACAAGGTACTTTACAGACCGAATTCCAATAAAATCATCAAGACCATATGATGTGAGGTAGCTCTTATACATAGCTTGTCATCAGGAGACTCTAGATGAATAAATGTTGCTTTTTGGAATGGCAAAAGAAGCCCCTGCTTAAAAATTATAGGAGTAAAAGCATTATTAGCCTGCTTTTCACCAAACCAGGCAATCCTTAACTGTGATCCTTGCCATATGACATAAAAGTTTCACAAGTTCAAACTGCATACACCTTCTCATCATTCTCGTCATTTTTCTTACATCTTATGCATATCCACATTCATTGATTGCGCAATCTATAGATATCTAGTTAAACCATTGTGCATCCAGGAGTCTTATTTATCCCCTTCCGGTCCATCAATTCTCTGATGGTGTATTTGTTCTCCCAAATAGACAGTTTTGCATAGATATTGGAAAGAATAACGTAATCTGCCTCATGCATCAGATCATTCCCAATCAACCTCTCTGTGAGAACTTCATTAAGCTTTACCTCACCTTGACCATTATAAGAGTTGATCAAGGTTCGCAATATTATTGAGTTAGGTTCAATGGGCATACTTTCAACAAACTTCAGTGCCTCTTTAACAAGACCAGCCCTACACAACAAGTCCACCATACAACCATAATGTTTCATTTTAGGTGGTATATCATAGTTCGTCATTGACTTAAAATAATATCGACCTTGATCAACTAAACCCGAATGACTACAAGCATTCAACACGCTGACAAATGCTGTATCATCAGGAGTGACTCCATCTTTAATCATTTCCTCAAAAAAGGAAACAGCTTCCATTCCATGTCCGTGCATTCCCAACCCCGAAAGCACAGAAGTCCAAGATACAATGTCCTTTTCCTTCATTCCTCTAAAAATACTCATGGCCTTCTCAACATCACCACACTTCATAAACATATTGATCAATGAGTTACAAAGCTCGACACTTTTACAAATGTGTTCACTCTCTATAAAAGACGCAGCCCAATTCCGAAGCTCAAGATCACTCAAATCACCACAAGCCGATACAACAGACACCATTGTAAACTCGTCAGGACAAACCTTAGCAACCTGCATTTGTCTAAACAACCCAAGAGCATCAACTGACAACCCGGACATCATATAAACACCAATCATAGCACTCCAAGTCACAGAATTTCTCTCAGGCATTTCATCAAACACCTTCCGTGCATCCTCAACTCCTCCCTCACAACACCCATACATATGAACCATCGTATTTCCCACATGTAAATCTCCATCAAACCCTAATTTCAACACTGACCCATGAACCTGTTTCCCCAATCTCAAATCCCCAACTCCAGCACAAGCCTTAAGAACAAAAGGGTATGTAAAATTATTGGGCAAAACCCCATTTTTTACCATAAAACAGTAAACATTCAGAGCACAATGCTTCAACTCAGATGTTTTTGCAAAACCCCTGATCACAGTATTAAACAAAAAGGTATCGTAACAGCGAGAATCGGCTTCGGGGGAGAAAAGAAAGGAAGAAGCGTAATCAATGGCGTCAAGGTCAGAACATGTAGAGGTGAACTTTGTGAGGATTAAAGGGTTGTTATGGAGGCCAAGTCTAAGAATTTGAGCTTGGATTTGGAAAAGTTGAAGAAGAGAATTGCAGGTTTGGAGGAGAGAGAAAGAGTTGAGTTGGGAAGCTCGAAGTGGTGGTGGTTGGGGTTTGGAGGAGAGAGATTGAATGGTGATGGCATGAAAGAGTCTCCTCATTTTGGGAGGTGTAGACTGGCATATACCGTTATTTTTGGGAGGGAAATTGAAGCTTTGGGGCCATCATTCATATCCTCGTTGTTTTTTCAAGTGCTCTTGCACGAGGTTGCTCCAGTTACTCAACTTAAGAATAAAGAATTCCGTATATCAGATAGGGGTGAGCAAAAATTTAGGGTACCTTGAATAAGAACCAAAACCTGTAAAGAATCGCAGGTTCTAAGACCAAAACACCTACAAGAAGTTCCGGTTCCGGGTAGTAAAAAAGAAAAATCTGTTGCAATAGGTTCTGCTTCGAATTCTCGATTTTTTGGAATCAGAACCTATAAGGTACCCTGTAACCTAATAAAAGTGTTACTTAAGCCCAAATAATATTTCAATTTTAGCCTAATGTTTACTTAATATAAATAAAAATAATTGTAAAAATTATATGTATTAAATTTGGTAAACAACTAATTTTTGATTTGTTGTATTTGCAAATTGTAAATTTATGACCCTCCAATTTTTTTAAAAAAAATTGCAAAAAAAGTATGACATATAGTAAAAGATAGGGACCCTTAATCGGAATCAAAACTTGTAGGTTCCGGTTCCGGTTTCCATTTTTCAGGAACCTGTTCAACAAGTTTTGGTTTCAGTTCTCATTTTGAAGAACCTGTTGCAATAGGTTCCGGTTGCGGTTTCAAAAAATTTAACAGGGTACCCTGTTATGCTCACCCCTATCTCAGATGGCAATGTTATAATTTGAAATAATAGTTTAATTTTTACTTTTTTATATTTTGACAACCTAACTCATCATCAACTTCTGTTTCCTTCCATCTTCTTTAACCTCCTTGTTTCCATTCTCGTCATCAATGACACACGAACTCAAACAACCACAACAAACTCCATGCTTAACACCACAGTAAACCGTAACTCAACCCCAACACTATCCCTAGAATGATATATAAATTAAGTGCATAGGTTAACCACAAAGGGTAGGTCTTTGCCTTTCCCCATTGCTTTAGTCAACCTCCATTGAAGAATTCAAACTCCATTGTTGAAGAATTAAAATTTAATAAGATAGAATTAGGAAATTATTATTATTATTATTATTATTATTATTATTATTATTATTATTATTATTATAGATTGTATAGATATCTTAATATCTTTAATTTCTATCTTATGTTGAGTTTCCTAAACCTAATAGGTTAAGGAATGTGTGTACTATATATATTGTGTTGATCATTAATGAGAAGATTGGAAATTTGAGTTAAATTTAACATGGTATCAAGAGCCTAGATTAAAACAGATTTTACTGCACATATTTTTTTTTTAAAGAGAGAGAGAGGAACGTACACCATGACTAAGAATGATGAGTCACCACCACTGTCGATGGATCTTGAGTATCATCTCGGGTCTAGTGATCATCTCGGTGTAGTAATTACACCTGTGGCGAAAGCCGTGAGCTGTTCGTTGATTGCGAAGTGGAAATTTGGGTTCATTAATGGTATGATTGAGGAACTGAGAGATGATTTAACCAAGATGAAGTATTGGGTTGTGGCAAATTCAATGCTTGTATCTTGGATATCGAATACTCTTGAAGCAACATTTTTGTATGGTGAGTGGTACAAGGGTTTGTCAACTCAAACACAATAGGGGTGCGTAAACAAGAGGCTACGGATACGGTAACGGAGTATTTTGGGCGCTTGTCCCAAATTTGGAAAGTATTGGTACAATATTGTCGTGTTCCAAAGTGCTCATGTGGGGCGCGCGTGCAATTGTAACATTGCAAAGCAAGTTGGAGAAATACAAGAAGATGATTATTTGCATTATTTTTTGCTTGGCCTAGATGATCCATATGAGGCAATTAGGGCACAATTGTTAGCACAACCACCTTTGCCTCTTGTGGACAATAATGCATATCAAACGTGATTAATACGGAGAGATTAAGAGGCAAAGACGGCAAGCCAAAGACAATATTGTAGCTTTTAAGGTAGATTCTTGTTCGAATGGAGAAGAAAAGTCGTTTTGTACTCATTGCAATCGAGAAGGCCATGAGAAATGGTTTTCCTCCTTGGTGGAATGAGAGGAGAAAGGGTGGTCGAGGCTTGGAAAAGGAGGAAGAAGAGGACGATGTGGACGAGGAGGTGGTGGTGCAAATAATAACTCAATCGTACGTGCTAATGTGGTGCAAGGGAGTATAACAACAGGGAAGGTGCATCAACTCAAGGTCTTGTCGGTGTTTCTTCCGAACAAGCTCAAGAAATTATTGATTTGTTGAAGGCAAAAGAGAAACTTGAAGGTAAAACCTGTGTGCCATGGATTGTGGACACAGGAGCTTCAAACCATGTTACGAATGATTTGTCAATCATGACAAACATCAAGACAATTCAAAATTGTCCGATTGGCTTATCGGATGGTCAAACAGTAAATGCGAATCAACTTAGTTTAATCACATTGGAATGTGGTTTAAAAATTGATAATGTGCGATAGGGAAAAAATGGGGGGGGGGAGGACAAAGGAAAGAGAGATGCCTATAATAAATCAATTGATTCGTCATGGTAGAGAAGAAAAACGGCCCACGGACCATACTTGAGCTTCGGACCAATGTCCCCAGAAGCAAGGAGTACGCTCGCGTGTTTCAACGAGAACACCGAAAAAACCTAATTCAACTCACAGTTAGTTTGAAAGCATAGTGATCACAAGCTATGGTGCTCCGTCTTTTGGTTCACGAGGAAGAAGCCCCGACTAACTCCGTGCCAGCAGTCGCGGTAAGACGGGGGGAGTGGGGGGAGGAAGTGTTCATAAATTTTATTTGGTTTAAGGGCTGTTCATTCTACCAAAATACCAAAGGCTTTCAAGGCTTACACCTCTTAATTAAATTGTAATTTAATTTCTGTAACACAGTTAAGTGACGAACTGGGTTGTTTGATTCAATTTACTAACAAAATTTTTGTAATTCAGGACTAGTTGAAGAGGACGATGATTGGCGTGGGTGAATGTCAAGATGGATTTTATTCTTTCCGTTGTGTTCCACAAATTAGAGTGCTAGCAGCAGATTGTGTGGTCGACTTGTGGCATCAACTAACGTATGGGCATCTGTTGGAGAAGATAACAAAGTTGCTTCCTTCTGTGAGTAACTCTAGTAGAAAAATTAATAACGTTTGTGATGTACGTCCTCGTGCAAAGCAAACAAGAGATAGTTTTCCAATTAGTGAGAGTAGAGCAAGTAGTATGTTTGAGCTAGTTCACTTCGATCTTTGGGGACTGTATAAGACGGCCACGTCTTGTAGATCAAAGATGTTTTTGACAATTGTTGATGGTTATTCTCGTGTTGTTTGGATTTATTTTCTTAGCAATAAAATGGAAGTGGAGTTCATGTTTCTCAATTTTGTTGCTTTGATTAAACGACAATTTGATATAGTTATTAAAGTTGTTCGTAGTGATAATGGAACCGAATTTAATCATTTACAAGAATATTTTGTGAATAATGGAATAATTTGTGTGTTGGCACCCCTCAACAAAATGGGAAAGTAGAGAGAAAACACCAACATATCTTGAATGTGGCTCGAGCTTTGAGATTTCAAGGAAATTTTCCTATAAAATTTTGGGGGGAGTGTGTTTGAACTGCTTGTTATTTAATTAATCGTACTCCGAGTCCGATTCTTAAAATTAAAACCCCATATGAGATGATGTTTGGTAAAGTTCCGATGTATGAGTGTATTTAAGTGTTGGGGTGTTTGGCATATACTCATACTTAACGAAGTAAGGGTGACAAATTTGCATCACGAAGTCGGAAGTGTGTGTTTCTTGGGTATCAGTTTGGCAAGAAAGGGTGGACATTATTATATTCTATCTAGAAACTCGTAAATTTTTTGTATCTCGCGATGTAAAATTTCATGAACAAGTGTTCCTGTTTGGTGAATTGGTAATTGAAACTTTAGAAAATTTAGAAGCCCGTGAGAATATGAATTATGATGAACGATGAATTTGGGGTATGGCATTGGGGTGAGCTTGACGGTGATGCTAGGAACGATCAGCAGCACCAGCGCACGCTGGTCGACAGCAGCATCGGAGCACCAGGCACGCTGTTTTTTCCCGCTGGAAATGCATCACCCGTTAGTCGGTACGCAACATCCAGCGAGCAGCCAGCGCCCGATGGCCGAGGAGAAGTAGGTGTGACAGCAACCCCTGAATTTGAGCATTGAATTTCCAGCGGTAGTTGGGCAACAATATCACCAGACTGCCTCGAACACCGGCAGTGACAACCTTCAGCAACCTGAGACAGCAACATCTGGTCGAGGAGAGGCAACAGCAGCAACTGGTCGAGGAGAGGCACCAGCAAATGGTTGGACATATCTTTGGCAACCTAAAATGGCCTTGTCTTCAGCTTGCAAAGCATTGATTGGGCACAAAATATGCCAATACACAAATATTTGAGGAAAGCTTGGAGCTTGGTAATGAGAAAGATAAGAGTGTTGAAATTGAGGGAGAACTAGGAAGGGGTAAACGACAAATATTTCCCTCAACAAAATTGCGGGATTGCGTGACCCACATAAATCATATTGGAGCTATAACGTAGAAAAGCTAGAGTTCCTAGATCGTTCAAAGAAGTGATGAAGCATGAGGGTTGGAGAGAAGCTATGGCAGCAAAAATTAACGCCCTTGAAGAACAGGGAACATGGACATTAAAAATACTTCTTGTAGGGAAGAAAGCACTTGGGAGTAAATGGGTATATACAGAAGAAAGAGATGAAGACGGTAAACTACTTCGGTTAAAAGCAAGACTAGTTTGCTTTGGCAATCATCAATAGGAAGGGATTGATTATAATGAGACATTTGCTTCGGTAGCGAAGATGTACATCAATAGTTCGTACTTTTCTTTTAGTTGCAATTGTGAAGGATTAGGAGGTGCATCAGATGGATGTGGACAATGCTTTCTTACATGGAGACTTAGAGGAAATTATTTTTTATATAAAAATACCACCAGGGTTCGAGAAAAATATTCAGACAAAGTTTGCAGAATGAAAAAGTCGTTCCATGGTTTGAAACAAGCGCTTAGATGTTGGTTTGAAAAACTGTCGACTGCATTGAAAGAATATGGTTTCAAACAATCATACTTTGATTATTATTTGTTCACCTTGTCTAAAGGGGGACTGCAGTTGAGTGTGCTTATATATGTGAATGACATGATAATTGCAGGAAATAGCAAATTTGCATTGGAGAGTTTCAAAGCATACTTGAGTGAATGTTTTAAATGAAGGAT